ATAAGGACTATAGTAAATTAAGTAGGGAGCAAAACTTAAATATATTTAAAATATATTAATAATAAGTTAGTAAATTATAGAATAGGCTTAACTATATATTAGCTATTAGAACTATAGCCTAATATCTGCTACTAGGAAAAAATATTATTTTAGTTAGGTACTACTAGAGGTAGACTCTATATATCTATAAGGTCTTCTAACTAGGGAGATATTAAATCTTTCTAGTAGTCCTGCTTTATATTCTGTGGTTAAGCTATAGTTAAGCTAGATAAAGAAGTGTAGTAGGCATATTATAACCTATTCCTAATATATTCCTAATATATTCTAGGCGTTAATTATCCACAAGAGTAAGGATCTCTATTTAAAATCCTATATAAAGTTACCTTCTAAGTAATTATACTAATAGATATAGTAGCAATACCTTTTTTTGCTATTATTTCTTTTAGTATATATATACATATACCTCCTCCTCCCTTAACACTATCTAATAGTAATATTAAGGAAGTAGTAAAGGTATTATAGCCTATGCTTACTCTATAGCTTATATAATATAAGTTATTTGTAACCTATTATAAATGTGTTCCTAACTTATTATAGCCTAGTTCCTAAACTTAACCTAGCTCTAAACCTATCTCTAACTTAAAGGTTTCTATTCTATTAAAGAAATGCATATTAGCTTTATAAATAAAGATAAAATCTTACGTATTATAAAGCGTGAAAAGCTTCTATAGTTCCTATTTAAGAGTAGCCTTAGAGGAGTATACTATAAGTAGAGGATAAAGCATTAGGATCCTAAAACTATATATAGTATAAGAGAATAGGTTTAGAACACGTTACTAACACGTTACTATAGGCGTATATATAGCAAATCTTTATATTAAGCTTAGGTAACTTAATTATTTACCTTTTTAAAGAGTAGGTATTAATTCTATTAGATTAAGATATATTCTAGATAGATATGTTATATAAGAGGTTATATAGGGCATAGGCAGAGATTCTAATAGTAATCTTCTACCTATAGGAAAAGAAGCGTACGCATTAAGAATAGGTTTATAACACGTTTCTAATATATTATAGTTATTATACTTAGCTAAATTATTATAGATAAGGATATAACTAAGATATATTAAGTTACTATTACTAACTTCTTTTAGAAGTGTAAAGCACTTATAAAAAGATAAGTGTTATAGAGGTATATTTACTTATAGGGATTCTATAGGACTACTATTAATATATATAATAAGTAGATAATAGGCAAGTTTTATAGCGCACTATAACATGTTTGTAACGTGTTTCTAACTTGTTTCTAGGACTTAGGCACTATCTCTAGTTAATTAATCCCTATAAGCGTAACTAGTGCTAGCAACTTTAATCTTGTATAAGATTTTATTAAGTATATCTATAAAGAAGTATTTACAAAGCATATAAAAGAGAGCTAGATAATACTACCTCTTTACGTCTAAGTAAATTACTACAGGTATTAATAGTAGAGGAATACTTTTAGCTTACTAACCTCCTCTTATATAAGTAAACACATTCTAAACCTATTCTAAACGTGTTCCTAACTTGTTCTTATATAATTAGAACACGAACCCTCTAAAGATACCTAAAACTAGGCAATCTATAAGAAAAACCTAGTAATTACTACTAGGATTATATAATACTATAGTAAAATATTAAAAGAGGTATAGGAAAAACTAGAATCTTATTTAAATATAGCTAAGCAAGCAGGCTAGAAAGGATATAAAACTAGTAAGCATGTAAGTATTCTTAAGGCCACTTAGAAGTAAGTTTATAACCTATTCTTAACCTATTAGAATTATATAAGTAATATTATATAGTACACACTAGATAGATCTATAGGATATAAAAGAGTTTAAAGCCTAAAGCAAGTTTAGAATACGCTATAACTATAGAACTCCTAATAGGCTTAAGCAAAGGTACCTTAAAAAGCTTTAGAGGGGAGAAAGTAAGTCTTATACTAGTATTATGCATATTTACTAATTAAAATATATTTAGAACATGTTTAGAACACGTCCTATAATAATAATAATACTCTAGATAATAATAAAGCAAGTCTTGCTATATCTAACTTAACTAGATATATCTTAGTCCTAATAAGAAATAAAAGAGCACGCTTAAAAGCCTAAAGCTAGAGGGTAAGTAGTAGAGCAGTATTAGAAAGAAGTTTACTAGCCCCTTTTCTATCTTCTCTACTACTAGGCTCTTCTCCTCTACTAATAGCAACCTAAAGGTATGCTTCGCGAAACATATTTATAACATATTCCTAACTTATTATTAGTCTATAACTACAAACTTTATAATAAAAGGCTCTTCTTAGTAATTAGGCTCTAAAGGAGAGAAAAGAAAAGCTAGAGGTAGATAAGGAAGAACTTATATAGAAAAAGGCACTATTTAAATTATAAAAGGTATAGTTTAAACTTAAGAAAGAGATAGCTACTTTTTATATAAGGTAGGGTTAGTCTATAAATATAGTAACTAGTTCCTAACTAGTTCTTAATATATTCTAGTCTATTATATAAGTATATATAAGTAGATAAATATATATTCTTTCTTCTTCTTTTTCTTCTTCTTTCTTCTTATACTCTATAAGAACTTTTTATATTTAAGAGTTTAATACTATTTTACTATCTATCTTTCCTAATACTATTAGATATAACTAGTTAATATAGTCTATAAAGATCTTTTAAAGTTAGTATATAATAGAATATGTTAGGAACATGTTATAAACTTGTTCTAATACTAAGTAGGATTTATACTAGCAATATATTAAGCTTAAGTTACTTCTATCTAATACTAGGGTATTCTCTCCTGCAATATCCTACCTAAATAATAGGTGTATAGTATTTCCTGGCGAGCTTTTCTACTAGGCTATTTAGGCTAGATTAGGGGTATAGGAACTTTGTAAAGTATATATATATGCAAGTTAGAACACGTTTATAATATATTAATAACTATTTTAGTATTACTTCTCTAATAGAGGTAATCTTATCTACTACCTTAAGAGGTATTATCCTAAGGTTTAAATAGCCCTAGTAAACTATAGTAGAACTATAATATAAGGTATTATAGAAGCAAGGATCTTCTATAGGAGCTTAATAGTAAATACTTAAGAATATATTCTAAACACGTTAATAATATATTCTCTACTAGTAGAGTAGACTACACTAAGTGCCTCCTCTAAGGTTTAAGAACCCTCTAAGATAGCTAGTCTATAATAAGAAGTAGTAGCTAGAGTAGAGGCTAAAAAGGAAGTAGAGAGTAAAGAAGAGGAGTAAATAGTTGCTCCCCTTTACACTATAAATAATATTTAGTAAAAGTAGTAAAAAGGAGATATAAGTCTAGTCTCTTAAAATATATTTAGAATATATTAATAATATATTATAGCTAGACACCTATAAATACTAGATTCTTCTTTAATCTAAGGGACTACTAGAGCTTTATAATACCTATAAAAGTTAAAAGAAAAAGTTATATACTATTAAAGGACCCTATAAAAGTAAATAGTACTTTACTTTTAGTAGATAGAAAAAAAAAAAGAAGAGTAGAGAGTTTATTTTAGTAATTACTACTACCCCTTTAGGTTATATACTATTATATATTATTTATTAGAACCTATTCTTAATATATTCTTAATATATTCCTACTTATTACTATTATTATCTCCCTCCCCCTCTCTAGTATCTTCTCTATCCTCCCTATCCTCCCTAGGCTCTACAAAAGCATACTACAAGTAGAACTAGGTAGTATTCTAGTAGGAATTAATAAGGTCTATACTAGTATTAAAGTAATAGTCTTAAAATATATTAGGAATAGGTTAATAATATATTATAAATAACTTACTATAGCTAGGATAATTATAAGTATAAATAGTATAAGGAACCTAATAACCTTAAATCCTTAGTAAGGTAGATATAGTAATAAAATTAAGCTATAATAAGTTAGTAATATATTTTTAATAGGTTCTTATAGGCTATACCTTATTACTATTATAGCTAGTACAAGTCTTCTTCTAAATTATATTTAGGAGGGTATTAGTATTTATAGGGGGGCCTATAGTAGCTACTAGCTAGGCTTAGAGAACTTCTATAAAATAAGTTAGTAATAAGTTTTAAATATATTCTAAATAACTTATAGTAAGGAGTATTCTAGTAATTATATATAACCTTTATATAAAAGTCTATATATATTAGTATAATAAGTTAAGAATAGGTTAATAATATATTTACTCTTTACCTTATAGACCTCCTTTATAGAGGGCTAGCTAGTCTTCTTAACCTTACTAACCTTATAGTAGGCTATATTAAGCCTATAATCTTTTTTAGTATAGGTATATAAAGTGCCCCTAGTACCTAGAATAGCCTAAGAATATTAGAACCTATTTAGAATATATTTAGAACCTATTCTTACTTTATATAAGGTACCCTTATTATTAATCTTAGTATAGTAGTAGCACTCTCTACTCTTTATCTTAACTACCCTATTAGGGCTAACTATAGGCTATACCTTAATATTATCTAGGATATAGCTAAGGGTAAGGTACTATTAATAGTACTTCTATAACCTATTAAGAATATATTCTAAATATATTTTAATCTACTTATATAGGATATAAGGGATACGTTAGTAATAGGTATAGTAGTAGTAGCTTATAGTATTACTAGTATAGAATATATTTAGAATAGGTTTAGAATATATTATAAAATCTTATAGTATAATATTTAGTTAACCTTGCTTAGCTAGCTAGTAGAGCTTGGCATAGCCTAACCCTATGCTAAATACGAGTTCACGCAGCGCTAATTCCATGGTTATATGAACTGCGCCCTCGGCAGTCTATATGGTTTCCAAGTCGTACCGGTCAGGGACCTCGATGGTGACACGGTTGGGGGAGGGGAGGTCGTGACTCGTAAAGGCTGCAAGCACCCACGGGCAACTCGCAACTCGCAACTCGCAACTCGCAGCTTGCATTGCTCTGATTGATTGCGTACTCTTGTGTGTAGTGGTGTGTATGTCTACAGATCAGCTACTGTCTGCGTCCATGGTGCCATGGGGCTGTGGATGGGTGGGACGCAACGGTGATTGACGGTGGCCGGCATTGGCGCTGCGGAGGGCCGCTGGGCTGACGTCGCACGTACGCGGTGGTTTTGCCAGGCCGCGTCGCTGACAGGGGCGCTGCACCGACCAACCTCGACTCCCACATTCGTGTAGCGCCATGGTGACAGACTGTACTGTGTACTCTACTAAAGTATTAGGAGCCCATGTTGCAGACTAGGCCAATTCGTGGGCCTGTGATGAATGAATGGATGGACGGATGGATGAATGATGGGATGGAGCGAGCTTACCGTTGTAGGTCACCAAGGTAGGGGGTAACAGTAGGCGTCAACCGGGAGATTAAAACGTCTCCCACAAAAGACCCACCCAAAGACCCTCCCTGGCCGGCTCCAGGGCTTACTTGACTGCATCTATCTATTCTGTACCTTGTGTGCATATCTAGTTTGTTGGGGACAAGAGGACATCCGACATAAGGTACTCTGTACAATAATGCATAGAGGAGAGCGACCGCTAACCCTGTTGAACTTGCTACTCTACGCCGTTGTGAATTGCGGCTTAGCCTACCTACTCTACTCCTAGCCCTTGTTGCTCTCTGCACCCCGTACTGCGCCCATCCACAACCAACCTTTTACTACTTTGATAGGTAAGCCCCCCCCCCCTCCCCCATCCATCCATCCGCCCCATTTCCTCTCCCCGCCAATTTCCCCCTGCCTTCTTTTTTGCAAGTCTTATCCGCTCCTTACCTCCACACTCTTACGTCCACATCCACATCCACATTCACAGTACTCGACAACTCGCCCTCTATTCGATCGATACCCACCACGCCTCCTGTTCAGCCCGCCAGCGCGCTTGATGTCGGACCCGAGCACAAGGTTCCTTGCCTAGAATCTACATCCTCCCCAATGTCCAAGATCACCCACCGGGTGACGTGCGACTATGAGCTGCTGCCGCGCGCATCTTTGGACGACGAGCTCGATGAGGCCCAGCTGCTGCTGCAAACGCCCACAAACCCTTCGTGGCTGCGCCGCTTCAGCGACACGTTTCACGGAGTGAGCAAGCTCTCCGACCGCGCTGTCTACACACACTATGTTACGCCGCGCCGTCGCAAGCGCTCTGTGCTACGCCTGATCTACTGGTCCATCTTCTCAGTGCCCTACATCTTGCTCTTCCTCGTCTTGTTCACCGGCATCTTCTTCCCCAGCTACACCATACGCCCAGCCCACTACCAGCAACTGCGCCAGCGAGCCTTGGCCAGCGACACTCCAGGTCGTGGTAACCCCCACCGCGAAAAGATCTTTATTGCAGCTGCCCTCTCAGAGGAGAATGGCACGCTGACGTCGGGAGGATGGGGCTCGTCGGTCCTCCAGCTGATAGATCTGCTGGGCCCGGACAATGTGCATCTGAGCCTCTACGAGGATAATGCCGATGCGGAAACCAAGAGCTCCTTGGACCGATTTCGGCACAAGGTCACTTGTGAGACGCCCTCTCCACTAACACGCTGCGCCCTGCTAACTCGACAGGCAACTCCACCATTGTCTCTGAAGATCTCGACCTTTCCGCCCTACCTCGTGTCACCCTACCCACAGGAGAGACCCGTCTCAAGAGGATTGCCTTCCTTGCCGAGGTGCGCAACCGCGCCCTGGCCCCAATCGATTCCAACCATGTCAAATTCGACAAGATACTCTACCTAAACGACGTGAACTTCGACCCCATCGAAGCCACCCAGCTCCTTTTCGCGACCAACATCAACTCGGCAGGCCGAGCAGACTATGCAGCTGCATGTGCTGTAGATTTCATTATGCCCTTCAAATTCTACGACCGTTTTGCTACACGAGACTTTGATGGATTCACCACTGGTCTCGTCTTCTTTCCTTTCTTCACCAGTGCAGGCACGGCGACAAGCAGAAACGATGTACTCTCGGGGACGGATGCTGTTCGCGTTCGCAGCTGTTGGGGAGGCATGGTTGCGTACGAGGCAAAGTGGTTTCAGGAGCAAGAGAGTTCAGGTGGCCAACCAAGTGACAGCCCTTCTGCCTCGCCGCCAGTGTCGCCGAACACGAGCCTGGCCCCCTTACGCTTCCGCTACGAGACCGACACTTTCTGGGAGGCATCCGAGTGCTGTCTTATAAACGCAGATCTCCAGTACCTACAGACTGGGCGAGGCATGCCTGCCAACCCCAGAATCTACTTGAATCCATTTATCCGGGTAGCCTACGACGAAAGCACGTTGTCATGGCTGGCCCTTGTTCGGCGCCCAGAACGCCTCTATTCTGTGATCCACGACATTCTCAATTACTTTGTCGGCTTTCCAGCTGTCCAAGAGCGGGTTGGAGAAGAGCCTGGATCCGTTGTCAAAGACAGTGTCTGGCTTTACGATGACCCAGAGCGAGGCTTCGCCCACAACGCAACACAGGCAGACCTCAAGGGACACTACGAAGAAGTTACCAGGATAGCCAAGCCTGGCAGCTTCTGTGGTGGGCGGAATCTGCTCGTCATGAACGAGAAGCCCGAGCACGGGCCAGGAAGATGGGGCAAGATCATACCTCCCAGTCCTCCAAACAGGCGGTAGTCACCAGCTTGACGCTCGAATTTTCGCAACCTATTACTTTCTTTGTACCTGTTCATCGTAGACTATTTCCCTGTGTAAGATCATAGCGTGGGCGTTTGTTTCTGGGGGGACTCGAAACCTAGCACTTCGGTGAAGTTGAATATTCTTGTTAGATAAAACTTGCGCGTACCATTTTCAACCAAAAGATGGGGAACGAAGACATGATTGTCATAGGGCGGCTTGCATTATGGAGTTTCTATTCATCCTGTCTGTTGAAGAGACACTAGTTTATTTGTTCGGGTTTGTAGTTTTGTGGAGGAGACGCTAGGAATCAAGAGGACTACTGAAGACTAAATATAAGCAAATGTCCACATGTCGAATATGCCCGATGGTTCTGCCATTTCCAAGAATTTGCAAATATTTGACTGGTCCGAACAAATGCCCGTGACTGACCAATCGTGGCAAATTGATTCAGCCTCACTCGCCAAGCCACGCTATCCCAATCTGCGGCGCATCTAGACATCAAGGTGCCAAATCTCGAACAAACGAACTCGCTCATCTGACCTGGTTGGCGTGAAGTCTTCCAAGCTAAAGTCACAGATCGCGGTCGTCTCGATTATTCTTACCGCTTTTTATTGAGAACTTTCTGCCTTTCCTCATTCACAGTATCGCTATCTATATCACAGCAGACTTGGCAGGGAGAACGACGTCACACCAAGAGAGAAGCAAAGAGCAGTAGCCATGGTTCTCGACAACGACACGCGGGGGTGGATCATGACGGTGGTCAGCGGTATAGGTATGATAGCTTCGTGCGGACAATAAATTATGAGGATTCGGGCTAACTGAGAACCAGCATGCACTTTTGGTGGTATGAAATGTCCCTTCCCACGGCCTTATTCGGAGCCTGGTTGATACGGGAACTAACGCGATGTAGCATCGATAATATGCGTCGATTTGATCGTCCGTCAGTTTCCTGGCATGAAGAACTTCAAGATTGAGGACAGCAATGCGTTCTTATCGACTGGGTTGAGTTTGTCGTTTGGTGTCATGGTACGTGTGGCAAGGTGGACGATGTTGTGCGTAGACGCTAAACGAGGTTAGATTTTCTCGTCGTTATACAGCATGCTTCCCTCGGCGAAGAAGTATCTGATTGAAGGCGGTCAAACTCCAAGAAATGCCACGTTGATATTGATCGCATGTTTTCTCGTGGGTGCGCTTGGCATCTCGGTCTTGTCGAGGATCCTGCACTCCTACATTCCACACTCGGTTGTGGACTGCGATCATGAGCATGGCGAGGGTGAGGAGGGAAAGATTGTTGATGAAGAGGCGGCACGTTTGCATCTACCAAAGCAGGGAAATCGTCAAGGTCTACCAAACACCGACGGGCAGCACGACAGTGATGCCCACCGCTCGTATGGTACACACAGCGAGATCAGTAACCCTGGATCGCTGCAGCAAAGGCCGTCCCTGCATAATTCGATATCATCCAAGGTCACCCAATTAGTAACTGGAGCCAAGAAAGAGTGCGATGACAACGGGCAATGTTTTGGCTACTCGGATACCTGTGGTACAGAGTGTTTTCGAAACGTACTTCAGACTCGGCCTCCCCGACTACAAGCGCGAAAGTCTTTGGGAAATCTAGTCGTGAGACCATCTGGCATGCACAGGAATCAGACTACACAAGTCAACGACAGCGAATGTCAACCCCTACTCAAAGATGACGAAACCACGCCCCTAATGCCCACACGCTCCGAACCACAAACACTAGCCAATTCGGCCGCCAGTCTCCCCTCTGCCAACCCCCAGTCCCAATCGCACTCCTCCCAACCCCCCTCCGTCCACAAACATAGCCGCACCTCCTCTACATCCTCCTCCTCCACCCCCCACATCCATCATCCCTCAAATGACCCCGCCACCGCCCACGCCCACGACCACGACCATGAACCCACACACCACCACCACGTCCCCACCAACGTCTTCCTCTCCATCGGCCTCCAAACCTCGTGCGCAATCGCCCTGCACAAGATCCCCGAAGGCTTCATCACCTACGCCACCAACCACGCCAATCCCACCCTCGGCCTCTCCATCTTCCTCGCCCTCTTCATCCACAACATCACCGAGGGCTTCGCCCTCGCCCTCCCCCTCTACCTCGCCATCAACTCCCGCTGGAAAGCTATGCTGTGGTCGACCCTACTCGGCGGCGTCAGCCAGCCCCTCGGCGCCGCCGTCGCCGCCCTCTGGTTCAAAGTCGCGGGTCGCGGCCAGCATGGGACCGATGGGCCTGGCCAAGTCGTCTATGGTTGCATGTTTGCGGGTACGGCGGGCATCATGGCCATGGTTAGCTTGCAGTTGTTGGGCGAGAGTTTGGATCTTACACATTCGCGTCGCTTGTGCTTTGTTAGTGCGTTTGCGGGCATGGGCATTTTGGGGCTGAGTAGTGCGTTGAATGCGTAGGAGGGTGGGAGTGTGAGTGTGCGTTTGGATCTTTGGTTTTGTGGTTTTTCTTATTGGCATGGCATGGGATTGAAAAAAAAAACTGAGCGAGGGGAAGATTGTCGGTAGTAGAATTGTATATATACTTATCAAGTGATCGGTTGTACGTTTTAGTTTTCGAGGATTAGGTATGCTCATTACCAATTCTTGAGATTGTTGCTTCTTCAGCTTGCAATTGCTTTTTGCCCTCTTTTTTTCGTGTTTTGCATGGAATTCTTAAAAGGAAGAAGAAATCTTCACATCATGTCTTCATATGGTCTGTTTTTGCTGGACCTAAAATGCTCAAACAGGCTAATCGTCAGTCGACGATGCTCTGGACAAAAAGGTTATACTCTACGCCCACCAGCCTCTTTCACGCACGTACTCTACAAAGCCAGCACATGCCGATGCCAAGTCAGTCCGTGAACCAGCCAGCCAGCCAGCCAGGTAGCCCAATCCTTCTCTACCCGCGGACAACCCCCCCAAATCTAAAAAGTCGTCGTAGCCAACCGACTCGCCGCATTCTTAGCATCAATCCTATCGTCATCCTCCTCCGCCTTTAGCAAACTCGCCTTACTCGTCGCCCTCTTCCTGCCCCCGATCACAGACTCCTCCTCTCCCTCATCCACCTCGGGCAAACCCCCCACAAGACTCCCGCTGACACTGCGATTCAGGCCGTCGCCCGGCCGGCGCGGAACACCAGACCACGCGTCACCCTTTGGACCCTGCGAGCTGGCCATGCTGGCCCGGCGGATGGCGGGATGTGCTTCGCGACCTAGACGGGAGAGGCCGCCGCTGTTGTCAATGGCGCGGATGTCAGGGCGGACGGATTCGAGGGTGGCGAGTGTGCGGCGTTCTGCTTCGATTTGGCGGATGACGTAGTCGCGGATGGCGAGGCGCATGTCGTGGGTTGTTCGTGTGAACCATTTCTGCTGTTCTTGTAGCAGGTTTGCGGTTACGCGCTGTGCCTTTGCGGTCAGGTATTCCTCATGGCTTCTTGCTTCCTCGAGCGCGGTGATGGCTTCGTCGGCCTTGTCGCGCTTCACGCTCGAACTGGCTTTTAGTCTATCGGCAGCGGTGAGTTTGGATCTGGTGGCTGCTTGCGCTTGGAGGAGTTCGCGGAGCAAAATGTGCCGGTTGGTGAGGGTTTCCTTGGCGATGAAGGCATCGCTGCTATGATATTGGAGAGGGTCACCTAAAGTGGTGGCTTCTGCTGTGCCCTGAGCGGCGTGGAAGTCCCCGGTGGCTTGGATGATCTTTCCGATTTTCTTGTAGGCGTGTGCGAGGCCGGCGTGAGACTCTTGAACGTGGAGGGCTGCGAATTTGGCGCCGAGATCGGATTCGGCAACACCGAGGTCTGAAGATGAGGTTAGCTGGCGGACATAGTTGTAAGACGGTGGTATGCTCACTTCGCCGGTGCTTGACGACTTTCTCCAGCTTCTGCTCGGCCTCCATAGTCCCGAGGTAGAATGCCTTGACAATCGGTCGAGCGACTGCAAGTTCTGGTGTATCATCTGGTGGCGGCGCAAACTGCTTGATGACTTTACGGCGCACTCCAGTCGCGGGTTGTTTCCTCCGGACTACTGGGCTGTATCCAAAGTCGCTCTCGACGAAGAAGACCATCTCCTCGTCGCGTATAAGGATGTCGTTGCTGCAGACAATATTCAGCCACCGTTGCATCGACGACTTCAGGCGCATCTCATCCTCGTCGGTACCAGCGCCTGCCGAGGTCGTCGCTGGAGGCACTGCAGGAACAATGGCTTCTGGACATGCTGAGATGAGATGCTCGCCCAGCTTCACGAATTCGGAGTGTAACCGGCGGACGTCGCGGAATTGCGTGGTTCGGAACTTGGGGAGGTTGGTCTGTGGAGGGCGTGTTAGCATAATGAATGGCCTAGATTTGCTGCGGGGATGCCACCTACATAGACATCGAAGCGCAGGATTGGGTCCTTCTTGCCGTTCCTCTCCAAGCCCGTAACCTTGGCCTGAAGCTTGTAGTGTTGTTGCTGGCGTTGTGGGCGTGTTCCATGGTATCGCTGTGGCTGCTGGCCCTGCTGCTGCTGGTGTTGGTGTGGTGCTTGCTGCTGTCCTGGCTGTCCTGGCTGTCCATGGCCTTGTGGCGGCGCATCTTGGCCATGAGACTGCTGTTGTTGCTGCGCGTGGTCGCCATTGCTCGAGGCTGTCATGGGCCTATTCTGCGCATCTTGGTCGCCCAGGTAGCCATATTGCTCGGCGCCCTCGTGGTAGGGTGAGGCCTGCGAAGGAAGCGGGGACGAGGGCACGTCGCTGTTGCGGCTGTGGTCCAACGACTGGCGACTTGTTCCCGGTGACGAGGCCCATGGATCGCCGCCCGCAGGATGATCCGGATCGTGGGCGCTGTAGTCCATTGTGAGGGCGAATGCCTGTGGGGAATTGAAGACGGTTTGACCGTTACCGGAGAGCTACCGTGAACGACTCACTTCGCAGGGCCATTGTCGTTCAGAGGTGCCTGGCCCTGGGCCAAGCCGCTTGCCGGCATCTGGCCAGGCGCGACCTCGATCATCGTCAGGCGGGCGGGCAGGCGTCATCTCTGTCGTCACGTGCAAACAACCCTTCACCCCCCACGTCTTCTGCACTTGTCTTGTATTGCATTGTATGACATTGCATCCTACAGCCTCGGGCATGTGGCTTGGATGGGTGCGCTGTGTCCGTCTAGTCGCGAGGCACAATGTAAAGCCTCCACGAAGGCTGTTGTCCACGCAAGCCGACCAGCTCTCCCAGGTAACCAGGAATATTGGCATCATCGCCCATATCGATGCAGGCAAGACGACTACCACAGAGCGTATGCTCTACTACAGTGGACTCACAAGACGCATCGGCAATGTCGACGAGGGCTCAACCGTTACCGACTTCCTCCCAGCTGAGCGAGCAAGAGGCATCACCATTCAATCTGCAGCCATCACTTTCCACTGGCCTCCACTACCCCCAGGCACAACGGCATCGCAACTCCCACAACTAGCTGCCTCTATTGGTGACTCACCTAGATCTTCCACACCCCATAACATCAATCTCATCGACACGCCTGGCCACGCAGACTTTACTTTTGAAGTACTGCGCTCACTACGTGTCTTGGACGGCGCTGTATGTATCCTTGATGGCGTCGCTGGTGTAGAGGCCCAGACTGAAAAGGTCTGGACGCAAGCGGGACATTATCACATCCCAAGAATCATCTTTGTCAACAAACTGGACCGTGTAGGTGCGGCTTTCTCGCGCACTGTCAAGGAAATCGGCGTTAGACTACATGGCTGGCCAGCGGTATGCCAGATCCCTTGGTGGCAAGGGGGAAATGGCGAATTTGTCGGGGTCGGCGATGTTGTTAATCTGCGTGGCATGCTTTGGCAGACCGGTGGTGATGGTAGAGATCTCCAAGCCTTCAGTATCCAGGACTTGGAAAAGAGACACACTGCCTTTGCAGAAGAGATTAAGAAGGCAAGAGTCGCACTTGTAGAGATACTTAGCGAGTACGACGACCTCATGGTGGAGCATTTCCTTGAACACGACGAAGATCATCTCGCCATTCCAGGGCACCAAATCACACAGTCATTACGCCGAGTCGTAATGCAAGCACCTCAGACGGTCATACCGGTCTTTGCAGGAGCCAGCTTCCGTAATATTGGCGTGCAGCCTCTGCTCGACGCCGTAGTCGACCTCCTCCCGTCACCTCTGGAACGACCCGATCCTGAGATCAGTCTTGCTGGCCAGAGCAGCACGCTCTCTGCGCTTCTTGATGCCGCAGCGGCTGCCAAGCCAAGTAAGCCAGCCAAAAAATCACAATCGGCTTCGAATCACAGTCTCGCCATAGCGGAAGCCAAAAATCTCACAGCGTGCGCCCTTGCTTTCAAGGTTGTCAACGATGCTAAGCGGGGGGTACTGGTTTACGTACGCGTCTACTCTGGCTCTATAGATAAAGGCGTTACCCTCTATAACACAAACCTTAATGTGGCAGAGCGCGCCCCACGTTTGCTAAAGATGTACGCTAGCGATGCTGTGGAGGTGGATAATATCGGTACTGGCCAAATCGGCGTCATTCCAGGGCTCAAGCATGCAAGAACTGGAGATACAATTATCGTCTACAGAGGGTTACAGAGTAAAGGAGCACCACCGGGTGGTCTGAATAGTCTCCAGCTACGACCGATCAATGTGCCACCGCCAGTGTTCTTCACAAGCATTGAGCCACACAGTTTGAGTGAGCAGAAGCATGTCCAAGAAAGCTTGAGTCTACTGCTCCGAGAAGACCCAAGTCTTCATCTCTCCATTGACGAAGAGTCTGGACAGACACACCTAGCCGGCATGGGCGATTTGCATCTTGAAATTGCTAGAGACCGTCTACTCAATGATTACAAAGCCAAAGCCCGAATTGGCAAGATTGAAATCGGATACCGAGAAACGATCACGACGCCAACAGCACCACTCTTACATATGCTTGACAAGTCCATCGCCGGCAAACAAGCAAAGGCCGGGACTGTTGTTTCTGTCGACTCGACAGAAGAGGGCATAATTTCGTTAGGTGCACAAGACCCCGTGGAAATCGACGACGGTACATTCGAGACAACATACAAGCTCTCGGACAACAACACGCTTCGCATTTCCCATCCCAACCTCTCCCGCCACGATTCGGCATCGCACAAGAACCACATTCCACCTCACCTCAGTCTCCCCAGCATACTCCACTGTATACAGGCCGGCACATCTGCAGCACTCGCCCGCGGCCCCTTCAACGGCTTCCCTGTAGCAAACACATCTATCAACATTGTCCTGGACGCGCAGGCCCATCTCCTCCCTGAAACAACGCCTACAGCCATGTCCATGGCCGTCCGAGCCGCAGTCGGAGCCAGTCTGCGCACCTCATGCGATACCGCGCCCGCGGCACTCTTGGAGCCCGTCATGATGGTAACAATTTTCGTCAACGAGAATTCCCTCGGCGCAGTCGTGCAAGACATTTCCTCCTCCCGCGGCGGCCAAGTCCTATCTCTCGATGGCTCAGACGCACCGAGCTCGTCCACGTCAGGTAATGATGACCTCCTGCGCATCGATCCTAAACTCATATACACGCCTCCCGATCCATTTGCGTCTGGCACAGGCGATGTGGGAAGCAGTCTCTCAGATAGCCAGAGACAAATCGTCGCGAGGGTGCCGTTGAAGGAGATGGTCGGTTATCTGAATCACCTTAGGGCGCTGACGGGCGGTAGAGGCACGTTTGTGATGACGGTAGACGGGTTCGAGAAGATGGGGACGCAGCGGCAGAAAGATGTGCTGGACGCGCTGCGGGAGTTTTAGGGCATATATCGAAGAGAATATTGTAGGATATGTATAGATAACAGTTGATATGTGTATATAAGTTCATGGATTTTTTAATACCAATCTCTGTCATAATGTATCTCATATAATAATGTCCTTGCAGGTAGTTGCTTTGTGTAATAGGAGTAGACTTGCGTTCTCACAACATCTAGCTACTTGAAAAAAATTAATTAGTACCTAGTCTACACCTAAGATTAGCCTTATTCCAAAACAAATAATTTTTTTAAAAAAATCTAGAAAAGAAACCCCCTATTCAAAAATTGACATAATAGCAATCATACACAAAAATACAACCCTCCCGAGCGCGTGTGTGCATAGTCAGTAGTCTACGTACAAAGCCCAGACCAACCCCAACAACACTAACCCCACCCCACTCGTCCACAATATCCACAAAGACCCAAAGGCACCAAAAAGAAAAACCCATACAAAGAAACACCTAAATCATGCAAAAAGAAACCTAGCTGAAGCACGTTTCGATCGTGCGTCCTCCGGGTTATGAGCCCGGCGCGCTTCCGCTGCGCCATTCAGCTTTGGTGATTTCTGGATTGATGAAAGAATTGTCAATACATGGGTATATATGTAGATATTTATTGTTGCAGTCGAGAGATTCGAGGTTTATGGAGTGGAAAGCGGTAAAAATGGGTTGTTTGTGGTGTGGTGATGCGGTATTGGAGAATTTTTGCCATGAGTCATAACTAGGGACATAAGTATCTAAAAATCTACGAGCCGATGTCGCAATGTGATTTACAACAAAGGACGGACCTCAACACCACGCTTGGTAGAAAAAAAACATACATGGCCGGTGATAAAATAATGGATATTTTACAATGTGAGCATGCTTGCAGCGTCGTCATGGTGAGATATTCTTTGCTTCACACATCCAATGCCACCTTCCTTGCCCTTCCTACCCCCTTAAAAGTCTGCTTTGCTACCTCGAAAACGCACCAGCGGCATCATCTCCCAATCCCCTAAACGCAATTCTCCCATTACTTCTCAACACCTCACACACCGTCTCCGCACTAATCTCGTACCCACTCTTCCTCCACCTCGCATTCAGCCAATCCGCCAGCGCATCGGCCGAGCAGCTAAAGCGCCGTGTATCCCACTCATGCAGAATCAGCTCGACAATCGGCTGATCGGGCAGAGGTATGGGATTCGGGTCTTGCAGGGGCACCGAGGACAGCTGCAAGGGCAGTGCGCGGGGTGGGAAGATGTTTTCGTACGCGGTCAGGAAGTGCAGGAGTGTGTGTTCGGTCTCGGGGCGGGAGGCCAGTGTGAGGCCAAAGGGCTGGCCGTTGAGTTTTAGGGCGGAGAGCGGGCATGCGGCCGTGGGGTAGTTTGCGGCTGCTGCGAGGGAGGAGAGGGGGGCGTCACCTGGAGCGAGGAGGATGTCAAGGGAGTGGGTGGTGAAGAGGTGGGTGAGGCCTTCGGGGCCGCCGGCGGTTTGGAGGTGATGGCGGGCTTTGTTGATTGCTTCGCGCTTGGTGGTGGAATGGAGGGCCGCCATCAGGTCGGTTTGGTCTGGGCAGGCTAAGTTTGTTGAGTGCTGCGTGCTGGGTTTTAAGGGGGGTGTGTGGGGTGGCTTACTTGGGGGGAGGCAGAGCTCAGGGTGTTCGAGGTTGAAGTTGATAATTTCGGCGAGGGAGTGCACTTTCGTGGATTTGAAGTCGCGAATGAATTCAGTGAGGCAGTCCTTGAATTCCGAATCTACACCAGATTAGTGACGGGTAAGTGTGAAGGGATTCGAAGAAATGACGCACAGACGACGGGCTCGAAGCAATTCTTCCCATCGATGGTCAAACTGGACTGATTGGGTAGTTCCACGGGATACACAACATCCACACCCATCTCAATCATGCTTTGCACAATCGTGTCGTATTTCTGGGTCTGCATCCTGTCAGCAGTGCATGCTTAACGTAGAAGTAATCCTAAATAAAAACAAGGCAAATATGCAGTGTCCATGCCGGTCAGGACGCTGACATGACCAAGATGAATACAACTCACCATGTACCTCTCAGCGTCAGCATTTATCCGACCAGACTTGCGCCAAGCTCTCCAGATAAGAGGCTCGCAAATTCCAATCCTGAGAGTCCCGAAGTCAGGCTTGATCTTGAAGGATCTGCGAGGCGCTCTCGCGTGTTCCTCCCGATTCGAGGGCATCATGATGGCGTCCATCAAAGCTACGAGATCCTTGGCAGATTTGGCCTGACGACAGCAATTAGTTTTTGTAAAGGCATATCGTTGTGGTACTTACCATGCCGCCTACAGCATCAAAAGTCTTGCTCAGGTTGAAGATACCGTCCATAGGCACTGCTCCAGCCGTCGGCTTCAGTGCATACAATGCAGCGCGATTAGCTGGCGTAGTAAGTGATCCTATCGTGTCCGTTCCAATCGCAAGTGTACTGAAGCCAGCAGCCACTGCCACAGCGGATCCGGTCGATGAACCTCCTGGCGCTGAAAGCTCCCAGTGCAGCTTCCTCTTCGCAATATGTCTCGAAACATACGGTGATTGACACTGGCCTCCCACTGCTGACCATCCCGGAGGCATCGATGGGTTCTTTAGACCGCAGAACTCCGTCAAATTAGACTTTCCGATGATAATCATGCCCTTTTTCAACAGTCTTTCCACGACTGTCGCGTTCTTCTTCGGTATACATCCAACAAATGCATATGAACCTACGTGAGAGTGTGAGTTGCTCTTCGCACCATGCTACTGCCGCAGAAATAACGTACCAACTGTCGTATCCATTCCTAAACTTTCGTCGGTCATGATATTGTCCTTGAGAACAATCGGGATCCCATGCAGTGGCCCGCGGATCTTGCCTCTTGCCCGCTCCTCATCAAGTCTCCTGGCATTTTCCAACACCTCGTGTCGTGGTGCAACTGATATCAGTGCTCTCAATTGGCGACCTCGTCTATTATGAAGCTCAATCTCCTGTAGGTATGATTCCACAATCTGAACACTGCTGATTGCGTTCGCGTTGAGTAGTTCTGATAGTTCGAAGGCTGAAACTGTCAAAGGATCGAAGTCTGGAAGCCACGTCTCTTCTGCTGAGGATGTAAAGGAAGCCTTGCGCCGGCTGTTCACTTGCTCAAGTTGGCTTGGCCGCGGACCATGGTTGATATTTGGTGCAAGAGCGCTTCTCAGATACTTGAACACCTTCGGCATAGTGACGGAGTTCTATCTACAAGATTGATGACTTGGGAAGACGCCGTGAGAGAGGGATGCTGGTGACTGAATGTAGAATCGTGGAGCCATGAACAAGGGTTGTCAGACGTGCAGGACCAAACACGGCCTGATGAGCATGCAGAGAGACCGTTGAGGATGGTAGAAACAGGGAGCTTCTACGCGGCTGCCACAGAACGGGGCTGTACCAGATTATCTGTGTCTCCAAGAGTCGCTCCAGACATCTTCGGAACGGACATAAGCGGGTGCTGGTACTGCAGGCCATCCAGACTCGACCAAGTCAAAGGGCTGCTTGACATCCTGGCCCATAGGCTTAGTGAGATGTGTGACACCGTTGGTAACTCTTCTTGAGCCAATCGTTTCCAAGAGATACCCAGTAGGCCGCGAAGGCATATCACCTATTCGCAGATGCGCCCAGGTGCAAGGTGATCGAGTTGGGAGTAGCACGACACTTTACCCGGGATGCAGGGCCGCACAGAGCTGTAGAAGGCTTGGAGCTCGCGTGTGACTGCTCGCCTGCTGCCGTCCAGTGTTGTCGGGACAGATGCAGGAGCTGGGGTGCGATGCTACCGGTGCTGTGTCGAGCAAGTATTGCTATCGAAACTCCAAGTCTTTGGTAGATATGCCAACTTTCAAAGCATGATGTCGTCGTGCTCTACGTGTATGCTTTCTGTCGTAGCACAGCATGGCCTCTGAATCTCCTGATCTTCGAACTGAACGCACTCTCCCTTGTCGAAGCTCCTCACCATGACGAATCCACTCCTCCCCCTTTCTCAAGAAGATTGTGAGCGATATCCAGCTCGGTTCGCAACCCAACAAAACAGCAGAGCTGCAGGGTGCAATGCAGCATGGTGGCACAGAAAAGGCTATTTGTCTCCGCACCAGCACCATCTTGGCTTTTCGCGTGGGCGAGAGTGACGCCAATCGGGTGCAGGCAGATGAGGTACAGCATGTGGACCCATGCCCAACATCCTGTCGCTCATTAACATTAGGGCCAATTTCCAGCAGCTTGCTTTGCGGGGGATCGACCATTCAGGAATCCTCATGTGGCATGACCCAACTCTTTGGGGTCATAAACTCCATGTCCGAAATGGCTACGTAGCCGTGTGCGCAGAGTTTTGGAATCTCAACATCTTCAAATGTGCAGCTTAAACTGCGCTCGTTTGAAAAGGGAACAAGGCTAGAGTACTCGGCCTGATGCAAGCTTACCTAGGTGCTTCAAAGTCGCCCATCCTACTGTTGGCCACGATGGAAGAACCGGATTGGCGGCACTGCACCAGTGACCATGGCACGCTTCTTGCATGGTGTAACAACTGCACGTCGAGCCTCGGAGCAGTCGTTTATTCCACGCGCAAATATTCCGTCCCCACGCAATATGCCGCCCCACACTTCTCAATATCGGCGCCACGCTGCGTATATTGCATCCTAGACAGTGCCGCGAAACAAACCTGATCAACTGATGCTCTGGTGCGAGATTGCCAGCGTGCTGGGAGACATTCGTCGAGTTTGCCAATCAGACGGTAGGGCTTTTGATGTATTAATCTATGACTGCCGTGAATGAGCGAAGAGCCGGTCTGGGGTTGTGAGGGAAGGATGCGGCCCATGTCGTATGTCGCATGTCTAAATGAGGTGTGGTGAAGATCAAATCATGTGGATGTGGACAAAGGGTGCTGGTACTCGAGGTGTTGATGAAGGAAAAGCGGGTTGGCGCGTCGTTTTGAACAGGCATGGTCGCAAGCATCTGACCCTAATTCCCACATCGAGGAATCGACGAAGGACCCCAGAACCATGACACCGCCACAGTGTAGTCCTGGCCTCTATCAGTTGCAACGGTAGTCTTCTCATATTGCCAAGGCGTGCAGAGGCGCCCAAACTTTGTTTGTACGACGCTTGAGTATCGGTTTCATCGACCGGCACACCAAATCGGCCTTTTGCTATCTCAACTATCGGTTCGAACAGAACCGCTGCCTTTTCCTATACTACAAGCCCTGCCTCATTATAACATCATGACATTACAGCTCTTCCGCACTTCTCTGATACTCTTCCGCCTGAATCGTGATATTGTTCACTTCTGCTTTCGCCTCTTCCCATGCGGCCTTGTTTCGCTTGGCCCAATCGATATGACATTGCGCAAACTCCATCTTTACAACAGTCAGCATCATGTGCTTGGCGCCACGCATTTCAAGAGGTTGGGCCTGTGACACTTACCATGTATCGCCGCAGATCGTCTTCTTTCTCTGCCTGGAACCTTTTAAGATCTGTCAAAACGCCTGAGCTCGCGTCTTTTGTATCCTTTTCTGCAACTCCTAATGCTTGTTCAAGCTGCGCTTGTGTTAGTGGGATGTTTCTGGCGCAATGTAATCCCCGTCAAGCCTACGCACCTGTACTAGACTGTCGCGTGTCTTGCCAATCTGATCCCGCCTTGTTTTCTCCGGATCCACATCTGCCATGCCTCTGAATGCATGTGTGATGGATCCAAACAGCTTGTTCGTTACGAAATTGCCACTTGGTGACTTTCTGTGTGCGTTATCTGGCGGTGAATTGACTTTCTCAGGAACACCTTGTGCGCTGGATGGCACATCTCCATGGGTGGGGGGAAAGTCGGAGTCAATTGATGCCCGGTCGTCCTCTGGTCTCCGCTGCTCGGGATTGCTACTGCTTCGTTGCGAACTGGCCGACGCCGCTCTACTTCGATTGTTGGGTAGTACGTGGCCCGCGCCACTCAAGTGTTGCTCCAAACGCTTCGCTTCCGCCTCGCTGCGTTCCAGTGACTCGAGCAGGTTGCGCTTCTTTTCCAATTCATCCTTAGTCATTTCCTCCTGTATTCGTTTGAGGACTCGGTATCTGAGGACGGCGCGGACGACACCAGCGAACTGCGCGCTTTCGCGCATGGGCTCAGCAAAGCTTGCGCTTAGTGATGATGATAGTTCGGTTGTTGCAATATATGTCGAGTCTACTGCCTGGCCAATCTTCTCTATGGCAGAAGCAAGGCTTTGTGTCTGTTCGGAAAGCGAAAATGCATTAAATCGTGCGCCGAGGTCAGCCATATCTTCTCCCCAGTTTCCAAGATGCATCAGTAGCCGCCTGTTGACCTTTTCCATGGGACCTTGTAACAGGGTCTCCAGTTCCTTGGACGAAGTCTCAAAATGCACAAAGTAAGGATCGAGCTCCTCTTCCGACATGGCCCGTGTCTCTGGTGGGAAGCGACCGAATATCTGTGGTCCCGGCGTTGTATGCGCAGCAGCTGACGGCATAGCTGCATTGTTCGCTGGAGAGGCGGGCGTGCCCGAACTTGAGGTAGGCCCGACGGTCTTCAATTTGGCTGACGAGGATGGTACTGGGAGATAGCTATGCGCCTGGGTTGGATTTGCGGTATCAAGTGGGGGCGCCTTGAGAATCTGCTTGGGGATGTTCGACACTGGAGGGCTATTGAGCACATCATTCTAACAGGCAATCAAGTCAGCACGGATCATTAGTAAGACAAGAGTCGGAGAAGCGTACCCAACTTGTATATGGATCCAGAAACCTCCAAAAGACGCCGTCCTCCAAAACTTGGTTCATCTTTCGACAGCGATTCAGGAACATTGCCAGCATGCGCTTCCTCAACTCTATTATGCCAGCATCTTCCTTCGCCTTGGTTGGCTTTGCAGCATAGTCTGCCATGGTGTGCTTCTCGGGTATCGGAGGGATGATCAAGGTAGGGTGAAGGTTAACCAGCGATGCGCGCAACGAGGCAAATTCGGAATATCTGCGCTTGACTTCTAGGCCGCCACAATTTATCGTATACTGAATGTAGTTGACCCCGTCCTTGCCCGCGCTGGTGATCAGCACAAGCTGCCCAGGGTTCTCATGCAGCCATTGCTCCACTCGGGCGTCGTAGCCACCTTTTCTAGCTGTAGGGGCCTCTCCAGCCTCGTCGCGATCCTCACCGTAGTCCACATCGCTCATGTCTCGCTGGGAGATGTACTTGGGGGATTCAAGTGCGGGGGAGGAGGCGTCCGAGGGCGGGGTCGCGGGACGGTAGGGAACTGAGCATCGTTTAGCTAAATCGCGCTCGACTGCACTATATGGTAGCATTCTAGGCGGGGGCCTCACGGGCAGCAGGCGATGCTAGACCAGGACCATCGGATATGTTGGAATCATGGCGGGCAAAAGATCCATACGGATTGTTGTCCTCGTCGTCCCACATGTCGCCCCAAGTCCTCCAGAGCTGGGTTTACTGGTCAAAAGCGCGGCAGAATACTTAATTATTCTTTGGGGGAGGTGACCGAGTGAACGAGGTATGTGATTAGTGTTGTAAGGATGCGAGAATGGCGCTTATCTGAGGTGTTGCAGCTCCCCAGACATTCACGCGGCAGCAACGGTGACGTTGAATGTCCGTGCACGACAGGGGTCGACAGCTGGCGCCGACATGCCCAGCCACACCGGGCTCAACCACACACGTGACACCACTACATCGACCTGTACAGATGTACCCATCCCACCTGCTCAGATGCGTTGCACGAAAACAACATCCATGGCCTCTGGCATCGGAATGGCTGGTTATCTTACATTATTGTTCACAGACCACAGGTTACTGGTCACAGATCACACAACACAGCTCCTTGAGTAATTTTGGCCCTCTGCTTACTATGATGTACTCCATTCCTCCAGCGTGCTACTGTGCATTCTCTTCACTGGTTGTCGAACTCTGTTGTCAAAAACGCTCCTCCTCAATGACGGATGCTGGAATTGGCTCGTCCAGTAGTACAACGACCTTTGGCGAGCTACGCATGGATTGTGCCTCCCGTACCTTCTCCAGTTGTATTCTTTACCACCTCCACTCTCTCCCCTCGCACGTCTTGTTTGACATCTCTCATAGCTCACGCCGCCTTCTCCTTTATTTTAGCTCACGCCGCCTTCTCCTTTATTGTTTCTGAGCCGGTTTCCTTCTTTTCAGTCTTTTCAGTCTTTTCAGTCTTTTCAGTCTTTTCAGTCTTTTCAGTCTTTTCAGTCTTTTCAGTCTTTTCAGTCTTTTCAGTCTTTTTGGAATCTTCCTCTTACTCTGGATATTGAAACGGTATCCCTTGAGTAGCTTGCAGGCCAGCGCGCGGTATCGAGTTGCGTGGTATTTCCTGTGTAGTGCCCGAATCGCCACTGGAACTCGACGAAGATGATGTCAATGAGGATGCTGTAGGTGACTTCTTGAGGCTCTTGAGTACAAATGATGGTAGTTCATCACAGATGTGGACGTAGTCGACTTTGTCAGGTCCCCGATTACGTTTCCGACGAGGTGCTGGCTTGTCCTCTTGGACTACAGTAGCATGATTTGACCTTTTCGAATCAGAGACAACTTCGCTTCTCGTTTGTTGGTGGCCAGCAACTGGTTGTGGGTATGGCATTTGGGTTGGAAAAGCCGTCTGGATCGGAATAGGCATTTGGGTGGGAAAAGCCACCTGGGTCGGAACAGGCATTTGCCCTTGCCAAAGCGTCTGATGATACTGTGGCTGGCCGAACCATTGATTCTGCACAGGCGCTTCCATCTGCAAAAGCCGCTTCGGTCTCTCCATCTTCGGCTGTGCAGCCCACCCCGTTTCCACTTGTCTGACGCGACGGCTTCCATCATCTCTGCTTCGGTAGCGCTTCCTAGACCTCTCGCGACTCTTCCCACGCATAGCTGATCGCCCTCTACTCCTCAAACAAGTCTCGCAAACCAGGTATTTTTCTGTATCACAGCATGTTGCTGCACTTTTCCATGGACTGACGAGGTGGAACCAGTGATCTAACTGTAGACACTGCTGGTGGACATATCTATGCGTATAGTAAAGTATCAGAGAAATCAACAGTAACCCAAAGACTGCCGCGAACACTAGCGCAATGATGAAGCCAGTACTTTGCATTTTGAATTGCCTACACTATAGCGAGAGCGGTCCTGCAAAGAACAGCAGTACCATCCAGATTAAATACAAACTTAACCAGAAAACTCGGGGCATATAGAATCGAGTTGAGAAACAGGAAGTTTGCCCGAGGACTAGGACGGCAGCAAACATTCAAACGCGCCGTGGGACTCGAACTGCACATACCCGTTTCTCGCTGTTTATCCTGCGTCACATGAACAAGCTGTTGACTTGTCTGAGTCCTGGCCTTGTACCATGTTTCCGTTGTATGTTTCGCACCCGAGAATTCATCCACTAGTTAAGGCTTGACATGGCGCTCGAGGTAGTCCTGTGGAATATAGTTTACATAGCTTCATGTTGCTGTACTCGTGTTGCGCTGTCAGGCTTGCGTCAGTAAGTCGTCGCACAACATGTGGAGTCAGTCCAGGGCACAAACCCCATGATTTCATTTTGGTACCGCACTCTCCGCAACCTGCCAACTATACATCTTCCCCAGAGCCTACGCAGACCCATTCGTCGGCGTCTCATCATCCCTCCCGAATTCCATCTCCCAGGCCTGCGCCTTGATGGCGCGGGCGCAGCATTTGTAGAGAAGGTAGCTGAAGATGATGCTGAACAAGACGATTAGAGCAATGACAAGAATGATGGTGTGGTTTTTCTGCATTGGGGCGGGGGTGCGCGGGAGGAGCTTCGGTGCTGCTGTGGGCGACGTGTTTGGGACCGGTAGGTATGGAAGGGGTGTGGGCGATCGTGAATGTTTGTATTGGTGGCGGGTTAAAATTTGTATTTAGATTTGGAGTGGGAGGTTGGTGAGTGGAAATTTCGAGGGGGAGTGGGTGCGGGGTGCGCTATATATGAGTTGTGTGACGGTGAGGTGAAGTGAAAAGGGGCGGCTGGAGCAACCACACTTGATGTGACTGTAGATTATGAACTGTAAAAGATGCAGTGATGCAATCGTAATATTTTTGACTCTTATGCGCTTGGCGCGAGGAATCTCTGATATTTACTATGCCGGGTGAAGACAGACTGTCAGTGACGACGTGTGTTAGCGTCTCAGCCTGCAAACGATCCTGTTTGCACATGGGATATTCTACTTGCTGCCTAATTGTGTAGATATACTCTTGGGCTGGCCAAGTACTATACATGATCTCTGAGATAGTAGGCTATGTGGCTATGAAAGGTAGAGCAGGGTATGGTGTCGCCGTTGCTTCTGATGCTGTGGATAGAATGCCTGTCGACATATGTGGTAAGAGAAGAGTAGATGTATGCATATATATACACAATATATAGCCAGACCATTAGCTCTCCTGCAGCTGCACAGTTCCAACTATACATCTAAATTATGGAAGGCAGCCACTACTTAACAATTTCAAAGCAAAGTTCATCGAGGAGTTGGGAAGTTATTAACAAGACATGATGCTAGGTCTCGTAAGCTGATTGAGGTATCTATACTTTGTAAAACACAGTGCAAGTTTGCTTGCTATACTTATGTTTGAGTGGCTTGTACGCGTATAGGCCCTCGCGACTTTTTATTTAGTAGGACATCAAACTAGGTCATGACACATGAAAGCTATTTGTTTATACTTGGTATTTATTGTTCCCTTCAGTGACTGATTACAAGTTTCCAGCACTCTAATCAAAGGGTTTAGTATACACTCGTATAACGAAATAAATACAGTCAATTTTGATAGTAATATGGAGTAGGTTAGCAAATAGGTTTGCGGTACCTAGCCTTAGTATGCAAGGGCTATCATAGCTTCACAACATACTACCTAGCTGCCTCTCATGGTCGTGTAGAAATACTTGTGTATAGTTTCTATGACACAGGCATTAGGAATATTAGTCACGCCATGTATACACGTAACTTTGTGGAATGCCTACCTGGCGAGTAGGAAAGTAAGCGGATACTAGCTGTGGTTGCCATAGACGACGCAACAAATGTGACCGACGTGACTTGAAACCAGTCATACTTGTTCTGAGTCATAATCGAAGCATTTCGGTATCAGATATCGCCGCTCACTCTACAATTATGGTGAAAATAGAAGAACCGCGTTGTATTCACCCAAGTTCCGACGAAAAGTTGAGAGAAAGATATCGCGCTCTTGAAGACGTTTTTAGGAGCATGTCTCCTGTGATAATGTATTAAGATGACCATATAGCATCAATGTATCGGCGGTACGGAATATACTACTGTGGTAAATGCTCAGTATCTCGGCGGGGCTCTGCAGCCAGGTATGCCTGAGACTATATCTCTCAAGCCTTTTTGTCAAAACTTTACATCCACAAACCTTCACCTCAGCATCAACTGTACCCTACCCTTACATGTAACTTTCTGGATGACGAGTTTTGTGGCATGCCTTCTTTCACTAGTTATATTTCACCATCGTGGATATACATCAGATAGGTTTAGAAATACGATTACCAGCTCGTACTATCATGCCTTCTCTTTTACTGTCTTTTATCGTCAACAAATGATTACCCCCTCACTTCCAATATCGTAACAAGCCAGCGTCTGAGGTCTCATCCCCACGCTACATGGACTAATCCACCTCCTACCTCTCTTCTACTCCTACTCCTACGCGACTATACCGTTTGTTCACAACCGTTTAGTCAATGACAGTCACTTTCGCACATCAATCGGCTTGTAATACGTCCCCTACTTGATGAAGAGCATTCACTGACCCCAATGCAGTCCCCTGCTCATCTCATACAGTCCTTCAACGCCTTCGTTACGATGGAACCATCTCCTCTCATGACTTTTGACGAATTTGCTGCCTGCGAGGAAGCACGGAAGACCTTACTACGTTATGATTCGGAGCTGGAACCAAAGCCACAGCATCCATACTACCAAATGGAGAAAGAGCGCATTGATACGCTTCTCAAAGAATTCGGGCTTCCCATCACTGGCGTACTACGAGGGGCTCCTCTTGATGACAAAGATTTGCAGCATGTTCTACGCACAGCTGAGGCGCTCTCGCATGTTTTACGAAGCAAACCTTTGAAGATAGCATTGGTTGGGGCTCAAGGCGCCGGAAAATCACTGCTGATCAATGCCACATTCGAAATCACTGGTTTATCGTTAACAGGTGCAGACGGTGCAGCTTGTACGAGCTCCATCACCCGATATGCTTATTATCCGCCGAGTGCAAATGCGAGGACCAAACTTCATGCCGAAATCAAGTTTCTCAGGCGCGAAAAGAGAAACGCTATGCTGAAGGAGCATGCCCGCCATTACTATGCCTACCATCATGCAGACATTGAATCTGATGATGATGAAGATTCTGCTCCCAAGGCTGCAGAGAAGACTAATATGGATGTCAGCTTGAAAGATACGGCACAAGACGTCTTTGAGAATTTGTTTGGTTCTCGACAGGCACTCCAAGATGCCTGGAATGTACAGGACTACAGGAGTGGGGAGTTTCTTACCTTGCTTCAGTTCAAATGCAACGAGGCATTGCAAGAAGAGAAAGATTATGCTGACGGGACTGTGACGAGAAGTGCCGACGATGCCAAAGAACTCACTGACAAGCTCCGCTCGTTCCTGACCACCATCAAAGATCAGCGTTGCCTATGGCCGCTCGTAGAAGAAATAATTATCAGAGTGCCTCATGGAATTCTTCAAGGGGGCCTTGAAATCATCGATCTTCCAGGTAGATTCACAGTCTGGACCAAGTTGACAGCCTGACTAACAGTTGCATAGGCTGGGGCGATGTGAATAGGACTAGAGTTCAACATGCTGAATCCATCAAAGATATCGTCGATGTTGAGATTATTGCAACGGACACAAGTCGTATTTCTACGGATAAGAAACTTATTGATGGTGCGCGAGCGGCTGTGGCACACCATGGTGCATCCGGCGTGAAGGTGGTGGCTACAAGGATTGATGTAAGTCTAATACCTCCCTATGACCAATTCAAGCTGACAATTCTATAGAGCTTGTCCAAAGACGAACTCTCACAATGTTCCGGTCCAGAGTTCGACGAGGTCAATCGCAGACTCAACGAAGTCGACGAACAGGAGAATGCCATGGAGGATGCGGATGACGATTGCCCTGTCAAAACCATGCTATTGCGACAATACAAGACATACCTGGAACGTTACCGAAAGCAAAGGAAAATAGCCCAGCGATCTGCAAATCTTACAGCTACCCTACCGACCTTGCTTCAAGGCGGATCATCGAAGGGCCTACCCGAACTGTATCATGTTTCGTCAGCAAATTATATGGACTGGATTCGGAAGCCGAAATTGAGATTTGAAAATCAGCCCGCACTAACTCCTGAGATGACTGGTATACCTGCGATTCGAGAGCTTCTTCGCACACTACCGGCTGGGCAGAACCTCCAAGACTATGTTCGCCATATCAAAGGAACGATCCCTGAGTTCATCGAGAAGGTCAAGAGAACAGTGGCCATTGATGAACGCGATGGAGGTTTCAAAGACATAGCCGAAGAATTCAACTCGATTCGCGCCTCGTTCATGTCAAGACTACTGTCACAAGCCCGGTTGTCGTTCCAGGAGGCTTCCACGATTAGTATGACCAAAATCGGTAAAGACATACCTACCTTCAAGGAACAAATCGAAGAGAAAATCATGCAGAACTGGATTCCTCTGAAATGGAGTGCGTGGAATCGGACCCTGAAATGTCAAGGTGTGGTCATGGAGGGTGCATCCAAAGCACAAGGTCTTCAAAACGGCTGCAACTGGCCCCGAGAACTGGCAGCCATACTCACGCCAGGATTCAACAAGTGGTCAAACTTGCACAACCGACATATCAAGGAGACTTTCTCGTCCATTTTCGCGGTGGCATTAGCCTCGCTACACACAAAGGTCATCACCATGATGGAGAAGTCAAGCGCAAACGTTGTCACCATCGAGCGATCCAAGTTGAAATGGAAACCACTGCAAACACAGCTCCGGGCCAAGCTGAAAATCATGTCTCAGGACGCTCAAAAACTCGTGCAACTGAAGCATGAAGCTGCTACGATGGAATACAGTCAAGAGCGAGCTCTCATTACGTGCCTCACAGACGACATGTTCTCCAAGATCTTCGAAGCCATTCCCGATGAGAAAAACCCAGCCTCGTCCAAATCTGAAAAGAAGAAAAGAAAGACATATGTCATGTCAAAGTCCAAATGGCAAAAGAAGTTGATGGAAGAGCTGTTTCTAAGTCCAGACGCCCATTTTGTCGATCTTGTATTCCGCTACTTCAAGAAGCAATTCGACAACGATATGAACAAGCTGCTCGAGGAACACTTTGGCAGAATCGACAACCACCTTTATAAGTTCAGGGCCGCTTTGGCCGGCGAAGCTCCCATTGACTACAAGTTGACCGAAACTGGCGTGGAGATGCGTGTTGAATTGGCAAAACAGCTCCCAGCGTTGGAAGCGAAGGCGGCTGAGCTGCAAAGTCTACTCCCCGAAGGTGTTGAAATGGAAGAGGATGCGGATGAATTCATACCTGTCAAAGTTGAAGCCGATGACAATGATGAGAGCGATGAGAGCAAGGACATGGTGTATGCCGAGGATGCTCTGGGTAGTAAGAAGAGGGCGGACTCGCTCCAAGTGACCATGCCAAAGAGCAAACGCATCAAGAGCGAATTCCACTAAGCATTTTCCAAAAACATGCGCTCTGGGATTGTGCGCTCTACCCAGACTTTGCTTGCAAAGTTCATTTATGCAGATTGCTAGTCGTTGTCTGCTCAAGACGGGGAGAGACGTCCTCTTCATACAGTTTCTATTCAATTTTAATGTTCTATTTTAAAACTCCAATAAACAATCTTCCTATTTCCTACTCTAGAATTCCTCTAGATAGTATTATTCCTCCAATTTACTTCTACTATGCACCTTTCACAGTGCTTCACTCGTCAATTCAACCCGGCAAACTCAGAAGTTTGCAAGTCCACCAGCAGATGGTTTGCACTTTTACCCTCCCATGACATCCTTCTCCTTCGCGCATCTCATCATTGATCCTATTCTTATCTCTCCTTCCCTTTTCCTCGACCCATTCACATGTATACACATACACACGCCCTACCAAAAACCCCCATTCCCGACACCCATCCTCCCCACCCCCAACCCCCCAAAATCCCAATCCCTCAACACCAACCCCCATTGAAAAAAACCCCAGAAAGTCCGCTCCCCACAACTCTATTTGCCAGCACCCGCCGACGTGAAGCATATAACTACAAAGAAAAGTCCGTGATTCATGCCATGACTAGCGGTTCGCCATAACCCTAAACTGTACATCCACAACCCAGCAATCTAAACCAAAAAACCAACCGCTCTAAAAGAACCAATCAAAAAGCCCAGAAAAAAACCCATCCTAAAACAGGCAAAAGGAAAACGTAAACAAAAGCAAGAGAAAAAAAGGGGATTAAAAAAACCCCACCAAAAACCCCCCCCCCAAAATTCTTTGGTAAGACTACACTCGCACAACACGTTCCTGTTCATGCTAGAAATGCACGTCCATGGCAGGAAAGCTTGTGTTCCAACGGCTGTATTTGTCGACATAGCTGTGCTTGATAAAGTCTGCTTTTATAAATATAATGGCCGCTTTTTGGCCTCAAATCCTGCTTTTCAAACCCACCACGGACAGACTACCAACAGACTAGATAGATCCACGCCTAAGCGCCATCTACCAAAGCACCATCATTCTTGTTGTCATGAAACGGCGTGATATGTAACATGAGAGGTGATGTTTGGCAGGGAATCTTGAATTGATGCTGTGGGGGGTAAGGGTGTGAGAAAGTGTTGGGGGATATTTATTGAATAGAGGATGGGCTATAAGGGATTATGTGGTTAGTTTTTGTCTTTGTGTCTTTGTGTCTCTGTGTCTCTCTGGTAAACATGGTCTGGCATAGTCTGACATAGTCTGACATACTCAAAACACACACACACACATTAATTGTAATATTTTTTCCATTTCATACAATATCACCCTAACAGGGACCATGACCATGGCCATGACCGGCCGACCATCCCGTCCGCCTGTCCGTCTCTCCCCGCCATCATACCAGTCTTTTATATCTGTACATTTCCCACAAAAACCCAAAGAAGAACAGTGCCGTACGTACGCATCACCATCCAACATCACCTCCCCTTTGCCCTTTCCCCGCAACCATCCCCCCCCCCCCCCCCCCCATATACCAAATGAGCCAGCCGGCCATCAAACAATGTCTTTGCAACAACAAGCAGCCAAATCGAGCCAAACCAAAAATCGAGACCAAAACCAATAAACCCAACGCTTGTTGATGTCCCGTGTCCCGTGTACCGAGATAAAGTCCGTGAAAAAAAGGCGGAGGGACACATACGAGATGTAAAAGAAGAAGAAAAAAAAAACACCATACGACGCCCGGGGAACATGCGTATGCGGGACTTAAGACAGGACAATGGTGGAACGCCGGAGTGACTTCTCTGCGCGGTCTGCGTTCATCGTGCCAAGGACGTGCGCCGCCGAGTGAATGACAAATCGATGCCGATAACAAAACAATTGCAAAAACGGAAAATGACGCCTCTGCTGAACGTGTAGTAAAATCTTCTTCTCCCTTGCCTCATCTTTTCAAAACGCTTGCCTCTACTTCCCAACTCGTCGTGCCGTTCGTGTGGTTTTTTCAACGTCGTTTTTTTGTTTTCGTATTTTCTTCTAGTCGGTCGAGCACGACCTGCCCTGCCGATGGACCTGCAGTGGTGGCGGATCGAGGTCATGATATTGCTTCGGCGTCGGATTAATCAAACTGGGGTTTTCTGGCCTACACCATGTCCATAGTCTTAGCCCTTCGGCTTGGTTCCTTTCGGAGACCAAGCCTTCTCAATACCAAGCAGATAAAACAATGCTCCTATCAACCTCCCTTACGCTCAGAAGCATTGGCAGGCATAGGCTCTCCAGCCGTCTTCTGCTCAGCCTTCGCCTTTTTGCTCTTGCCCTTCTTAGTTCGGCCCGAGCCTTGCTGTTGCCATCCATTGGAGGTATTACTTCCAGTGTTTGGCTTGTGCCCATTGCTCTGCTGGCTGCTCTTCTGCTGACCGTTACGGCTGTCCTTGCCATTGGCGTGATTTGGGGCGGCATGCGAGGCTCGACGGTGCTGCTGACCGTTGTCTTTTGCATGTGGCTTGCTCCCGTTGACCCATTTATTCAGGTCGGAAATCCGACTAGCGGAAGGAGAAGGAGTGCGTGTCTCATACACTGGCGACAGCAACGGCAGAGTGGCGGATTTGATCTCCTGGGGTTCCGGCCGTGGCGTCTTCGACGTCTCTAAAGAGGGAAGACCATTTACAAAAGCAGGGGTTCGCCACGCTGGAGCAACTGTACGAGTAGGTGATATATCCTCTTCGAGATTGGCACGTCGTCCGCTGCCTGCCTCATAGTTGATCCAGCCTTCAGAAAAGGTAGAAAACGGTTGCTGGCCCTCGCTAGGGACTCGCGCCAAGCCGTTGGACTCCATGGCCGGGCTTGTCTTCATTGACCCGTTCACAATCTGTGGACTTCTATTCTCCATCGATTTCTGTCGTTGCATTTCTTCGTACACCATTTGCTGTTGCTCCTGTAGCTGGCCGATTTGATGCATGGCTTGGCTGTTGTCAACGTGCATGCCAAGGCCAGACATAATAGACATCTCAGGTGGGACGACATCAACGGTGTCGCTCCGTAGGCGTGGCTGCGTTGGAAATGAGCCATTCACTATGACTGGACCACTATCGACAGGTGGCCGTGCCGAATCAATGCGTGCCTTGCGTTGCTCGTCAGCAGGAACACTAGGCTGCTTGACACCGGTGGAATAGCTTCTCAGGTGTCCACCGAGAGGGGAAGGCGATCTTGACACTCTTCGCAGTGCGGTGTTCAGAAGAGGCTGTGTGATCTCTGAAGAGACGCGCCGGCGGCGTTGTGCCAATTCACTGAACGATGGGATCTGTGATACAGCGTATTCCTGCAACGGACGGGGTTGTACGGGCGAATCTGCAACGTAATAACCCACGTGTTCTTTCGGTATAGTCTCTACGGATACAGGTACAGCAGCAGCAGGCTCTTGCTGTTTTGGCTGTGGAATGGGAAGGTATGGTACCTCTGTCGTGGGCTGTGTGCCTGGTGGATCATGTGTAGTTGAGCGAGTGATGGGATATCCAGGGAAGCCAGTAGGATCCGGAATCTGGGGCACAGGTGGGTAGCCTACCATGACAGGTTGTTGGGGCAGGCCTCGCGGAGGCTGCGAGTGGGAACGAAGGTTACTAGTTTCGCTAGCATTAGAAACTCGGTGGCCTGCTCTTCGCACGCCAGGGGCACTATTACTCAGTGAAGGAGAAGAGGGATTCGTCCGTGTTCCGTCCTGGGAGCCAGCAGCATCGGGCGGTGATGCATTGTAGAAACCAGGATAATGGTACAGAAAGCCTGGAGGAAAGGCATTTGGCGGTATGCCAAGCTCGGCCAGGCGAGGACTGTGGCCATTCATGTATGCCGACTTTTGAGGCGAGCCACTGGTATTATGTTGGGCTCGGTTCTGGGCTTGTGCGTGCGCGATTGCGTGAGCATGCTGCTGAGCAGTCCGTACCTGGTAGGCTTGCTGAGCATGTTGTTGAGCGGCGAGCTGAGCACGCAAGGAGTTGGACTGCATCTCGAGCATCTGGTACTGCTGGTACAGCTGGTCATGCAGTTGCTCCGGGAGACCCCTTGGGATGCTAAAGTACTCTGAACCAGGCGCCCCGTTGATAGGTGGACTATGCAGAAACGGCCGATTTTGGCTATAGTTGGAGCTATTCGAGGATCTCCTGCTGTTGCCTTGCTGACTCTTGAGGCTGAGGCCACCTCGACCCCCTCGTTGATTCGATCCTCCCCGTCCATTACGAATCGGGACACTGGAGGTAATCGTTGCCTTTTGCGACTGCGGCTTCTGAAAAATCGATGTCGACTTTTCTTCTGGCGGATACTCGAATTGTTCACAGGCCTTGGCCAGTTGTTGACCATCAGCGAGGAGATCGAATGCTCGACGTAGCTCCAGATGAATTCCACGCCACGCATATCCGTCTGCCGAATTTCCCAGATTTCGGTCCGTGTTGAATGGCTCCTCAACGCAAAGACGGTTTACACCTTCTTTCTGGCCACCACCGGGGTGCCACCCCTTCTCTTCACGCTTGATTCTTTTGCCTTGCCGCACGGAAATGGCTTCTTTTTCATAATCTACCTCGTGGCCATAGGCTCGGAAGAAATGGAAGAGCAAATTCCCCAGGCTCTGCTTGTTCTTTGCGCCAAATCCTCGCAATTTCTCCACATCATCTGCAAAGCTGGAAAGTGACGGCTGGCCAGTGCTCTTGTCTATCTGTCGATGAGGGAGCTCATGCAGAACGGGCAAGATCGGCGGATCTTGTGTTTGAAGGAAATTCAAGATTAGGCAAATCCAAGTATACGAACTGATCGTGCCACCGATGCCTGATGCCTGTTAGATGTGTTCTTCAAGAATGGTTCGCTTTGTGGAGGGGGGAGCTCACCGGCGTCATTGAGGATTCGCCGCTTTGTCCAATGCTTGATAATCATGGCCAGTGGGCGTACACGTTCATCCAGCTGAATGTACGTCTTGATCATGCGCGTATTCTCGATTGCGGCAACGTTGTTCACGTTGATGTCACATGCAATGTGCAGCTCTGGGTCCCAGACTTTTACTATCCGGACCTTGGCGGCTGGTATACACACGACTCGTTCCATGCCATCTGTGGCGAGGTTAGTATTTGTTTGACTCGAGAGTGAGAGAGAATGCCTACGTTTGTCCAGTGCCTCGGCGAGCGGATGCACTTCTTCCAGCCTTTTCATGGGCGTCTGAATGCAAATGTCGACTGATAGCATGTGTCAGTAGAGGGAGGATCTCCTAAGGTTAGGGTATAATTACCATCACTCTCGGCCGTCCAGAGCATGTTTCCTGAAGAGCCAAAGACGAGCACCTTCATCTCAGCACCAGGAAATTCAAGCTCTAGAATGCGTTCCACCTTCTTCACAAACTTGTCGCGAATATCCTCGTCGTGCTTGGTCGGCTGTATCCGGTCGTACAGTTCACGCATGTCGCCACTTAATTTATCATCCTCGTGGGGGTCCAATGTCTTCTTCGGCTCCTCCTTGGCCGGCTCCAGCAGCTCGTCCGACTGATAGGGCACTCTTCTCCGGCCCAGCATGCCTACGTTTGTCTCGAACTTGCACTTGAAGGGGCGCGCTGGCCGAAGAGTGGGCATGGCGCTGTTTGCCTCGGAGGCGACAGAGCGCGGCGAGTGGCTGCCCAAGCCGCTATTTGGGGATGGTGATCGGGAGCGCGTCTCATATTTGCGTGGCACCTGCATTGGGGTGGAGGGCACGGAGTTCGAGTGTTGTGAGACGAGCGAGGGGCGCTGCTGCTGCTGGACGCGTGCTTGGGCGCCCGGCTCGTCCTGTTTGCTGCACATGTCTGGCACGCCGTTTGATGTCATCGTCGGCGCGCTGGTGAGCACGCTACGTTTTGGCTCCTTATTCCCATCTGCAGTATCTCTGTGCGTCGGGGCTGGCTTGGACGGGGGCTTCTTGGGGGCGGCGCGGGCAGCGTCCCGCAGGGGTGGCGGACTCAGGGAGTGAGGAGACACTATTACGGCGGGAAAGGGCGTGTGGGCGGCAGACTGATGCAGTTCGTCGATGCGCGCCAGCTGCAAAAAGGGGTGCAGTAGTAGATATGGGGGCGTGTTGGCCGAGTGTGAGTGCGAGTGCGTGTGCGTGTGCGTGTGCGTGTGCTGGGGATACGAGGGAGACCAGAGGCCCGTGGGCACCTGCTCGAAAAAGGCGGCACACTCTCTGGTGCGTAGGCTGGTCGGATGAATCTTGGGTGGATGCTGGGTGTAAAGATGCTGCGCGTGGTGGCCGTGGTTGCTCATCAACCTTTGCGGCCCCAGAGAATCGCGGTGCTAGGGGAGGGGGTGGCTGCTGGTGCTGGTGCTGGTGCTGGTGCTCTGTTGCTGATGCTGCTCGCCGTGGTGCAGGCGGTCGGCGTGGTCGTGGCTACAAGAGCAATGCTCTCTCGCAGAGCGAAGGAGGGCAAGTAAACAAGAGAGGGCCGGCGCTCGCTGGTGCACAAGAGAGCCAGAGCCGGGACCACAAGAATTGGGCGTGGTTGTGGGTTCTATGTGCTGTGACCCCTGCTGCAGTGACCAGTCTACACTATGTAGGGCAAGAGAAGTCTAGAGAGCGGCCCCTCGAGAGACGATTCACTGGAATTGGACGCGGACTAGAGACTGGGGACTGGGGCTGGGGAGGGGGGGGGGGGCAGACAAGGCGGGCGGGCGAACAAGACCAAGCAAGCGCTGAACAATGATGGGCGTGGGCGTGTTGTGTTGTGTGGGTGTCAGACTGTGGGTGTGTAGTCTTGTCTGTCTGTGTGTGTATGTGTGTCTCTGTGTGTGTGTGTGTGTGTGTGGAAGAGAGAGAGAGAGCGAGAGAGTGGGAGAGAAGAGAGAGAGAGAGAAAGACACAACAGGCGGGGACAGCAGGCAGGCGAAGCGGGAGAACAGACGACAGCTTAGTTGGAGGCTCCTCGAGAGAAGCAGCGGAGAAGAGGTTATGTGCGGCAGCATGCATGGATCATGGCCCGCTGGGCAAATGGCCCCGTTGACAGGAGGAGGGTTCAACGCACAGAGCACAAAGTCGTCTTGGCCCAGTTGGGACCGACCAGCGCCCTCGCCTTACTCGCGACAGGGGGCGCCTTTTTGATAGTAGAACAATATAACCCCCCTCCTCCTCCACTTCCTCCTCCCCTCCCCCCACCCCAATTATCTCGGTACTCTGGACTCTAGAGTCCATTCCAATCTACTATATACATGCGCCGTCTTTTCCAAGAGCCTCTCCTTTCTCTCTCTCTCTCTCACACACACACACACACTCACATACTCTCTCTCTGGGCCGGGGTGGGTGGAGGAGGAGGGGGGAACATAAAGAAGCAGCCGCGCATGCACCTCCCGCCCCCCAAAGTGACGTTCCCATGAAAGCTGGCTGGCCTTTTCCCTTTTTCCCCATGACAGCCTCGTAGTCATTCGCAGTCATGGATTGCCGTCAATGAGCTGTCGCAGTAACGGTCGGCCGGTGCTCAAAGGTCAGGCAGGGCACAAAAAAGGTACATAACAATAGACAGCGTGCGCCCCTTGGCCACTAGACCCAACCTGCTACGGGCCTTCCCCCGCGCCATCAAAGGCAGACAGAGACAGGACAAGGGCAAAAGCAAAACGACCGCCCACTTCAGCCCCATTCTGTTTATCGCCAGTAGCCAGTGGGCAGAGGGGTCCTCTATCCTCGCAGGCCGTCAGCAGTCATCGGCGTTTTCGTGCGCCGACTGGGAATCGCAGAGGCATGAGCGTGGTTGTAGAGTAGGTTCTGTACACAAGGGCATAGGGTAGAAGGGCGCGACTACCTAACCTAGAAGCACCCTTGGTCGGTTGTGAGGTGGTCACCCCTGCCCTCCCAGCAGTTTGACTGGCGCACCTGGCCAAGACGGTACCGCCACATACAGTTGGGTTGGAGCTTATCCAATACGGTGTGGGCGATCCCGCCGGTAGTCATCTTTGTTCTGGCCGCCGCTCGAACCAGTGCAGTCAGCCTGGGATTGCCATGATGCACCAAGGCCTCTCTACACCGTCTACACCGTCTACACCGTCTACACCGTCTACACCGTCTACACCGTCTACACCGTCTACACCGTCTACACCGTCTACATACACCGTGTGTACAGCTATGTGCCATGTATTCGTAACCCCAGAGTACCTATGTAGTATGTCTGGGGCAGGGCTAGAGTAGGGTGGGTACCGGGAATCTACCGTAGAGCACAGGGCAAGCGTAGACTTGATGGGGCCAAGGTGCTGAGTGTACAGCCAATCTTGGGGCGGCAAAAAGGCGGAGTGCTGAGCTGAGCTGATCAGGCACGAGCATGCGTGATCAAATCATCCGTCTGAGACGGAGAGAGGGTGGCAAGGCCGTGCCAAAAGGCTGACTGATTCGTGTAAGATGGATGGCGTGGGATTGGGGAGCGAGGTCAGACTTGTCCGTGTGCCATTCCACTGTGGCGACAATAGTATATCGGAAATGGGATTGGGATTTGGGGAGACACCGGTCAGGTCCATGGTCCAAGAGGAGATTCGGCCAGGGATATAGCCAACCTTGTACTAGATGCAGTCGTGTGCCGTGCAGTCTGTGTTGTACTGCGCTGTCTCGTCAGCGTCAGCGGCAGACCTGTGGACCTGTACCCGGCTTTCCGATCCTAACGATCCCATCTACTATGGAATCTGGATGGGACGATGCAGGGACGAGCGGCCGGCTTCAGGGTTTGCCCACACCCACACGTTGATTTACACTTGAATGCTCCGAGTCAAAGGAACACCTGCTCATCTGCAAGCTGCTGCAAGCTGCCAGTCTCCAGAAGTCCAGCCCTCCCCTGGCTGCGCCCGTGAGAATACAGAGTTTCTTTTTCTCCTTCTCTCTCTTCCTTCCTTCCTTCCTGCCTTCCTTCCTTCCTGTCCATGTTCCCTGTCCGTCCACATGTACAACACACATGGCTGACCATGTACCTGTGCTGGCCACGGAGGAAGATAAGCAAGTGTCTCGCATTAGCTGCCCCCGTTACATGTCCCATACCTACAAGCAGCCCTGGAGAGGAGGCATGTGCCCTGCCGTAAGCAGCAAGGGAAGGTGTGTGCTTGGGTAGAGTAGGGCAGGTGCAGGTGGTCGCTACGGCTGGCGGGAAAGCGCGAACGCGATGTTGAGTCGTACGGCTGGCGTTGGGAACCATGTCGGAAGGTGGGAGGTCGGAAGGAAGGAGCAGGCTGAACCACCTGGCTTTGTCATTGCCGAGGCAGCCCACGCTGGGAGCCCAAAGAAGACTTGGCTAGACCCCTCTGTGCCTTTCGGACCAGGCAATCGTCATCAATGCTGAATTTCGAACCATCATGTTTAACACTCTACAAGCCACCCATTGCCCTACTCTACGTACTCTACCCCACTTCCTTATTCGCTCTCTTTCCTGCCTCCCACACCAAGCTCCACTCGCACAAGAAGAACATTTGCGTTGGCCTCCAACCATGGTCCAACAAAGAATTCGTACGTCCCCTTCCCTCCACCCAGAAACGCCCACCCACGCCGGTCTGTCAATGGTGTAGATGATCAATCAGCTCATGTGTATACATTAAAGCGAACCCTGCACTTTTGTAGGTTGGAAACCAACACGTGACGCATCACCACATGTTCTGATACGCAGCCAGCGTCTGCGACTTGCAGGAAAAATTCCGCCCGGCCATCCACGCATTTCCCAAGGTGGTAGCAACAACGCAGAAATTACTCAAAGCCAGTAAGTTGTCGAAGAACCAAGTCGTCCCTATCCCGGCCTTGTTCCACGATGGCGCCTCATCATGATGGCAGTCAAGACGGCGGCTTTCGTGCTACCTGCCCAATCCAGCCCTGGCCTGCCCTATTCTTCTACCAACACGCAACACAAAAAAGCCCACCTCGCTTCAAGTCACTGCAACGTTCCACCGTCCTTCTATCCGGAACACTTTCCGGTCCCCGGGCTGAGAAATTCATGTAGGCCAAATCTTGAACATACCAGTCTTTGCCACAACACAGAACAGAGCTAGGTTAGTCCATGGCATGCCCCGGTCTTCGTCCGTCTGCTAACCTTCTCACCTCTTGCAGGCTTGGGGAGACATGTCCAGAGTTGAAGCTGGATGCACCGGGTGGTATCAAAACAGTCTGCCACTTGGACAAAACACTCTTCTCCATGATGTGAGCTGGTTCCCCCAACCCATAGGCTCTCCCTCCTGACATGGGATCAGCACACCAGAGGTTCAACAGTCGCTGGACTCGCTCAAGGCTGAGGGTCCCTTGTCATGCATCCTAGTCGGCATTGAAAGCCACATCTGCATAACACAGACGACCATTGATCTGCTCAATGCTGGCCACAAAGTCTACGTCCTCGCAGATGGAGTGAGTAGCTGCAACAAGGAAGAAGTACCCATCGCCCTGGCACGGCTGAGGCATGCGGGCGCCATTATCACCACCAGCGAGAGTTTCATCTACGAACTCGTCGGCGATGCAGGAACTGCCGAGTGAGCAATGAACCCTTCTTCTTCAAGCAAAAGGCACTTCTATCCGCCATGGCGTCACACAGCTAATCCACCGCAGGTTCAAAGAAATCATCAAGGTCATCAAAGAGACCAGTGCAAGCACCAAAGAAACAATGCAGACCCTCTGTAAGATCTAAACCTCGAAGGACAGATTTCTTCTTCTCAGCCACGCAAATATATTCGGTCGGAAGTTTTGCAGCACCAAAAGCAATGGGCAGGTAACACAATCTTTGTACATTTTTGTTCATATCATACAACATAGAAACGTCGCCATGTATCCGAAACCTTTCACCAGAACTATTTAGCCCAACACACTACATGTTGCAGCTGGAGAATCCTTGACCTTTTCCTAGCACATGCACCACACCTATCCACCCATCCACCTACACTCTTTGCACCCAAATGGGTGTCTTGCATGCATATACAATATGTAGTATGGAATGGATGTGTTTCGTTTTCCGGGATTTGATGGGTTTTGAAACTTGCCTTTTTTTTTCTTTTTTCTTACTCCTCCTTCTCCTCCTCCTCCTTCTTCTTCCATGTCCCGTAACACACACTGACGAACTATATCAATCATTCCCTACAAATAGATGTTGGTCTCCTAATGTGCTGTTTGCTATTTATAATTGCTCATTTGTTTAGATGGCTAATGTGTTAAGCCTCGCGTCCCCTATGTTGATATCTGAAACCTACCCCCCTCCTCTACACAGTGAACGAACTATTCACTCCCTCCCCACAATCCGATTCTTGTCTACCAACACCTCCCTTGCCATTTCCAATTGCTCGTCTGTTTTGACGACTAATGTCTTGAACCTCGCATCCCTCGCACTAATGTCGGTAACCACCTCGTCTCCCACCTCCCCCCCATTCCTCCTCTCATCCAACGCAAACCCCAAACACCCCACCGCCCTCACAACCTCGCCCCTCAACCTCGCCCCCTTCTCCCCGATCCCGCCCGCAAAAACCAACGCATCCACCTCACCCTCCAACTTTACAAAATACGGCGCCACATAATTCACCACGCGATCGACCAAGATGCGAAACGCAAGCACATCAGCCTCACGCTCCGACGCACTAATGGCCCCAAAGTCCGTGGTCCCCGTCAGACTGCTCCACCCGCTCTTCTTATTGAGAATGTCCTCGGCCTGGGTGATGTGCATGTGCGCACTCGAGCTGCGCGACGGCTTCCCCGCCGCATGCGTAAAGTGGAAAATCAGGCTTGGATCGATGGAGCCGGAGCGTGTGGCACCGGGGAGTCCAGCAAGAGGCGTGAGTCCCATGCTTGTGTCGAGGGATTGGCCGCCGCGGATACAGCATGCGCTTGCGCCGGAGCCGAGATGCAGGGCGATGAGGTTGAGGCTGTGGACTGGTTTGGCCAGGTGGGCGGCTACGGCGCGGACGATGAAGGCGTAGGACAGGCCGTGGAAGCCGTATTTGCGTAGTTTGTTTTGCTGGGCCACGGCTGGGTCGATGGGGTAGGTGTTGATGTGGTTGGGGAGGGTGGCGTGAAAGGCCGAGTCAAAGTAGGCAATGTTTTTGGCGTGGGGGAGCATCCTCGCCACGGCGCGGACGATGCTGAGGGCCGGGGCGTTGTGGAGCGGGGCGAGGTCGGAGAGGGCTTCGATGTGGTGGTAGGTTTTGGAGTCGATGATTTGGGAGCGTGGGTAGTCGCCGCCGTGGACGACGCGGTGGCAGGTAAAGTCTATGTCTTCCATTTTTTGCAATTCCACGAGCCCGTCGTCTGCAGTCAGGTGCTCGAGTATGCAGCGGAAACCATCTTCCTGCGAGGCCACATTTTGGATTTCTCGGCCTGTGATGGTTTCGGGGCCGCGCTTGTAGTTTAATTTTGCGGGTGGTGCTGTGAGGCCTTCTACGGTTGCTTCGGCGAGTTGGATAGGTGTCGTTGTGCTGCTGCTGCTGCTGCTGTTTGACGGCGTTTTGTAGACGGAAATCTTGACGCTCGAGGAGCCGGCGTTTATAGAGAGAATGATCTCGGGCATGGCGGCTGTGGGTGTTGGGATTACTTCTCTTGTGGTGTTTCTTTTCTTTCTTGTCAATGGGACGAGGTTTTTGCCTGCAAGGTCTCGTACTGAGTATGTTTTATCAAACAAAAGTCCCACTTGTATGCAATCCAAAAGATCAAGGTAAGTGCAATGATACTCCCAAATGCTGATGGTTCACACTTGTTGTTCACAGATAGGAGTCAGAATAATCGGAAAGATGGGACCGGTTAGTTTTGGTCTCCTCCAACCACTTTTCTTCACTAAGTTGCGATTGCAGCCTATTTCGTCATACAGGACGCACTCGGGGTTTAGAAAATAGCACGTCCCGCTTTTTCCCAGATTTGGACATTTCCATTGACTGTGTTCGTCTGCCTATAGTACGTGACAATCGGTTTTCCTGGTGCTCCTATCGTTAACTGAAGAGTGACGTCATTGCGATGACATTTGACACTATTGGACCTAGGTATGGAGTTCCGCACTAACAACATATTGCTTACCACCAACGTTCGAACAGAATGCTACAAGACGCTTAGCGAAATCAATCATCAGCCAAAGGATATTGGTAATGCCTCTGTTACCCCGCAGTTTGACGAGTATTGCCAGGTGGTACGAATTGCGGGGAAGGTGGAATACATAGACAAGAACGCCGATAATGATCTTGCCATGATCACTGAGTATCATATACCATTTTCTGTTACAACAATCTTGCTGATTAGTACGTGAAATTTCAAGCAACACACAATGTTTGACGAGAGACGAAATGCCTACATTACAGGTAAGACCGCTCTCTAAACGAGGATTGACGCCAGCCCTGGGAATTGCGGACTCTCTAAAACTTGATAGGCGGTGCCAGCGGCATAGGAAAGGCTCTGACAGTCAAACTCCTAGAAACTGGCTGGCGAGTGTTCGTCGCAGACCGCGATTGTTCGAGCGTACAGAAACTCGCAACCAGGCAGCATCAGCGAGACTTGGTACTCGGCTTTACTCAGTGCGAAGCGTCATCGTGGGAATCACAACTCGAAGCCTTTCAAAAAGGGCTCGACTTCCTAAAGGGAAGGATCGATTTTGTGGCGCCTATCGCTGGCATTGGTGAAAAGCAATGGATTCCTTTTAGTGGTCAAAGCGATACCCTTCCAGTTGGAGAATTCGCAAAGCCAGACCTAAGTGTCGTGGACGTTGACCTGACCGGTGTACTATATACAATCTCCCTGGCAGTTCAGCAGTTCCGTCGTCAGGACATTGCCAAAGAAAAGCAGTGGCAGAGTCGTGGCAAGATAGGCCTTGTAGCAAGCGTATGCGGCTTCTACTGCGTGCCTGCTTTGCCGATTTATACAGCGGCCAAACATGCCTTGGTCGGGCTTACGAGGAGCTATGGTAAGCTGTTACAAGAGGAAGGCATAACGGTCAATGCCGTCGCTCCCCATGTCGTTCGCACGGCCATCAGTTCGGATGAATTTTACGATAAGCTGGAGGCCGAGGGTCTTCTCACGCCAATGGACGGTCTGATAGAAGCCTTCGGGGATATACTGAGTGGCCACGGAAGTGGACAGGTTTACGAGTGCGGGCCGCAAAGCGGGAGCTGGAAATTACGACAAGGAGCCGCGTACCTAGATGAGGAAAGTAAGACGTGTTGCGAACTTTTGCAGCAACGAGCGAGAGGTTTGCACTATGTTTCGAGCTGACGCAATTCCAAATGGAAACACTCGAGAATGGCATCTAGGAACGGTGAGAGTTGGCCTCATGAGCTGGAGTGTATTTTCTGCTAGTAGGCTGACGGAGTCAAAGCGACACGAAAGTTAGTTCATGTTGATAGCAATGTTAGGTAGAGATTGTCAATTGCAAGTCCGTGAGGTCCACGGGCAGCTAATATTAGCGTGCACGTGTCATGCTAGGCATCTTACAAAGCTACGCTCCAACCTCAGTGCACACTTTACACGTCTAACATGACTCTCGACTTCAACGATTGCCAAGTCTCAATGTTTATGGTCGCACGACTATAGAAACACAGCTTCGACGAAAACTCACATGAGCACTGATAAGCAAGAAGCGTCTTAGGTTACACCATTGAGCGTGGTTCTTACACGGTTCAGGGATCACCATACCAAGTTAGACTTGCCAACGATCACTACCATATAACGACTCCACGAGTAACGCAAAACCAGCATTATTATTGGATGGTCAGTTTTGCCGCAGCAAGCCCGGACATGGGGGCACCAGCAGTCACGAGAAATCACCAGCTGGCGCCGGCTACTCCAGAGAGATCTGCAGGATGCGACACGAAGACCGGCATGGTCTCTTCTGCGCGTAGCAGCATAGTGTCAAGCTTTGCGCAAGTGATTATCCGGATATATCTCACGCCACACGCAGGCTATGCGATCGTGAACAAGGCTCGAGGATGGGAGTTCTTGCCTCGACCTGGAATGGCGTTCACCAGGGGGGATCAGATAAACGACCTTCCAAAACGACCTTCCAGAGCCCCGTGGTGGGCAATCTTGAAACTGCCGACGACAGCAAAGCTTGACCCTGATACTGGCCATGGACAAGCCATCAAATGGCATGCAATTAAGATCTGTGGCTCGATGCCAAGAGCTTTGGGGATTCACATACCGTACAAGGCAACCGCTAGACTCGATAGGGTACTGCCTTGAGAAATCCCTCCACATCGTCGTGCTGCTGCTGGCTATGGCGTGTTTGTAGCTGGCTGTCGGGCTAGAAGAACGCTTGATGAGCTCATCAGTTTGGTCCGTTGAGGGCTGGAACCGACGTTACGAATGACTTTGCGGCTAAGCCTGCCCATTGCATATCTTTACTTAACGCACAGATTCCCCCGCACAACCGGTCGTTGATTAGGTATTCAAGCCTTGCATCTTGACACTACTCTCATCAGTCTCGTTTTAGATACCTCCTGCGGTTCTTGTGCTTCTCGCATAGAGTCGTTGTGTCATCCCCTGATTTCCAAGTCACCACTGGACCTCGTGCTATTCTTGCAGAAAGTCACCGGACACGACAATCTGAGCTGCCTCGTGATTCTATCGGGTTATTGTGCCACCCGAAGTCATCAGCAGTATCAGCTCCTGGCACCATGTCCAACGACGTCTTACTCCTACTGGGCGCGGCTTTTGTAGCCAGTACTGCTTTCTTTCTGCTCCAACAACGCAGGCGAGTAACACTTGTGGATCCAATTCTGAATCAGTTGACCAATGGCCGGAGGAGAGTGTCCGCTGCTAAAACCCCCCCTCGATCGCTTTCGCCAAGTAAGAAGCAGCGTGAGCCGCAAGAGCCGGACTACTCGAGTACTTTCCCTCCATCCAGACGCTTCGCATTGGCCGAGACTGAGCTGGCCTCCAAACTGGACGTAACACGGACGGGAATCGCAGCTTCCAAGCCTAACTGGACAAAGAATGTTGTACCACTCGAAGCATCCTATCTGGACATGGACGGATCCAGGTTCACACCATGTGAATTCTCAATCAACGAGATCAAAGCTCTCGGGAACTTCCCAGACTACGCTGCGCTCAGTGGAGTCCCCCTACCACAGCCCTATCCAGAATTCGACATAAAGAAAGCCCTTCCACGCCCATACCGTCCGTTCCGATGGATGTATCATCAGACAATGTGTCAGTAGCCTGAGAACAAGTTGCTCGGTTCGAAAACGAACGTCCTTTGCATATACTAACATTACTTAGCACTCACCAAGATGGAAACAGACTGGTGGCTAGAACTCGAAAACACGTACGAAGAGCGCATCAAGCAACGGCAACAACTATACGCAAAACACGGCAAGGCTGTACTCCAAGCACTTCCCGGCTCTGAACTAGCATGCAAAGAGTTGATGGAGATGGCGTTGCAGTTCTTGTGCGCACGCTATCCCCAGTACTTCAGACTAGACACGACCAAACAGATATTTCACAACGGGATATTAAAGACGGAAACAAACCTCGCCGATACACCACCATTACACGTCCTGCTCAACAACATACCCGAAGACTTTGCCATAATGCTGCGAGACAACAAGAGCGGCTTCTACCTTTTCCGCGCCGGAATCATCTGCAGCGCATTAGGTTGGAACGTCGCCTCTAAGATCGGTCTACGACTCCATGAGATCCACGCCCCCATCCCAGACTACCGAGAGAAGATGCAATTCTCCATGGACAGGTAATCGATCCGCCCCTCCCACACCCTATCAAATCACACAACATAACCAACTAACACCCCTCCGAACAAAAGATACTTTGCCAAAATGCCCGCCGACAAGCCCATCCAACGCGGCTCCTGGGGTCTAGAAATCGACCAACCCCTATACATGCCCCCCGGCGACCCCCACGAAGCCCACCGCAGTACCCAGCTCCCCAACCTCGACCTCTCGCGCTGCCACCTGCGCGTAGACTGGCAGACGCTGCGCCGCCTGCCCCTCTCCGCAGGCGTCGTGTTCAACTTCAAAGCGCTGTTTACGCCCGTGACCGAGTTCCGCGACGAGCCTTTCATCCCGGGGATCGTGCTCAAGGTGCTCAACGAGGGAAAGAGAAGTCTGATGGAGTATAAGAATACGTGGCATGTGGAACATGTGGTGAAGCCGGCGCTGGAGCAGTGGCACGGCGAACAGGTGGATCGGGGTCTGGTGCCGAGGGATTGGGAACCGCATACGTTGGAGGAGAGTCCTTGGTATCCGGGGTGGGAGCAGAGTTGGCGGCGGAAACAGGGGTTTTAGGTAATGTGTATGATGGGTTGTGGGTGAGTAGGGGTGTACAGAGGAATAGGAGGGACCAGATACGGTGAATGCAGTAAGTAGCGCTTGAAGCATGGAGTAAGGATTGGTGCCTGTATGTCCACCCCCTCAGAGCCTAGACGCAACGCTAGTCCAGACGAAAGTCGCGGGTCTGGCAGGCAACACGCGCATGCTTGATGTGTACCGCGAGCCTCACATTTGCGACTAAAGCCCTGAGTAGCGTTGTCACACGCCAATGCGAATAACGATCTCTTCTCCTTCCCCCCACCTCTCTCTCTCTTCCCCCAGCGTCTCTCTCCAGTGTCTGATTAGCACCGGATCTATTCATCGTCGCTCCGCATAAGGCAAAAACACTTGTGTTCAGTTGCCTGTTGTCACTGGTCCGCAAAGCAGCAAAGCAGGCAGTTGACGTTTTTCAGCGACTTCACCGATTGGATGTCCATACAGGTACAGCTCCAGTCATCATATTCTTGATTGGATGGGCCGCGTTAGCGTCCACGTTGTATGACAAGATGACGCAGCCAGGCTATAATATGCCCCCTGTCGATATCGACGACTGAATGTCCATTGTATTAAATGATTGCATCATGGAGTTGTTTTATCTAGCTTGCGAAACATCAAAGATGCTAGGGCTAGGTCTCCGAACCGGTGCTTGTTCCTGAACACCGCCCAAGGCTAACGTGGACATGGTGACTTTGAGGAAATAAGTTCTTGTGGCATGAAGAGGAAATGAGGATTCGGCTCAGACCAGCGAGAAGAAGATGAGCAAGAAGACGCAGAAATACCACCAGGTGCTAACGGCAAACAGCAAGGAAACAACCAAAACTGCCATAGGAGCAACAACTTTGGAGAGGGCTAAGATTGCGTCTCAGACGACCATGGTCTGTCTTTGTCCTTTTCCTACAGCCAGCATTCCGTCGGCGGAAGAGGATACTTTTCTCCGGTGTTCGTGTTGGCTGAAGGACGATGGGAGAACCGCCTGATCATGCTCCTCAGTTGGGCAGATTCTGTTCCGTGGTCAGAAAGCTCAGCGAGCTTCGATACCAACTGAAGTTCACACTATACCTGATAAGTAGTCTGCGTTGTCGCCTGTATGGGCCTTTGACCACCGCATCGAGGCTGAGAATCATCAGCTACCGGAGTTGGCTTCGCCATTTGCAATTTGGTAAAGGCCATCGGACGATTTCGATATTCGCTCAAGGCCGCTCGTTTGTGGGTGACAGCAGAAAGGTTGTTCAGCCTCTGAATCAGATATACAAAACACGAACTGAGTTATTCAATCTCTGGAGGTTGCGTGAAGGCCTTCCCTATATATACCTAGCCTGACATATACTTTAGTGAGCCCATATGGTCCATTGAGGACCACGCAAGGCGACGTGTGGAGAAAACGACATCGTGTTCTCCAATTCATCGTACACCGCTCGGGTTCGCAATGATTGAATTGGATAGTGACCGATCTTACGAGCACTAGCATGGTTGTGCCTATGCTGAATATTCTATTATGATGTTGTGTACCTTGAGTATGCAATTGAAACACGGGAGTGGAAATCTCGCGCAACCAATGATTGTACCGTAGCGCTAATCGCTCCGTAGGTGCATCTGCCCCAAGCCCTCATGTTCATAGATAGGTCTAAGTCTATATCAAACATCATGTGAAGATACTCTCAAGCAACACTGTCACTATCACTGTTAAGGGAGTCGGTTCTGGTTGCATCCGTCCTGGCGCAGGGTCCTTCGTGCACGAATCCTTGGCGAACAGTGGTTCCGTGGTACAGACCACAAGCGATGAGGCACCGCAACCAGGAATTTGTATTACTTCAGACATGAATAGATAATTTTTGATTCAGTAGGTTCAGGGTGCTGAGTTCTTGGTTAACTGAATTCACTCGCCGAGTTGGAGTCTTTTCGCAACTTGGCAAGATTTTGCACCGCCATCGTTGTTGAGATTGAAGTATTGAATTCCGCCGGTGATGAACATCCTAGAACTCGGTATCATGTGGATAGCTTGGTGGTCAATCATCCAGGTTGTTGCCGAGCTTATCACCGACTAAACAGAGTGTGAATGTCGACGAGGCAGGTAGCTACTCGAGACGCGGGATCTTACAGCTGCTGTGTACCATGTGCCAAAATGGCTGTCAGCATCAATCAAGCTTGTGCTTCGAGTTTTTCTCTGGGAAGAGACATAACTCTCCACCGATGATGGATGTGAATTGCGCATAGCGTACCCTGTACATCACAAATATGGCCAAAACAAGCTACATCAAAGCGAATGTGGATGTTCGGGTAAACAGAGCTCCAAAGCCATGTGATTTCTTTAAAGTTTGTCGTTGGTGATACGGTCCTTGCTGCATCTTTTGCTCAAAAGAGAATAGAACACCTCCGTAGCCGCCAGATGTGTCCATGATGGTCGGGTGATGGCGACTCACTTCTGAGCCTGCCCTAAAAGGACGTCTTGTAGCACTAAAGGACAGCAATAGAATACAACTCACAGCTTGTAGGTTCTCTCACTTATCGTCATCGGTGTTCTCGACGTGGGATGGTTCAGAGCAACTTTGTAAGTACTCCTAGAAAGTGAGGAGAGTTATCCTTGTTGAGAAGCTGTGGAACCCAGATTCTCTACTATCAACAATCGCATGTGCATGAAATTTGGGGTGTCAGTTGCCAAAAGGAGTCGGAAACTTAGTCTGCAGGTCTCCGGTTGCATTGTAGGATAGTTTCTGATATAGACCTCTTGTATGGGGGAACTATGCAGTCGAATCCCAAGAAAATTGGACTGGACGATGTAGAGGGATGCACAGTCCATAAGTCTGAAACGACTTGCTGAACGCACATGATATTGAGTGGTGCTGTGAGAGGTTGTCTGTTAGTGATGAGGTTGATGTGCCCCAATTCAATTTTCGAGGAGATGATGCAGCCAGCATGGCGGGATGCCTTTTTCTGCACCCCTAACCAGCTTAGCTATACATTCTCGGTGTTCATGTGACACATTTAGATAGAGGGAGGTGATGGACACAAGAACATCCCTATCATCCGCAAATGACCGGAAGAAGGTATGCCGTATGATCAATGTAATGGGCCATCCAGTCCATACTATATTTGGAACCTATCATCTGGAATTGCGGCTGCGGCTGCCAGCGAGGAGGAAATTGATCGGTCCGTGGCGATGACGGTACAGACACAATGAAAATGCCAAAACATGCCGCAAACAGACGCGCAAGCAAGCTACGAAGGGCAAACTGTGATTTCGAGGCATAGCAACAATGAAGCTCAGCTCGTTGTGACGGTAGGAGAAAGAATTCACTGGTGACTGACAGAGCAGGTGAAGAGGTGAGACAGCGAAAGGATGTTGTGTTGTGGCATGTGATGGAGTTTTGGGTGGGGCAAGGCACAAAGCGGGTTACCGGTAAGATGCCCATGACGTATTTGCTGTGGCTGTTGTACTCTTAGAGTACTCTATGTGTGGCTGAAGCTTCCCACGAGCAGCAAGGCACCACCGTTCGCCGCCACCCCGCCATGACCCCTCCATGCGCCCGTCCCCCCGCCCAAGTACCGTGACCTTTGTGGCTGCATGCCCCAAACTGCCAGGGCATCCTCATCACACATACTATACACACATGCACACACTCCCTCTCTCTCATACATACTCCCATACTCATTCGACAACCCCCTACACACAAAACTATCTTCCGCATACGTCAACATGGCCTACAACTTCGTCCGCTCTTACATAGATACCTTCCGCGAGCGAACCGCCGCCATCAGCCACACCTCAACTTTCCGCGAGACGGGTCAGATTACGCCAGAAGAGTTCGTGCTTGCAGGCGACTTCCTTGTCTTCAAGTTCCCTTCGTGGCAGTGGGCCGATGCTTCGTCACCCGCAAAGCGCGTCGCTTATCTGCCCGAAGGCAAACAGTTTCTGGTAACGCGCGGCGTGCCCTGTCATCGTCGGTTGGACGACAACTTTGCTGGCGAAGCTGGGCAGGATGAAACAATCGTTCGTGACGGATTTGCTGCTGGGGAAGGCGCGACCGACGATGATGGCTGGCTTCGGACTGGTGGCATGGCAGCAAGCCAGGAGGCAAAGGTGCGCGACGTACGGACAGTCGACGAGAGCGGCAACCTGGGCGCAGCTGAAGAGGATGATGAGATCCCAGACATGGAGGATGATGAAGACGACGAGGAGGCGATTATAAGAGATCCGCAGGCTGGCTCAGGCACCAAAGCGTAGGATCCTCCAATGCTCGGCGCTGGTGCATGAGAAGAAACGCATGCTGACAGTGGGCTAGTCCTCTGCGAACGTACACGCTCTACATCACTTACTCGGCCCACTACCGTACACCTCGATTATACCTGTCCGGATACGGCTCAACTTCAGTACCGTTAAAGCCGCAAGAGATGATGGAGGACATTGTGGGAGACTACAAGGACAAGACCGTCACCATAGAGGACTTTCCTTTCTTCGAGCACGCACTGAAGACTGCTTCAGTACATCCCTGTAAACATGCTTCCGTCATGAAGGTGCTGCTTGATCGCGCGGACGCTGCGCTCAAGCTACGGCTTACCAAGCTCAAGGCAGGCAAGGATGTCAGCAAAATCGACAGTGGCATGGAAGGTCTTGTGGACGATACGCGGCTACTCAAGTTGACTGAACAATCGAAGAACAAAGACGGCGATGAGGGTAAAGACGACTGGGAGGTGCTTAGTGAAGGTGGTGACGATAAGGTCGCTATCCGAGTCGACCAATATCTCGTTGTCTTCCTAAAGTTCATGGCTAGGTTAGTTAGCAACCTCAAGTTTCAACCATCTAATTTTCGTGCAGACGCTAACATGTAACAGTGTCACACCCGGCATAGAACACGATTTTACCATGGGTGTATGATGACCTACGGTTTCGTTTCTTTCCTCTACCTTATATTGAGTAAGGGAAGTTTTCATTCTAGTGCCATTAGGTCTGCCGTTCTTTTGCTGTCTGCGCCTGTTAGAGCGGACAAATTAGGCGTTCAAACGTATGTGGTGTTACGACACCGCACTATTCGAGCTGAATTAGGAATTACAACTTCGTTATCCATGAAGCCGACCAGGTACATGTCTCTGGCCACGCAAGATCGTTAGTCTCCTTCGACTCGAACTACGCGACTCATAAAGTCAACCATTGTAGTAGTCCCATTTTCCCCACACTAAATCCCTGTCATCCCGCAACCTTGCGATCCTCAAGCACACACGCTGCATGATAGATGGCCAAGCGACCTCGATAGGATGGTCTGCTTTTCGCTATCGGCAATCGCGATTGAAAATCAAGAACTTATCAACTCAAATGTACAATAGGAACGAGTGCTGTGCCTACAAAGAAAGCAGTTCATGTAGGAAAAGTGGAACACGACGGGAATGCAAAGAGGGGAATATCTTGGGACATGGCATAAGCTAACGCTGATCCACAAAGATCCGAGGCACTGATTTGATCGGGGTGATGGGCTAGCATTACGGCAATTTTGATACAGGCTTTAAGAGATGGGACTACCTCGGAATGTCTATTACGCACGCATCTGGTGGCCGGGCCCTCAGACAATTCTCAACAGCTTGACTAGAAGCCCTCCTCTATCATAACTGTAGCACATTCACCATTCTCGAACCACATACTACCAGAATGGGAGGGTCAAAACCTTGGCCTCAGGTTCCTGTCGGGAACAAGGACCATACCGACGCTTCCGTGGTCATCATTGGAGCTGGCATCTCTGGTGAGATGATGGATGCTTTCCATTGCATTGATTGCTAATTGAACAAGGCATGTGTATGGCAATCGACCTCATCAAGCGCAATCAGTGCCACAACTTCATCATCGTCGAAAAGTCCGCCAGTGTTGGTGGGACGTGGTACGATAACAAGTATCCCGGCTCCTGTTGCGATATTCATAGTATTCTATACTCGTACTCTTTTGAGCAGAATCCGAATTGGACGCGCGAGTACCCTGGCCAGGAGGAAATCCTCGTACGTTGACCGAGTGACCCTTTTCAGCCCAATCAATCGAGACTGACCAGCTTGATTCTTGAAGGACTATCTGCGCAATGTGGCGAGGAAATATAACCTGTACAAGTACATACGTTTCAACACGTCTGTCGATGCGGCAACATGGGACGACTCGAAGAACAGGTGGAAGGTCGACGTCAAGGTCACTGGTGGCAAGGAGGCGGAGTTCAACCCAGAGTACAGCATTGAGTGCGATTACCTGATCTCAGCAGTTGGCCAGCTCAATCAACCACGATACCCAGATATTGAGGGCTTGGCGGATTTCGAGGGCAAGGTTATGCATTCAGCAAGATGGGACTGGAGTCATAGTCTTGAAGGGCAGAAGGTGGGAATCATAGGGAATGGTATGTCTGCCCAGGGCTTCAATCATAATCGATACTAAAATGCATCTCGTCTAGGCGCAACAGCAGCACAGATTATCCCCGAAATACTTCCTGCAACATCCTCACTGACAGTCTATCAACGCTCCCCCAACTGGGTCATTCCCCGCGCCGACGGTCCTGTCAGCGCCCTAAAACGCGCGGTACTCAAATATCTCCCACCAGTGCGTTGGCGCATACGCAGCGGCATGATGGAATTCCGCGAATCCTTCCACGAAGCCGTAACAGACGGCAACAGCGGCTTTGCCGGCCTCGTCCGATCACTGTGCCTCGACATGATGAAAACGCAAATCCCCAACCGACCGGATCTCTGGGCGAAACTAACGCCAGACTACAACCCAGGCTGCAAACGCGTCATCATCTCAGACGACTACTATCCTGCAATAGTACAAGACAAAACAGAACTGGAAACCAGAGGCATCAAAAAGATTACCAGAACCGGAATCGAAATGAACGATAGCACACACCACGAGCACGACACCATCGTCCTTGCCACCGGTTTCCGAACCGTAGAGTTCCTGCACCCCATCAAAATCACAGGAACAGGGGGTACATCGCTGGACTCGCTCTGGGCAAAAGGTGCCTCTGCCCTCTACGGCACCACCGTGCCCTGCCTCCCCAACTTCGGCATGTTCTACGGCCCCAACACCAATCTAGGCCATAACTCAATTATCCTCATGATCGAGGCGCAGTCCCGCTATCTCAACACACTCGTGGCCGCTGTCCTCGATGCGCGCAACCGCGGACAGAGAATCGGGATTATGCCGTCGCAGGCGCGCACGGATGCGTTCAACGAGCGGATCCAGGAGGTGTTGCAAAAGAGTAGTTTTGCAGATGAAAAGTGTCAGAGTTGGTATAAGAATGCTGAGGGGAGGATTACGGCGAATTGGAGTGGGACCGTGGTTGAGTATCAGGAGGTGTTGTCCAAGGTAGATTGGGAGGATTTTGTTACGACGGCGGAAGTGAGTGGAGATGAAGGGAAGGGGGCGGAGAGTGTGAGGGCGAGTCAGGTGGTGTTTGGGAGTGGAAGGCAGGAGACGAGGGTTGGCAGGGTGAGGGAGGAGTCGGTGGTTAGTAATACGACGTTGGTGCTGGGTACGCTGAGTGCGGTTGCAGCGGGGGTGGCATGGGTATATAGGGAGAGGCTGCCGAAGAGGTTTGCAAGGTAGAGTTGGGAAGCTGGCGATGTGGTATAAAGTATGTGGCTGTGGAAGTAATCAAGGCCAGCAATCGATTGCTCTGCTACATTCACGGTTAGGCGTACGAGTATCATTCGATAATAACCCCCCTCAAGCCAAAATATCTTTCCCAAAGTCAGCGAGAGCTTAGCAATGAGAAGAGACATTTGTCTAACATTTGAACTCAAAGTTATAACTTAGTGTGGTATCTCAGGTTTCTCCCAAACAGCATCATGCTCCCCGATATAACTCCCAAAACGCCTTATATGCTAAAGCTCTCCTGCGCTTCCGCGCCTACACCATAGAACCGCTCGTGCTTCTTGACGGCTGATCCTCTAGCTCATGACAACTTTTCCTTGTAGACCCGACCAACAGTAACACAAGCTGCACGTCCATTCACCAAAACGCTCCAAAATTTGATAGCCTGGCACATACCGCCATCCCCCAGTGCTAGTGATTCCGAAAATTCTTCTTCTGGTAGAACAGATCCGTCCTCGAACTACCCAAATTGATAATCTTCGGACACCCATCCCTGTCCTTCTCCAATCTTGTGCACTCGAAGCAGTAAAAGGCGTCTGAGATGCCTTCGCCACCGCACACGACGCATTTGTTCTGGTAGTTGCCGAAGGAGCATTCGTCGCAGATGCGGGCGAGGGTGGTGGGACGGACGTATGAGTCGCAAACAGGGCATTTGCCGTCGCACTTGTCACAGAGACGGCCGATGGAGATGCCGGCTTGTTTGCGACACATGACGAGATCGCTAGGGGTTTGTTGGTGGAGAAACTCTGGAAACAGGAGAGGAAGATACTTACGGATGATGGCGAGACATGTTGGTTTGGGACTGGCTGTAGTGTGGCGGTGATGTATGCTCAAATGTGGATCTACTGTGGCGGTAGATTTTCTCTCGCTATTTTTGGTGTGGTAATGTGTCAAAGGTTAGGGCCTGTGGTAGTCTGCGTGTATGTGGTGTTGCTGCAATGAAGCTGATAGTGAACATGGGAGTTGCTATTATTTGCGGACCACCGAGCTTATGTAATACACGAACCCTGCCCATGGGTAGCTTGCCGGAAGTTTCGACCGCGTTCCGAGTCCCTTGCCTCGACCATCTTTCACCTTTGCTGACCACTTTTCGAATGTTGCGACGCGATTCTACGTGTTTGTGATTATTTTTTTGGCTGCCTCTAGGTGTTTTAGTCCCTCCCAGTCCGTCAGTGTCGACATGGACGGTCCAATCGCCTCCGCCGTAATATTGCCCGACGAACTCCTAGCACCGGCCTCGCCATACAGTACCAAAAGACGACAGTCTTCTGTAATCGAAGACACAGCCAAGCGTCCACGGCTTGAGGCGGATGCGGATGCGGATGTACAGAACCACCAAGAGGTTGTGAAGCCTGCGATTCCGGTGCGCCGTGAGCGAGGCAGAGAGCGCAGACTATTTGGTGCTGCCCTAGGGGCACTCTCACAGAACTCTTCTACTGCAGCACAGAAACGTCGTTCGGAAATCGAGAAGCGACAGCAGGCTCAGCGAAAACAGGAGGATGAAGAGAGCGAACAGAGAAAGGCAGAGCGCTTGGCTAGACGGAGAGAGCAGCGCTGGCGAGAGCAGAGGCGCTTTGAACTGGAAACCGTATGATTGGCCATGGTACATTGTGTCGTCGCGAGTACTTACTGCTGGCAGATGCGGACGCGACACGAAAATTTACGGAGCATGGCGCACTTCCTCCAGACAGAGACACAACCACACTTGGTAAGTCTACTGAACCCGCTTCAAAGGAGAAAACGGGGTCGCTAACCCTTTTGGCTAGTACTACAAGCCCTGGGAAACCTCGCCTACCGAAGACGATCGCATCCAAGACCAAATTGCTGAAGCCGAGGAGACAATCAAGCGCGAACTTGAAGAGTACGAAGCACGCCAACAGCAAGCTAATATGGGGAACCGGGAGCTATCTGGCGAGCACGACCGTGCTGCAAAGGAATACCAGACCGCTAAGGACAACAACGTGGACACGCCACAGCACCCATCCATAACCAATGGTGGGACTAATGGCGGTGCATGCTCTCCCAAGGACCTGGAAAGGAATGATGATCTTGCAGATAAACCCGGAAGCGAGGCGGTGAGACACGGTCACGCCGCCGAAGACGCACATGACACTAATATACCGAGTCCTGAGCCGGCCACTGACCATCCCAGCAAGGACGAAGCCGACAATGACGACAATGGAGAAGACGTCGTCGAAGAAGCAGCCGAGGATACCGTCATTTACTGAAGATCGTTAAGATGTGCGCCCCGTCTTCGCCTGGGCTCCCTGGGCCACCGGCCCGCCATATTATCTGCCGCCCTCTCTCAAATCAGGAGCCTCTCTCCAGGCTAGCCAGCATGACTATAGCACTTGGACATATGCTCCCCACTTCTATAGCCCGCACCCAAAGGACAAGGACATAAGCCGATCCTGACTATCATGCGTCTAACAAACACTTCGATGCCTTGCATCATGAGCGCTGCGTCGTGTACTCGCCCGCCGCCTCTCTTTCTACATACGTACAGCCATCCTGCCGTCTGATAGAGTAGCCAGCTTTCATGCATGCGAGATGGCACGATGCTACCTACCCTCATGCCATACCCAAGCCACCGGGGAAGCCCATGCAACAACGTTGTGAGTACATTTGCGGACGTCGGCAAATAGCATCCACATCCCGCTGTTCGACTGCAGTCGCCTCACTTTGCAACTTCATGCGAGGTTTTGATGGGTTCAAGGCAGAGATTACCATTGGTAGGCACCTAGTACGTACATACACAGAGCACAGCACATGTAACTCCCCACGCTTCCAGCTTCGAATGGGGTAGGTATGCCAGGGCCTAATGCGATATTTGGTATTGCTGCATGCACTAACGTTGCAGTGGATGATGAGCTTGATAAACATGGCCAGTATGCAGTAACCTATTCTCATCACCATCGTGTAGTAGAACCAGTCTGTCAGAGTCTGTAGCAAGCGACCCAGAATCAAACGTCAGTGAATATGTCATGTAGCCAGTATACGTAATTCTAAATAGCCATGTGTGTGTGTGTGTGTGCATCACCCATAACCTCTGCTTTGAATTTCCCCAGACCAATCTAACCCACCAAAACCCCACTCCCGCTCCAACCCACCGAAACGTGCCTCGGCACGACGCGCAATCCCGACTCTCCAATGCTAAATCGATCGCATACCTACCCGCAGTCACAACTCCTTCCTTTTCACCAACCAACCAACACTCTACCTACACCACAATCCTACCCCCCAGCCCTTTTTCCAACGCCACACAAACCCATCCGCTCCTTTGAAACAAGGTAAACTGCAGATCGGGGCAAACACTAGGTACACCCATTAAAACGCAGGATAAAATGGGTGTCCGGCCAATCGATCCAACGGGGGACGAGCGCATAGAGCACAAGACGGCGGTGCTGAATGGACATATGTATCATTATCTGTACGCGGTGCCTGTATCTGGGCGGTGGCGGGGGACTGTATTTCTGGTATGCTTTCTCCCGATTTTTGTTGATATCCGCTGTTAGTTGTTGTTTGTCGTCGATACTATTACTTTCAAGTTTTGCTGATGGTGGGTAAAATGTGCAGATTCACGGCTGGCCGGATCTTTCCATGGGATGGCGGTGTCAGATTCCTCTGCTTGTGGAGTTTGGGTTTAGGGTTGTGGCGCCTGATATGATGGGCTATGGGGGAACGGTATGTGCTTGCTTCGCTCGCTCTCTTCATGGGGGGGGGGGCGGGGTGCTGATCTCGTCCTTGTATTTTGGTTTGCTAAGGCTGGGGAATGTAGGATGCTCCTAGGGTGCCTCCGAATTCTATTAGTCTGTATGGGCTCAAGAGAGCGTCGGATGATATCGCTGCGTTGGCGAGGGAGGTGGGAGCAAAGAGTATTATCCTCGGTGGTCATGACTGGTGGGTCGATCGATGATTGTCGTGTCAAGCGATGTACCAATTGACGTTTGTTAATAGGGGAGGTTTCGTTGTCTGGCGGGCAGCGATGTGGTATCCTGAGCTGGTAACTCACGTCTTCTCAGTGTGCAGTATGATCTACCCGCCCCCCCCCACCCAGCTCGCTACACCTTACCATGGTTGATATGCTGATCGTTGGCTAGCGCCCTACACCGCTCCTCATAGCAAGTACATCTCTACAGAAGATCTTGTCAAGGGTCCACTGCCCCAGTTTGCCTACCAGCTGCATCTTGCGTCTGGCGAGGTGGAGAAGAGTGTGACTGATGAGCAGTCGATCAAGCAATTTCTCAGAGGCATGTACGGAGCAAGAGGACCGAACGACGAATTGGCATTCGATCCGGAAAAGGGCATCATTGCGGAAAATCTGCCCAAGATTGGGGAAAGTAGGATTCTAAACGGCAAGGTAAGGTCACCGTCAAGCCCATATTGCGTGTCCGGAATGATCTCCGCCGCTTTTATAGCCGATACATGGATTGCTTCCCCAGCGTGGTGTTGGGCGTGGTGTTGGAAGGGGGCGGGGAGGTCATCCGCTACCCGGGAAGTCGGATGCTCGACATTGACATGTCCTCATCTATGGATCATATCCACATCAGCGGAATGGCTGTTTCAAACAGATTGATGGTGTGCTAACCATGATGCAGGTCCTAGACTACTACGTCAAGGAGTACAGCAGACATGGTATCCACCCTACATGTATGTGTCTCCAATCGTCACTCGCGTACACGCTCGAGTCACATGACTGACAAAGCACGATAGTGAACTGGTACCGCCAACGTCGGACCAATTGGGAAGAAGATCAAGCGCTGCTCGATAAGAAGGTAATCAAGCAGCCCGTCTTGTTCATCCAGGCGACGTATGATTCGGTGCTCAAGCCAGAAATGTCAAGGAACATGGACGCGCTGATTCCAAACTTGACGCGTGCTGAGGTGCCCGCGACACATTGGGCGTTAACACAGAAGCCAGAAGAGGTCAACGAGATTATCCGCCAATGGCTGGAGGGACAAGGATTGGTGGAGAATACGAAGAGTAGTCTGTAGAGGAGAGCAGAGTAGAGTAGAGCATGTACTAGGATAGTGAAGCAAAGTGGGGAAAGAGGAGGATTCAAGGCCGATTTGCGGAAGGAAAAGCGTGGCAAGAATCCTGCGACTGTGACTGTGCGACCTAAACTTTTTTTTTGTGCTGAATTTTTCCGAACTCGATGCCGTTGGAACTTGCAGTATCGTAAAAGTACGCGTGTCCAGAAGACTGATGGGAGGAAGCGACGGCGGCTCTATCCGTCGCGATGTCGGGGTGGGAATACCTATCCATGATTGGTGAGGAGAGTATGGTATGCCAGACGAACGTTTTTGTGTGGGTCCATTCGGTGATATAGGTACGGTACGGTACCTATCGCTTCACTGGATACCTGGTCCCAAGACTAGGAAACGGTCCGCCTAGCCCCATCATCGTACTAGAAATCAACAATGTTCACAATCAGAGTGTGCATTCGGGCTCAGGTTCTTGAACCGGTCACCTTGCATCGCACAAGTACAGTACCGGTACTGTCGGGCCCTGTCATCGGTCAAAACGGGTGCCACCGCGCGGAGGCATGGCGATGAGTCCTTTTATTCTGGAACTTTGTACATGTCAAATCTTCTTTAGAGTTGGCAGCATGCCATGATTCAGCCTCCCTACTAGGAGATTGTATGCGACTTCGATGCTATGACCAGCTTGCGGTTCATGTCTGCATCGATATCGGACAATGAACACAGTACCCGTACCGGTACAAGTTGCAACGTCCAGGAAATCTTGGCGTGTCCGAACGCTCCAACTCGGAACGCGTCGGTAGAATCACATGAAGTGCTGCCTCGGTTTGAGAGACTGGCCAAACCCAAAATTCGGTCGTTGAAATTCAAATCATCTTGAATTCCTTGCAGCCATTGCATTGGAAGTTTCGAGAGAAGATTGTGGCACTGGGTTGCAGCAGTCCGTGTTGTATTCGAGATCTTGGACAATGCTCGTATACCTAAATTTCAGCCTCCCTGAAAAGGAATCATATACCGGATGCAGGTCCCCTCCGCACATGCATGCCCCATATCTCTGGTACTTGACATGATTTTGTAGCCAGTAAAAAGGCAGCGTTGTACATTGTGGCTGTTCTGGTCGTGAATAAAGGCTCGTTTGGCAGCCGGCGGGTGGACTCTGGCAAATTCTGCGGGTTCATGGCTCCGTTACCGTATGGTACCTACTGCTTCTAGTCATGATGGAGATGAATGGGTGGTAGATTCCGGCTGACCGCCACTGCGACAAGATTCGTGTGTTCAGGGTTACCGTAGTGAGGTCGCCTGCATCGGACGAGTAGGAAGTTTCTCCTCACCGCCGCAACTCGAGATGGAAGTGCCTGAGAGTTATAGCCGACGGTGAAGGGCAGGAAATGCGCGCAAGTGCGCAGGTATTTGGAAGACGTATTCAGGCTTGGTATGGCGAGCTTCTTCACCGCCTGCTGCATCCGAAGGATCATGCATTAGACTGAACGAAGATTGCCGGTTGACGTGACATCCTGGCGTTTTGCCTGACAAGGTTATGGCAAATGTTAGTCCATAGCGCTGACCTGGACGTGCGTCTGGTAACTTGGCTTGGGTTGAGGTACGACGTATGTACATGGTTGACGTCTGTACCATGGTAGTGTGTGTAAGTAGCTATGCATGTACGCTATGGAAACCTACCTTATCGGTTTGCATGGTGTTTTATCGCCTCTCACATGCCAATGGCGAGGCGATGCACATTGCAGACTAGAGGGCGCAGTGTGTGGTTGTCATATGGACAGCGCAGCGCATCTTGGTCTTTCTTACCTAGTCGGCTTTGTTTGTTGTCTCCAGTTAGGAGGGGGTGGGGGCGAGGGGCATTGCCATTCTAGATGACTGTCATTCTAGAGTATAGTAGATGATGTTCGCTTGTACGGCGTGCCATGACAGACACACCATCTTGGTGCTCTGCCGTGCCGACGTGATTCTGTTGTACCCTGGCGTCTACATACTCACTGTACCTTGTACTGAACCTTGTACTGAACCTACCTACATACCAGCTGCCATGTGCCTATGCAAGCCGTGATTTTGCTTCTGCCGTCCCGCTGCTGCAACACGGTTGGTAGCGCGAGAAGGATGGGTGATCGAATGAGAAGGCAGTCGGAGAGATACCGTAGGTAGGTAGTACTTGCTTGGTACTCGTACCGACTAGGTCCCCACCGTACCGCGTACTCACACCATCCATGGATGCCAGCAGCCAGCGTGCCTGTGATTTCTCGCCTGTTGGACGGCATGGCCATGCCCATCCCGACTCCGCGCTTGCGATCACCGCTGTTCGTCGTGAAAATCGGGATGTCTGGAATGACAGGTTCTCAACCTCAACCTCACCGTTCGGGGCTGGAGAGAAGCAGATGATGCAGATCTGAGGGGGCCATTGCAGCACCCCGTGCAAGGACGCTGCGTGTGCCAGGTACCTATGTAGTAGGTACTACATACATGCCCTTGTGCCGCGCACTCGCTACGGTAACAGAACAGAGATTCGATAGCCCCGAAGCGGACAGTGGAGTGGACAGACGGGCGGCGGATTGTCTTCTGCATGCTGGCGCTACGTACGGTGTGGTATGTCTGGGGCCACTCGTTCGTGTCGGGCTTCCTGTTGCTCAATGGGCGATTGATAAGAACCGTGCACGTGGTTGTCCCGCCAGGCCGGTACGGTACACGTAACGAGCGCTCAAGACATTTCGTCAACTGGGGATCCTTCTCGGCTAACCTCTGCCTAACCCTCAACCCTCTACTGTGTGCTCCTTGCGCCTAGAGTACCGCCACCATAACCTGTACCGCAACCTGACCATTGCCTCCAAACGCCTTTCAAGGTTGCGTTGCGATGCGGCCCTGCGACATCGCTGGCCAACGGCGGACCTTCGACCAACGAGCTGCCTTGATCCTGCCAGATCATGCTTCAGAATCACGCCGCCAACATGCCGTATCACGGGAGCGAGAAGAGAAACAAAATTAAACCATAACCGTGCTCCGAGCCTCCCGCACAGCTGATCCCTCCTCCCCCCCCCCCCCCCCCCTAATCATTCTTCTATCCTGGGATGAGCCGCAGACTTCAGAGCGAGCAAGGAGCATCAGCACCACCTGTCATGCATGACTGACCCCTGCCAAATGGGTTTACGACTTCGTACCGTATAGGTATTACGCTGCAACTTCTGCATGTCTTCTGGAAGAACGCTCAGGCGCTTCGATCCAGTCGGTAATAAAAACTCCCCGTCTACCTAGATGCACGGCCCGGAATCTTCCCAAAGATTGATGAGGGACCGGGGTCAACCGACTCAGCCATGGTCGAACTTGGCCATGGAAGACAGGCTACCCACCGTTAAACATTCTCTAGCCTGCATATCAGGCTGATGTTTCCTGCATCTTCGCTCAGGGATCTGTAGGCCAATGTTGCTTGCCTGCAGGACACTATGGTACCTACCTACCCACCAGATCACCGCATACTACCTAGAGGCTAGCACATGTAGGTAATCCCAACGCAACTCAAAGCTAATGCTCCACAACAGCAAAGACTGCCTTATCGCTGTTTCAACCTGCTGGCGCGGCCTCCGATAGACTGCTGTTACTCTTGACCCATCCCACTTCAGACCCCATCTCAACACGATTGGCCCTCTGTGGCGTCTTTGTATACTCGTCCCGGACTTCCCACGCTGATCCGGTAAAAGTAACACCAAGCAAGTCGCCAGGACCAATGGTCTCTACACTAGTCGTCCAAGCGAATTGCAGGAGCTTCCCGCAAGTATCCACTCGACTACTAGCCTCATTCACGGACACAGGGTAACGGCATCAAGAAAAGACTGTGCGAATCCACTCGTACCAAGTAGCAATGCTCGCGCATCCCCTATCCATGCTCCATCCGCCAGATTGATCCGCCCAGCAAATGGCGTGGTTGTCTCGAGGCTTCCGTTATGCGATTTCATTATCTCGCCGATGCACGAACGAGAGGCAGGCCCAGCTTTGTGCCAGGCCAGGTGGCCCGGTTGAGACCTTCTCAACATGTATATCAGCCTCCACGCCTTCGTGGGGTAGTGTCTGCTAGCTATCGCTCTCCTCACTTCCTCCCGCACTATTACGGCCATCCACCCCCATACATTCATCCTCTCTCGTAATGGCTCCCTCCGCACTGGCAGACATCTACCCAATCCCAGCGAGGCACTACTCGAAGCCGTCCACTATTGTGGCATCTGTTTTACATGGGCCAAGAGACTTGCGTCTGGTACGCTTTCCTGTTCCGTTACCTATCCCACGCCTCCCACTCCCACTGGCCGTGGGGGCAGTCTCTGTGCCTGCAAATCTGAACACTTGATGCTAATCTGATTGAAACAGGAAACCCGTATCATCTCGGAACCTGCCGCCAATGAACTCCAGATCGCGATCAAAGCCACTGGCCTCTGCGGGAGCGACTGCTCGTACTACAACAAGTTCCGCAATGGGGACCTGCAGGCCTGCGAGCCATTGTCACTAGGCCATGAGTCTGCCGGTGTTGTGGTAGCAGTGGGCCAAGGTGTTACCAATTTCCAGATTGGCGAGCGAGTCGCGCTGGAGGTTGGTGTGCCATGTGACGATTGCAGGTCATGCCAACGCGGCCGTTACAATCTGTGCCCGAAGATGCGGTTTCGAAGTAGCGCCAAATCATTTCCTCATTTCCAGGGGACGCTTCAGGAACGCATCAACCACCCTGCGAAGTGGTGCCACAAGTATGACCTGCATAATCCACCCCGCAACCAACACGTTAGCTAATAACCTTAAACAGACTTCCTGCACATGTCTCGTTGGAGTCTGCAGCGCTTCTAGAGCCCTTGTCAGTCGCCATTCACGCAACGCGGAGAGCGGGGATTGAGCAGGGAGACACGGCAATTGTGTTTGGAGCTGGCACGGTTGGGCTGCTGACTGCTGCCATGGCCAAAGTATCGGGCGCGACCACCGTTGTAATTGCAGACATTGACCATGGGCGCATAAATTATGCCCTTGCCAATGGATTTGCACACAAAGGCTACATTGTAAGCCCGCGGAAAACGTCAAACGAAACAGCAGAGAAACTCGCAGTTGCGAAGGAGTTGGCTACAGATGTTATGCAAATAGCCTCGCTAAACGACATGGATTTCGAGGGTGCTGATGTGACGTTTGACTGCACTGGAAAGGAGATCTGCATGCAAGCTGGACTTTACGTAAGTGTCAACCGGCCGGAAGATCTGTTTGAACCAACTTCTGACTCCTTTCAGGCAACCAGACCGGGCGGTAAACTCATCATGGTGGGAATGGGCACTCCCATCCAAACCCTCCCAATGTCGGCATCTCACCTGAAGGAGGTTGACATCCTCGGCATCTTCCGCTACGCCAACACCTACGCAACGGGTATCAAAATCCTGTCTGCCGGTGTACTACCAAGTCTCGACAAGATGATAACGCATCGCTTCCAAGGTCTTGGCTCGACAATGGAGGCGTTCGAGCTCGCAGGCAAGACCATTGACAAAGACGGTAATCTCGTCCTCAAGGTGCTTGTTGAGATGTAGCAAGTTGCTCGCACGTTCGCTTGATCGATGATACCCCTTCGTTATGTTTTTCCGCTTTCCATGACAACACAATAGAGATGACCTAGAGGGGCGAACTGGAATACCAGCGGCAATTGCCAGGCGTTTGACAAATTTTTTCCCTTGCTGTCATTTCGAACGTACATGAGTAAGATAGCACTCGTTCTCCCCATTCTGCCAAAATAACGTCATGTATGTATTTGCAAATCCGATATTAATTTATTGCACAATGTAACGATGGCTTGGCTAAACACTTGCACGTCTTGGTTGTGGGCTTCCAGTAATGGCAATATCAGCTGCTGGCCGCTGATCCTGACGCATGCAACCTATGATGCAACTGCCGCGCTCAGTACCCATACATTTGCCTAAGCGGCAGCTTCGGTTGCTTGGTACCCAGGCAGCGGTGTAAGTATCGGGCCGTCCCCAATCTTTCCATGTGCTTGACATGCAGGCCATAGAAGGATCTTGTGTGCAGGTACAAGCCAGGCTAATTGGCCATCGGACCTCATTCCGTGTTCTCAATGGATCTCACGCAGGAATGGAAGCCAGCTTGACGCTACTGAGTGCGGCTCCGCTCACCTTTGGAAGGGCCTACGGCGGCAGATGCTTGACAGGGCTGGGCTTGCAAGGACCGACAGGGACACTGTGCCACGATGACTGTACCTACTTGATAGAGCAATCATGCTCTTAACAGTGCTTCCCTGGAGATAGGTCTGCCTTGAGAGGGAGGTAAGGCGACGATGTTGCCAAGACGACTTTTTTGGTGTGAAGCCACATCGCGCTATCACGTGGGTCGGAGCATGGAGCAAAAAGTGCCGACGACAGCGGCAGCCTAGCTCACCGTAGCTCCACACCCCACCACCCAACAACGCGATTGCCTTTTGACGTCAACACAGCCAGACTGTCCAAGTCGCCGAACCTCGCTTTCAAGCTTTGACTGCTTCACTCTTGACGACGAGGAACATTGCACAAGACTGCTACACAGATGGCGGGCGCTTCACAAAATTCACTCATCTCCACAACACGGGCATCAGACAGTTCGCCCTCGGTACAACTGCACCCGCTGGTACTCCTCACCATTTCAGACTGCATTACGCGACACACTCTACGACGACAGACGGGTCCAATAGTAGGGGCGATATTAGGCTCTCAAGATGGTCAGAATGTCACCATGGAGGTTGCTTTCCAGGCAAAGCTCGACATCAATGCGGACGGAGATGTAGCGCTCGATGATGAGTGGTTCAGTAAACGTTTGGAAGACTGTAAGTAGTCTGTTTGATATCTTTGAGATACCAACCCCGACTTCCAGTAATTCGCAGAGCTGACGATTGCTAGTCAAGGACGTTCACAAGCAACCACAACTTGACCTGGTGGGCTGGTTCACCTTGGGCGCAGTTTCAGGCCCAGAGCCTCACATTCTCCCTATACATTCGCGCATATCAGAGCTGTATACAGAGTCGCCCCTCCTGTTACTCTTCCACGCAGAGACGGCCTTCTCCGAAGCAACCGCTGCTGGCAAACTACCCCTCACCCTGTACGAGTCAATATCGGTCTCGACAACTAGCGAGCCAAATGACAAGGCCATGGACATTGATGGCGCAGTGCAAGCCAAGTCTACAAAGTTTCGGGAGCTTGTATATTCGATAGAGACTGGGGAAGCTGAGATGATATCCGTAGACTTTGTTGCCCGCGGAGGTGGCAATGCTACGGCTGTGGAAGGCTCGACCGGCGGTCCTAGTACACCGAAGAACGGCTCTCCCAACGCCGATGACGTTGCTGCAAGGCGACTACTTCGAGGCAAGCAAAAGGAGAAGGAAAAGGAGCATGAGCAAAATGTTGACGACTCGACTGTTATGACGGCAGAGGATGACGAGAGTATGTGATTACAAACGCTGGCTATAGAGTTTATGCTGACAGACACAGTACTCTCTTCACTGACGGCAAAGATGAATGCCATCCGCATGCTGAGCCGTCGCATAGCACTCCTTCGTGCATACCTCGATGCGCTCCCTCGTTCGTACCTCTCAGACTCGTCATTACCCGTCGCGCCTTCCATGGACGCAAAAAGCACACTACCGCTAGATCATTCGATTTTGCGCAGCGTCTCAGCCATGTTGGCCCGTATCAAGATTCTTGCGCCACCAGATTCAGACGCCTTCAACCTTGAATCACAACAAGAAGCCTCGGATGTCCAGCTCGTCAATCTTCTCTCATCCATCACCAATTCCGTGTCGGCGGCTAGGGATCTCGGACGCACCAGCCAGCTAGTTGAGAACGCCAAGTCCCAGAACAGGAGCCGAATGGGCATGAACGGCGGCATGTCTGGCGGCTACGGAGGAGGCGACAGCAACTTTCTCGGCACCGTCATGAGCGGTGGAAGTCTGGGTGGAGACAGAATGTACTGATCATCCGATCAAGCATTTTTACCACGCCGCCTCTTCCCACACGCTGCATGGCTAATAAGACGCTGTAGTCCACCGGCAGATGGTCCGCTGACATTTACGATGAATCCCGCAGATCTCCCATTTCTCAACGTGGACGAATCTGATGACGACGACTACGACGAATCCGACGACGAGTACGAATGGGACACTCGACACCGTGTCGCCAGTTTTGCCTTCTCGATGCTCATTCTCATGCTCTGTCCTTTTATCATAACCTTTATCGTGATCGCGACAGTGCTCCTGGGGCCCTGCCAGGCCACCTTGTTTCTCATTCGCCGCACCTACCGCTTCTGGATCCGTCATGTCCTCTGCAGGCTTTGGCGCTGGTTCCTCGAACGTTGTCGTCGCGGTCTGTAGATGGGGGTGGCAATGGGATGTGCAGGGTGAACGAGTGGAGATGTTTGGCGTTGCATGAGTATAGAATAGGAGAGGGCAGGATAGGACAGGATATGGCATGGCATAGTATAATGTAGCACAGCATAGCGTGCATTGTGACGAAGCAAGTATGACTAGCCCATCTACCTACCTGCACAAGACATACGAATCTTTTTTTTACGGCGTGGTAGGATGGTGATGATGATGTGGTTGTTGTAGACTTTTGAACTATTCAACTTGGAAATATACCGTTATAGTGGGAGTTAGCTGTATGAAGAGAAAGAGGCATAGGAGGGAAGAAGTTAAGAAAAAAAAGTAAGCAAAAACTTTAATAATCAGCAGTCAAAAGGAAAGGGGGGGGGGGGTGTTAATTGTACATATGGATATAGATATAGATGTAGATATAGGCGTGTGGGGATGGGGATGTAGGTGTAGATGTGGATGTGAAGACGAAGATGAAGAAGACTACAAATGTGAATCCAGGGCTTTTGCACAGTCTAGATTAGGATGGAATAGAATGGCGGAATAGGTGGAATAGAGTTGATATGAGATGGTTAGGTTGTGCTGATCTACTGTACTATACTGTACTGTACTGTACTGTGTCATAATGTGCCATGTCATGCTCCGCCATAGTATGCTACAGTACGCTATACCATGCCATACAGCGCTACACAACAGCACTACACTATGCCATAGCATAACATACCATCAATCGACCCCATGCCTTGAAATACCATACCTTACACCCCCACCCCCGCCTTTCAAGTCCCCATTAAAAAAAAAGAAAATCCCCAAACCCCATTTATCCAACCCCAGACCCAACCCCCCCCCCCCTAATAAACAGTGAGAAAGTGAGAAAAAGAAAAAATAACACGCTCGCTATACAACTGAAGAGGAACTCTCCCGCGTCCCTCTTGGAGAAATCCAAGGAGTATAAAAAAAAAGAAATCAAGCGGTATACGCTGATAGTCCCGGGTGAGTTACGACGGCGCTGATAGAGCAAAGTGCGAGGTGCAAGTAGGAGCTTGTGAGTTTGTGAAAAAAGACTGCCATTCAAAGCCAACGGGGCCCGTCTTTCCCATTCCATTCCCCGCTCGACTTCTGCAAAAAGCGAGAAAACCGGACAAGAGGAACAAAAGCGAGGCTCAATACCTCACCACCGGACTCGCCGTCGCATTAGCCGTACCTGTTGCCGCCGCCACCGCTGAAGAATTACCATCCTGCACCAAGACACGCTCGGCCCCTCGCCCCTCCTTGTCAAGTTTACTCTGCACCCAATCCTCCTTCTTCTCCTTGCGCGACATCCACCCGGTAAACACCTTTTTGAGGCGGGAGCGCTGCTCGTCCTTCTTGGACGCTGATTTGGGCTCGGCGGCGACGGAGACGGAGACGGTGTGGGTGTGGGTGGGGTGTAGTGCTGAAGTAACGTCGACGCTCGATTTGCGGGACAAGGGGCCGGCGTCGAGACTTGCGGTGCCGGGGGTGGTGAGGCTGTCGCCGCTGCGGTGGCGCGTGTGGGTGCTGGAGGAGAGGCTGCTGATGAGAGAGTGTGTGGTGTCCGGGCCGGGTGGGGGTGCGCGGCGGGGGGATTGGGCTGTGTCTTGGAGGTGGCGGGATGAGCCACGGGGAGGGTGGGCGTTTGCGTATTGCGTGAGAAGGGTGTCGGAACCGCTTTTGCGGTGTTGTTTGTGCGTGGCGGGGGAGCGGTCCGGAACTGCGTCTTGGGGACGCATCATGTTTGCAATGTGGCTTTCGGGAATGGGTGGTTTGGAGGAGGCGGCTTTGTCTTCTGTGGCGGCCGCGGGCTCTTTCCATTGGTCAAGGCCGGGGAGAGGTGGTAGCTCTCGGTTGAGATTGACTTGTCCAGAGTCTGGCCTTGCGGACTGGTCGCCATCTTCTGTTGGTCCAGCCGACGTTCCAGGCCTGCTCTTTGAGCTCGACCTGCGAGGCATGGTCCATTTTCGCCATGAGCCACTGCGTTGGAGGTCTTGATCGTCGCCTCCCTCTGCTTGCCTGAGTGACTCTTTGGACTGGGCCCGACTGATGGCCCGACTACGATTGCCGGGGAAGACGTAACCCTTGATGTTCTCCTTGATGCTCTTCGAGCGACTCGGAGGATTGACGGCAGTCGAAGGTCGAGCCTGGGGCTGTGATGCTTCCTGGCGTCTCTTCTTCTCCAACTCCTTTGCCATCCATTCTGAAGCCTGTGCGTCGGCAATGGCCGCAGGATCCTCTGATTGTGATCTCCGGTTTGAGCTCTTTCCTCCAGGTCGCGTCGCCGAGTTGGCGGCTGCGGAGGAGACCTTTGCATTAGCAAGCGTCGATGGGACCGTGACTGGCAGGGTGATGTCTTCATTAGACGAGTCATAGAGTGCCACTCCAGACCTAGGCATGTCTATGGACGGCTTGCCATATGTCTTGAGCTTCTCTTCCCTCTTATCATCCCGTTCATCCAGCCAGGCAAAGTCTCCGCGCCTGCGACTGCTGTTTGCCCGTACAGGGAGTTCACTCTGCTGTGTCCGTGCCTTGATCTCTAGATCGGCCTTTGCTCTCGTCCTCGTCTTGCTCCTATGCAAGGAGCTTGTCTTTTGCAGGTCTGCAGGGACTCCCATTGGAGCACGCACCCTGACCTCGGTAGCCCGTGACTTGCTTTCTTGCCGTCTTTGCAGGCCTCCAAAGTCTAGCTTTGGGTCCGTGTCTTCCATGCCATGGTCGGAGGGCTTGAAGTTTTGCAGAATGGCGCGGCATGCCAGGCGAAGTTCCTGTTCCGTATGCGCATCCAGGGGACGACGGCAGATGAAGGGCGAGTTGTCGCATATGCTGTCCCTGGAGGCGTGTGTTTTGTGGGAATGTGATGCGGACGGGGGAGGGGTTGGCTCTGTTGGCTTGGATTGTGGGGTGGCCGCCACAGGCTCTGTCTTGGAAACGATCTTCTATGCGTAGTCAGCAACCCAGACACGGCTGGCTAGTTGGTTGAACGGGGGTTGCTATTCTTACCACCGGCGCCAAATTAAAAGAGAATTTACGCTTCATGTTGGGCAGCTGATATTATGATGACCATGCGTTCAATGGTCTTTCAGGCTGGGATCAATGAAGATATACTGCAGCCAAAACACAAACGATAGCTACCACGGAGTCGCGAATGGCGTCGTCAATAGTTTGGGGGGGAGGGGGGGGATATGCGCGTGATGTTCGTGACGTTCGCAATGATAGGACTAGTGTGACTAGCCAATGGCGCGGATCAGATCAAGCCACAAACGGCAGCGTTGTCTACTCTTAGTCTGGGGCGCGGGGAGGGGCGTTGGGAACAGAATTCAGTTGGACAGCCAAGGAGGATGAGGAGATGCAGCCGCAGTCGTGGGCGTGGATGATGGAGAGGGCGACGGTGATGGATATGTATGGATATAGGCAATGTAGGATCCATGCATGTACACGGACATTGGCTGCAGTCCCGTTCCCGCCCAGGAGCTTGTTCAGGTTTCAGAGGGCAGCTAGGTAGGATGGGATTATAGGAACAGGCATGTGCGGCCTACCGAGACTAAAGCGAGCCGTCAAGGTGCTGGCCTTGTTGTTTCGGAGGCACTTGTGCGTCAGCCGTGCTGATTGGCCGTTGTGGATATCGAGGGCCTGGCGCTGGATGAATTGCAGACCACAAATCACCGTCGTCGATGGATGGATGGATGGATGGATGGATGGATTGCTGGATGGATGGGTGGATGGATGGATGGATGGATTGCTTGATGGATGGATGGATGGATGGATGGATGGATGGAGGATGGAATTGAATGATTTGCGACACAATAGCGGCCGCGCCTGCCTGTCCACCGACAGCACCTGCCTGTCCACCGACAGCACCTGCCTGTCCACCGACAGCACCTGCCTCCCCATGGCCAGCCCTGCCCCGATGTGAGGAAGGCGTCACCGTGTGTTCCTTCCGAAGCTTCGAGGCAAGTCTGCGAGTCTGCGCCATGGATGGAAGCAGCGAATGCGAGGGAAGCAGCGACAGGCGACAGGAGACAGGCGACAGACACGACAGGACAGCGGACAACAGCGCGTTTGGTGTGTGGGTTGGGTGTCCGTGTAGGTACAGTACCGGTACCGGTATGTGTCTTGTGTGCAAAGTGCTGAGTTGGGCCCGTCCCCTTTTCCCCTTCCCCCCCGCGAATCGACATCTGCCTGACATCCGAGGCCCTTGTCCGTCCTCATTTCCAGCCTGCTAGTACTTCCTACACACTGTGTCCACTGTCTGTCTACTCCGTACTGGGTACTGTACTATCATGTATGTGCATGGCGTACATCACACTAGGCACATACTATGGTATATGTACTGGGTACAGTATAACATCTGTGTACATGTACCGGTAAAACACACTAACGCGCTGTTGGCACTGGGGGCGCATGGCCCAGACCACAGATCGCCAGACGCAACGAGGGATCGCCATCCTCGCTCCCGCTGTACAATACAATACCGATACCAATACAAGACACCCCTTGGTCCACAGTCAATCCATCCGTCACTTGAACAGCTGCCCGCTGTTGCCATTCAGCCTGCATTGCTCAACAACCTACAGTATTCATCTATCCATCTCCACTGTACGGGCGCACGACACCACCACGCCTGCTGTCCACCGCATCTGACTGACTTGAAGCCCAAATCCTCCGTCAATCATGCCACATGGGCTTGCTGCAGATCCGCCGCTGTCAGTGCAGGTCGTGCTTACTTTATCCAAGCTTCATCGCCTACACAGTAAGCAGCTCTTGACTCTAGTCTCTTGCTCCTCACCGTCATGATCGATAGGCCATGTCACTATTGTCATCGCCATGTCTTAGTGGCCAGACGAAAATAACTACTCGCGGACACGAAGCCAGGCAAACTGTTCCTCACTAGCCCAAACCCTAACAGGGGAACATGGAACTGAACTCTCTCCTATACATATCACGTGATCGAGATGCTGACATCGGATCCCCTCACCCTTCAACCCCCTTCAACAAAACCTACGAGAAATCATGCAAAAGCCACTGCACTGCACCAGTTCTCTTTTCACGCATGAGCCTTCAGCCCCCTATGCACCCATCACCCAAAAGTGGCGTGGCCGAGGCAGCTACGGTAGCTATCGTGCTACCCTTCTGCAGCTCATCATCGCTACCAACTGCACTGACCCACCATAGGTACCCACATTGACAACCGTCGAAGAAAACGGCCCGCAACACGTTTCATGGACAAGCACGGCGAGATTAGGTCTCGCCAAGAGACAGACAGCCTCATGCTCACCACCGACGCACATCTCAACAAGTCACAATTAAGCGTCCGCATAATATTCCTCAATCGGTGCCCTTTGCGACATAATCGTGAGGCCGTCAAAAGAGCAGCACCCCGAGGTTCCACCTTTTCTTTTTAAACGTGTACGCCTTGCCTTGTAGATTGTTCGATGCTCGCTCGATTGATTGTCAACTTGGTGCCAACTGTCGACGATGAGATCTGTACTACGACAACACAATCAGCATGTCGAAAATACTACGCACTCTCCACCATGGACGGATGCATCAATGATAGCACTTTCCCAACAGTACAACACTGCTTGCTGTCTCTAGAGACAGAATATAGCGTTCCTTTCAATATCGAAACCAGCCCAATCACACCCTACCTAGACAACCCCCCAAAAATCATCCCAACTCATCTCATCTCCCTCGTACGGAAGTCAAAGTACAATCATAAAAACCAAGTGAATTCGGCTAATCTACCACCCTACACATAGACCCAACAAAATATACACTGCACTTTCCCTCCACCCAACCCCCAACCCACTCCCTCCCACAAACAGCAAACCACACCACATCACAACCTCCTCCCCCCACTCGCTCGTCATAGGCCAAGTGCACTTGAACTGCCCACGACACGTTGGAAAACAAAGTCATCACAGCTCCAACATGCAGACAATTCCACCTCACGCACGCAACAAGTGATCCAGAACACCGTCACTTTGCTATACCGATAGTGATAGTTGTATTATATACCCTCCATGCAACCATGCAAATGCAATCGAGCGATTCTATCCAAGAGCGACAACCCCCTTGCCTCTCAGCATTCAACTTTCACCATCTTGACCCCCTTGACCGTTCCCATTCATCCATCTCCAACACGTAGCCTCCTCTAGAGCGAGAAAGAAAAGGAAAGATGTGAACAGGAAAAGCTGCGTTCGCGTCGCCCACCACAACCTAAGCGAAAATCCAAGCAGACAGACATGTCCACGGCACCCAGCATCGATGAGAAAGAGCTGCAAATCAACCCGAGGCTAGTAAATGCCCTGCGTCCGGTACTGAAACGTATCATAACTGTCCGTAATCGTTAGCCCGGATTCCTCACATCCTTTCTCTTGCATTCGCTCTCAACAAACACACAATGGGAATGGGATGGGTGAGCCAAGAAAGCCAAAGAAAGAAACAAACTTACAGCCGTGTGTAATAGCTGCCCACACTCTTCGCAATCAACTCCTCGACAAACCCCTCCGCCTCTTCACGGCTAAGATGCAGCATCAACCTCGCCCTTAGACTATTCGTCACGCTCGCCGCCCCGGCCGCAAAACACGGCATCTTGCTCTGCTTGCTCATCAGATCGACCAGCATAATCAGCCGTTCGGCATCCTTGCGCAACGCCTGAAACGCCCGCTTGCACAGCGACTTGAACTCTTCAAAAGCGGGCGAGTTCAAGCCACCGAGCACGTCGACATATTCTTGCGTCAGTTTAAACGGCGCGGCTTCGAAACCCATGGAACCCGGGGAATTGGATAGCATGAAGCCAAAGTCAATGTGAATGATGTGGCCCATGTTATCGATGAGGAGATTTCCGTTGTGGCGGTCTTTGAGTTGGAGGACATAGCATATCACACTGTAGGCTGCGAGGGAGCGTGTAAAGGCATCAACACCGGCAATATATGCCTCGGAATCGGGCTCGCCAAACGTCTTGAGCCAGTGGTCCTTGAGCGTGGCAATGCGTTTTCGCGGATTCGTGCCTGCAGCTATGCTGGCGAGCGTCAAGCTGCGTTTCAACGAGTGCAAAGACACGCCGTTAGTAATGGTTTCGATGAGCCCGCACGACTCGCCTGTTACAAGGATGCGCATGCGTTTGGTCCAGACGGGGACTTTGGCTTCTTCCCAAATCTTGGTGCAAACTTGAATGAGTTGGCAGGCAAAGGCTTCTTGACGGAGATCGGCTCCCGTCTTGACAATCACACTAAAGAGATCCCAGTTCTTCATGTGCCCATAGGGAGAGGATCGTCGTATGCGTTCTCGCTTTGCGGTCCAAACTTCTCCAAATGTTGCAGCACTAGGGTCATCGCGGTCGCCTTGTCTTCGCATTCCACCAGTCTTCAAATCATTCTCCATGCGAGCTGCACCGGCACCCGTGTTGGCCGCGACAGCCATGCCTTCTTCCAAGTCTTCCGGTTCTGCGGTGATGGCTACTGGATCAGCCTCTGCCATGATTGTGTCGAATGTTGGTCCCTGATCTTCCGACAGGAAATTCTGCTCCTCTAGACTCTGCATGCTTGCGATGATTTTGGCCTTTATCGCAGCCACCTCGTTCTTCGGTCGCTTTGCACCACTGGCTTCGAGCTGTGCCAGCATTTGGGCGGCCGTGCGCATATGCGTAGCCAGGGCTGAGAAGTCTGGCTGGTCGACACTCTGTGTTCCGCGGTTCACATTGGCAGGCAGCGTCATGCGTCTCGAGGGACCAGGGCTATTTGTTCTGCTGATTTGAGAATCAGATGTCCGGGGTGTAGATAATGTTGCCATAGAAGACAGTGTGTTTGCGCCGCTTGACGACCTAGGCGCTGTAACTCTGGCACTGGCGACAGGCGGTGGCAGTGTCACTCGTGCTAGACCCGAGGAAATGTCATCTTCATCTGAGCTCTTTAGCAGCGATGTGCTACCCAAATCGCCCGTCGAAGGTTCGAATACACTGTCAGATCCATTTGGTGGTGTCCTATCAAACGCCAGATATTCCGCGTTGGTGATGTCGAAGAGACGTCGCCTCGAGGTACCTTTTTCGAACATTAGTTTTTCCAGCAGTTGCTTGTTTTGCTCAGTGTCTGGGTCAAAGTCAAAATCCTCTTTCAACACCTCCACCATTAGCAGATATGGCACTCGTTCCGCGCTGTTTAAACTGGTAGCCTCGGCAGGATTGATTCGCACGATTCGATGGTGTTGACTTTGCGAGGCAATTCCGTCTTTCAACGTGGGGGGTGACAAGGTCGGAATGTCTACCTCAGCGGGAAGATCCTGGGCAATCAAGGCCAGTTCCGCTCGGAGAGCACTCAGGCGCGCCGGCTTTGGCACAATCACCAATCGGTTCGAGATATCTTCCAAGGCACTCAAGAACTGGGTTTCGTTTCGAAAGTAATTGGATCGTAGGAGGCGTATCTTCTGTGTTCGGGACAGTGCAGTCGGTGTGAGAGGTCTCGGGGGAAGCGCCAAATGCCTGCGTGATCCATGGTGATCAGTCCTCGGACCCAGTCCTGCAGTGGGAGGCGGGGTAGGAAGCGGAGACGGAGGTCCCTGGCGAAAGTCTGGTAGAGATGAAGAACTCAGACGAGCCTCTCGAGCCACGATAAGCATCGAGGGGCGATTCTGCATAGAGGGCGCTCTCTGCTGGCCGGAGGGTCGTGCTGCCTGTCGCCTCAAGTCCTTGGGGTCTCCCAACTCCTTTGGGCGAGGCAACGCAGTCTTGACAGAGCGCCCATCCTCTGGATCTGACAAGCCCGATGCCGCCCTCCGTTGCTTCACTCTCGGCGACGCGCCCGTGACCGTCTTGCTCCTCCCTACTTTCGCCGTCTGTACATTGTCTGAAATGATGTCTTCCACGGGCCTCGGTTTTCGCGCCTGCGCAATGGCCAAGGGCCCAGCATGCAGTGGGAGGAACGGCGCTGCCACACTCGCGAGGACCAAGCTCGCCAGGACAGAGACGGGGAGGACGTTCTCCTTGATCTTCTCACGACGCTGGGGCTCGGCGGAACCAAAGACGATGCGCTGCACCCTGTTGTATATCCGCCGACACGTCTTGAACGCGATCGAGTTGGGCGCGCTGGCGAGGTCGTGCAAGTACGTCTGGAAAAGCCAAAAGGTCTGCGGTGGGAGTGTCGTATGTCAGCAAGCAGGCCATGGATTGGTTTAGAGGCTGCGTGAGGAAAGGAAGCGCCTACCAGAAGCGCGCCATTGACCGACTCCTCACACAAGTCGATGATGAACTCCTCCAGGGCCATAGACTCATTGTCTATGCTGATGAGCAAGTGACATAGCCTGTGGGGGCACGTTTGTAAGCAGTCTGTCGTCTCTGTGCGGGCGGAACAGCAGCGTAGTGGGCGGCGGCGACATACTGCGGCAGGAAGAATTCGAGCTCCTCGTACGCAAACTGGCGGAGCTTGGAACAAAGCACATAGTGGATGCCGACATGGTCTGCATAGCGTCTATAGATGCGGGCGCTCACGGGTCAGTCAAGGGTTCCCTCCGAATGAATGGATGTAGACAATGCTACCATGGCGCCAAGGGCAGCCATTGCAGTCGCTGTTTGCAGGTCATGCATCGGTGAGAGCACCGTCAAGGGCATGGAAAGAGGCAATGGGGAAGAGACAGAGGAGGCGGAGAGGGGAAAGGGTGAGGATTGAGGTCAAAGTGCTCACTCAGGGCGGCGGTGCAGCCGGCGGGCAACGGTGGCTTCGGGAGAACTGTGTAGTAAACAACTCACGCAAGATAGGCCACTGCCAGCGACGGGTCGGTGTTGAAGTGGTCCGATTCTATGAAGCGCTCAAGCAGATTCCAACTCATCTGGGACGGCTCATTGGGGCGCAACACGGGAGTGGGCAAAGGACAAAGTGGGTGGGCGCCGATTGCTCCTATGGGCGTGACATGTAAAGTAGAAAATGGCCCAGACAGGGTTCACGGAAGCGCTAACCATCCTCCTCCGACAGACGATGGCATTCACACTGCGAGGGGCAAGGCTGGCTCAAAGGTCTACCCATCTTGGCTGCTCTAAGAAGCTTTCACTCTCCAAGTATACTTGTCAACCCTCTACCTGTCCGTTTTCTTCTTCATTTTTTGCTTTCTCATCGTGCAACCACGCCTAAATTACTGGTTTCACCCAAGACCTGCAGTATCTCGGCTCGGCCGCCTACCTACCTGACCACGGTACCGTCGTATGAGTTACCTTCCTCCAACGCATAACCTCCTGTATCAAGCCACCACTCTGGCGCACGGCTAAAACCAGGCCTGTCCCTCCGTCCGCGTAAGAATTCTAACGGGACCACTACAAACAAAGTATAACAAGAAAGGCCCCATGGGTAAGTAACGCCTTTTGACATGTGCAGAGACCGATGACAGCGCCCCCCAGCCGTTTTCTCCTAGCAAACTGCGCAACCTATCATACAAGGCGAAGCAACCAACACTATGTACACGATGAAGCACCGGCCCATTAATCTGCGGCTTGCAAGTCAACAAAGACGTTGATGGCAGCAACGAGAACTTCGGCCAGAATCAAGATGATAACGATCCACTCCAGTAGTTCGCCCTGGACATAGTTTGTTAGCACGTGCACGTTTCCTTCGCAACCACAACACAACTTACGTGTGTAGCTGTCAGTTGGTCCTTCAAAACCGCAAGCAGATCACCAATGACGTTCAGCCTCTCCGTCAGAAGACTAACTCTCTGATCCATTTCCAGATAGCTCCGCACAGCCTGGTACACAGGGTCCAGCTGCGGTTCAGCCCACATGAGCTCGGGCGCATCGAGCACGGAGCCCTGCAGATGGATACTGATGCGCAAAATGAACAACTCGCCAATCTGCATGTTGATCTGCTTCTTGTTCAAATTGATCTTCCCTGAGCTCGCAATCTGTGCGGGTATGTCCTTCGTCTCGTCAATCGTGTTGTCTACCAGGTCCTCAAACAACGATGTCTTGACACTCTGCGAGAGCCCGTGACTGATCGCCAACTTGATCATGTAGTTCTTCTTGTCCCTCAAACTAATAAAGTCGTTGTATATCCGGGCCTGGTATTCGCGCGTGTAGTAAAAATTGAAGTCTTCCGTCTCAACCTCGTCCTTGCCAAGTTTGTCAACTTCGAATTTCGCAATCTCTTTCAAAAACCGCTTCTCTTCCTGCAAGGTCATGCCCCAAATCACAACGGTTCCATACTCGAATAAAAAGACTTCTGGCGTATGTACCTGCGTGTCAAAGTCAGGTGTGTCGGTTGCCGGATCGGAATCGGCGTGCGTCATCGACGGGCGGCGAGGTCGCTCTACACCATCTTCGTTGCCAATATCGGGTGCATCGCCCTGATGATGTAGATCAATGAGGTCCTGCCGTCTCCTTTCGCTCTCATGTTCCACCTCGATAGCACTGTCTGAAAATCGCCGTGTTCTTTGGGCGGGAATACCATCCAGCGCGCTGCTACTAGCAACGTCCTCTGGTCCTTTGATTCCGTAATTGTAAGGCGAGTAGATACACTCGTCAAAGCGCTTCGGTGCAGCTCCTCTAATCTTCGACTTTCCTTTCAAGAATCGCATCATCTCATCCAGCTTGTATGAGGCTGCGGTGCAGTAGGCTGTCACCCGAGGTAGCCGTTCCCTGTCCGCCTTGCCTAGTCGCGCTGCGTCTCTCCTCGCAGTAGGATCTTTGATCCTGGTGTACTGCACATATACATCGCGTCCACTCTCCTCGTCCTCGTCTCCATCTTCAGCAGCCGGATCGGGAAGGAGCTTCAACTTTTGTGCAGTTCTTGTTGTTCGCTGGGGACCTAGCTTTGGCGCAGGTGCTGGTGGCATTCTTGCAGGCGCGCCCGAGCTGTTCCTCCGTCTCAATTTGCTGTTGAGCGTCGACAGCATGGGCTGTCCGCCTTGAGTGGTTGGCGCATATCCGGAAGAGGACGCGCCGTGAGATAAGGCGCGCGATGGCTGTTTCGGGCTTGTAGAGAGTACCGTCGAGCTGAATGTGACTGTACGCTGAGGCTTGGGCGGTATCGTTCGTCCTGTGCCTGACAAGGAGGACATCAAAGGAGTTCTTTCTGTGGAGCTTGACGCCATGATGGATGTGAAGGCCAATTCCTGTCAAAGTCGCGAATTTGCGGGACTCTCAGTATCACCCTTACAATCCCGTTACCCTGATGCTACAGATGGCAAAGTTTTATGGTGCCATGGAGCGGCGCTGCGGGGATGCGGCGTTGACAGGTGTAGAGGTCTTGCACATGAAGGAGACTGCGGGATGACGTGAATTCAGACGAGCTTGGGCCCCCTCCACCCACGTGGTACCTTACACAGTGCCACAGCCATTATCATGTCACTCAGACGATTTTTTTTCCAAGGGCACATAGTTAATAGAATTTAGTACGTCGACTTATTTTCTATGGTTACGGCATATCACGAACGCTGTACTACCACAATGCTCTTGTTGCCAGGCATCACACTCCAAAACGCGCGATGATTAGTTCAAAGACCAGCCTAATGTACTTTATATCGTTACATTGATTTAAAACAAAGCGAGAATAAACCGGAGTCTCCGCCTGGTATCACAGCTCCCCATGTACACATCATTCCGAAACCCTTCAATGCACTCTCCTCGTAAATCACTAGCATGCAAGTGCCACACGAGATGCGGCCTTAGGTGCTCTTACCTTGCTCTTTGGCCAGATCCAGGTGCCACTTGAATACCTTTTGGAAGATACCCTTGCCTTCGCCCTCAATCACATCTCCGTGGCAAGCGATGATCCTCTCAAAGTCCCAGCCATTGATCTTGGAGATTGACTGCGCGAAGCCCATGCGATCGCTCGCGCTCGTTCCGTACCAGATCGTACGTTGCTGCCAGATGGCATTGCCCTTTGTACTCTGCAACGCACCGAAGATTTTTGTCAAGATTCCGCTGTTGGGGTCGACACCAGATTTGCTGTACTGCTCGGTAGCAGGTAGGTTGAACATTAGATCAGCAGTAATGAGCGAGCGCGTGGGCTTGTGGTGGAAGACAATTTCTTTGTTCACGTGGGCAGGGACGTATTCCCAGTCGAACTCTGTATCAAACTCTGGTGAAATGGTCTGAACAGGCTTTGACTTGCTGAAAATGAAAGCGAACGGGACGTTCTCGTTCTTCTGTTTTTGGCGTTTTTCGGGGAGAGTCTCAGGGCCCATGACCTGGGCATTCGGGTAGGCTTGGTGCCAGGGGCCAAGGAAGATGTGGTGCTATGGGGTCGGGTCAGTACATGTATGAAAGACTTGGTGAGAGTAGACTCACTTCGGCATCCAGTGCAGCAATGTATTTGACTTCCCCAAGCTCAGCGACCTTGCGCTTGACATCTTCAGTCAAGGCGACGGGCGAAAAAACTGCGAGAGATCCCGATTGTAGGCGCACGATTGTGCCTCTGCCACCGATTTTGACACGGCCGAAACGCGAGAACGGGAGTGAAAGGGTGGTGATGACGTTGGGAACGACGTCGCGAATGACCATGACCTTGGCCGGGTCGGAGGGCACTAGTTTAGAGGTCATGCTGGTTTCCAAAACGTGAAGTTGTAAAGTGTCAAGGGTGTTATGTGCGTGAGAAAGACAGTTTCCTGGGTGCGCAATGCTGTAGAGTAGTCGCGAAAAGCGAAGGATGAACGACGTCACAGTCCAAAAAACGGCGTGTGCTCAGAATCAATCGCAGGATTATAAAAGCAGGGTGTGGACTGTCACGGTTGGTGATATTGTTAGTCGTATATTGTGTGGGATGTCACTGTGAATCTTTGATTGACTGACTCAAACTGTCCTGTTGTTCTGGAGAGAGGAGAAAAACTAGAGCCGGGCCATCAAGTGGTGATGGAGCACATGTCTGTCGCATCAAGTTGCATGGATTGTAAAGCCGAGGCGATGCAATTCGGTTATGGTTAGACCACCCGCACATGCCTGCGCTTTTCAAGCTACATAACGTCAGTGCATCTGTTGAAGAAGCTTGGAGATATTCTAGAATTTGGGTTTCGATAATCCCCAGTCTCAGCTCGTCGGACGCGTTCAAATCCGCTGCGAATAGGTGTCGGATTTTGGTTATTTCTTCGCAATTGGTTGTATGTCGCCAGCAATCATGGCGCTGGCTGTAACCTGTCTGAAGTTTGTGCGTCATCACACCGTCCTGTGATTTTTTATCCTGGCGACCAACTCCCATGTCAACCTCGATTCGCATTTCCTTATGCACAGTTGGCCCAACCCTGAATTCCCATAGTCTCAGTAGTGGACGAAGCTTCCCGCTTTGCAACACTCCGAAGCGAGGGACCGGGGCGTTGGTGGACAGGCCAGATTTGCTGGCTTATATCATGTTTTGATGCGCTTGGACATCTCTGCATGATGTCGACTTTCATCTGGCATTTTCGGCGCTGAGTTCAGCGAGTAATCCTCCAGCATCCCGCTTTTTCGCATCCTCCTCGAGCCTCTTCTGTATCAAGGCGCTCAATTCTGCAACCTTCTGCAGCGCTATGCTGGTGCAGTTCAAGAGTGCCAGCGGATTGATGGTCGCTCCACCATATTTGGCTATCTGACATAGCTCACCATGCTTGTTCATGGTAAGAATGACCTCGCCCTGCCGAACCCGTTCTTCTGCCAGATTTGCGTCGACCAGAAAGATCTCATCCTCAAAATAAGAGAATGTTACGCAAAGTGGCTGGTGCAGAATAGACAAAGGTATGGGGTCTCGTTCGCGAACGCTGAGAACAGTCGCCTTCTCTCCTTCCACAACCACATCTGGTCTTCGAAAATGTTGTAGAGCAGCCATGACGGCTATACAGGAGGCGTCGATCAAACCGCCATCATGGTCGATCACATGTACATCGGCGCGAAGAGCAAAGCATTTCAAACCGGCGATGATGCATAGCGATTCGGTATCGAGGGCATTGGAGCGTCGGATGGCTTTCTCAAGTATGCGCGAGAGGATGACTTCGGCGTCTGTGGGCCTGTTGGTCCAATGGGTTAGCAAGTACTTGAGGACAAGCCTAGTGAGGAGACATACCGGCCAATCTCAAAGGCAGGAGAGGCCATGGGCGAGAACTCGGAGACGATTTGGAAGATGCCATCAAACTTGCGCTCGGGCAGTGGAGTTGTCACATCTACTGATATCCGCGCAATGACTCTGTAGACAGTGAGAAAGACGCATGGATAGGTGTGGAATGGTTGACGTACCTCGTTTTGCCCAATTGTACATCTGCGACGCCATACTCGTCGCCGAATGTGAGCTCTACCGGGCGGAACGCATCGAACGCGCGCTTGTCAAGCCGTATCTGCTCTCGTAATGCTTGCTTTATAAACTCGCGCTCATTGAGCGATATCTCAGCTTCACGTGGCATGCTGCCTCGTGCAAGTGATCGAAATGTGGAGTCGTTATTGGTGGGGGAGTGGCCGACAAATTGTCGCGGGCGTCGGAACAAAGTGAACGCGCTAAAACAACGGTAAGTCTGTAGTAGCGCGCGCCGGCAGCTATGAGCGACTTTCAAACAGGAAGACTCATGCTTCACAACTCCCCACATCCCACGCCATCCATCACGCGCAAGACTCCCGAAATCTATATCAGGCTCATTCGAAACCTCTTAATAGTAGATACACACGATGACGACCGCCCATAGACCAACGTTCGATCCCGCGCGCGGAAAGGAAGCTCAGCGAGGACCTGCCTACCACCAGCGACTTCTTCCAGCACACACCACCCTCAAGCACCGACAGCCAGGTCAGGGTGGAGATGCGGATGGCTATAAGCGTGACCTTCGTGCAGAACTTTTAGAGGCCGAAGCGCGTCACTACGCTAAGAAGAATGGCACCTACGTCGAGCCAGAGGCAGCTACGGAGCCAGGCAATGCGCCCAAACGCCAGATAGACGCAGTGCAAGCGGAAGAGCAAGAAGAAGGCGATGGAGCAGATCAAAAGAGGCGACGCATAGAGGTGTTAGAGAAGTATAGGGAGGTAGACGCAGACGATAGTAGTAGTGAGAGCGAGAGTAGCGACGACGAGTACGTTTCGCCCGTTGCTTCCATGCACGTTGCATTGCTAACAATCCCAGTGACGAGGACGAAGAAGACGAAACAGCAGCGCTTATGCGCGAGTTGGAGAAGATCAAGAAAGAGCGTGCTGCAGCAAAGGCCAAAGAGGAGGCAGAGCGTGCGGCTGAAGAAGACCAACAGCGTGAGATTGATGTCGCACGTGGGAATCCGTTGCTCAATCCAAAGGACTTTACCATGAAACGCAGATGGGATGACGATGTCGTCTTCAAGAACCAAGCACGCGGTACTGAAGACCGCAACAAGAAGAAGGAATTCATCAACGACATGCTGCGATCCGACTTCCACAAAAAGTTCATGGTAAGCAAATTTGTCCTTTGGTAATGAGCAGAGCTGACGAGATATGTAGTCCAAGTACATCCGCTGAGGCAACTACATCGAATGTTGTCAACACCCCCTGATTTCATGTATCTTTGGCGTATTCTGGACTTTGCGCATGGCGATTTTGGATGAGATGAATACAATCTCAATAGCGTGGGATGCCATGGACCCGGCAGATTTTGTGGCGTGCATGCCAGTAATCACGCATCAGAACCCTTCAAATCCCTTATCTTGATCAGCATAACCCATCACCACATCGGGGCTGGTGGCTATCTTTTGCCTGAGCCTTTCTGATCCTCCGGTCTTGTAAGTGTCGACAAGCTTCAACTCCTGGATCAGTCCTGGTCATCTTATAGTGAGCGTGACAAAAGTGCATTATTACACGCAAACGATGGCGGTCGTGCAGTTGGACTATGTTCCATAGATGGATACAACAATCGAGCGATCTCAACGGTTGACATGGTGCCGAATTAGAAGAGCACTCGCAGCCCTTTTTCCCGGTCGGTCCACACTACATCAGCTAGCGCTTGTTAAGAGGGCTAAGCACAACTTGGCTATTCTTCTACCCTCTTACGTTGCTTGAACTGTCCAGGATCTTGGGTGATAATAAGCGACCCAAGCGCAGTGACCTCATGGCTTCAGTATCAACTGCGTGAGCTTGTACGACTAAGACATAGCTAGTGACGAGTCTGAAATGTACGGGTACATAGCCAGGGGATTAAACTGCTGCATACAAATTCATTACCACCAGACTACTGTCTTGATTCACAGTCTATTCAGTACTTTGACTTGCGAAGTCTGATAACCCATCACATCAACTCATAACACAGTTCAAACATCTCCAAACAATATGGCAGGCTATGGCAACCGCACAGCAGCAGACTACGTCGCCGACGACTATACCGATCAGCACAGTAGCACGCGTCTCGGCCTAACATTGTCAGACACCCCCTACTCAAACGCCCACGAGAAACACGGCTCAGGCACAACGGGTGGTGCAGGCTTTGGTACGTCTGGACAACCCATTAACCTCGTCTGCCCTCTGCCAATGACTACCCACCTCTTTCACCCTCGCCTCTCACTTCCCAGTACCACGCCAACACCCACTAACAAAATGGACATAGGAAATAAACGCTCCTCTTTCCCAGCCACCTCTTCTACGCTCGAGTCCGTGGATTTCAAATCGGCCAACGAGACGGGGCCTTACAGTAATGCTACTCCGATGGGCAGCGGCTCGACTGCCGGCGCAGGCTACGGCAATAAGACGGGTAGTTTTGAAGGGAGTAAGGATTCCGCGCTGGGTAGAGTAATGGAAAGGGTAGGGCATGTTATGCATAATGAGGGGATTGCGGAGAAGGGACGAGTGAAAAGGAGTGAGAAAGGGTTTGGGGCCGTGGAGTAGAACTTAGGTCTGCAAGCCATGAACTCAGACTATCCATGTTCTTATTGGGGTTCAGGTCTGAAATGAACTCGGCATGTGTGTCTTTCAAATCCATGATAAAACTATCATGTAGCTGGTGATGACATTAAGCTACCGCCTCTAGCTACCGCTTCGAAAACTCATTCATTTCGATTTCCTCGGCTTGCCATGCTGTCCGCCTCGTCTCCCACCCCTCATACCCACTCTGGAACCTATTTTTGATTTTCCACAAGTTCGACGCCGTCATCTTCGCGAAGGCATGACCCGGCCGACTCCCCACAACCTCCGGTCTCTGCATACCCTCAACTCGCCCCAAGTCTTCCCCAGATCGTGAAATCGTGCCCCTTCCCTCATCAACAAGCGTAGTTCCTGTCCACCTCGTTCCCTGCTCTCCTACGTCTCGTCCTCCAATCCCTACTTTCGTACCATCGCCATCACCACCAGCAACAACAACAGCATCCCCCTTTCCCCCACCCTCCCCCTCCACATCCTTAAGATCTATCCAATACCCCTTTCCCCCTGCCCTCCTCCTCATCCTCCTCTCAAACCCCCCATACCTCCCCACCTTACGCGCATAATACACAACCGCAACCCCCACACCCACCACCCACGCCAGCGGCGCACAACACCCCAAGTACAAAATCCCACGAACCTTGAACTCTCCCTTGACGACGTCGTGGTCTGCGCACAGCACCCACGGCACAAACAGCATGCTGGCTTACGCGAAGATGGCGAGGGCGAGCAGCGCTTGCGTCAGCAGGAGGGCGCTGCAGATTATGTGGATGCGGTGGGTCAGGAGGGGGCGCAGCCTGGGCTGCTGTGTGAAGGAGGTGTATGTGTGGTGGAAGAGGGTTAGGGAGGTGTGGTGTGTACGATTAGAGTGGGGAAACAGGTTTGGCGGAGGGGTTCGAGGGTGCAGTATAAGGGGAGGAGGAGGCGCCAGAGAGCGAAGAGGGGAGGCAGAGGAGGATGAGGAGAAGACTCTAGAAGAGGGAGGTGGCGTGGGAGAGCACCGCGGCCAAGGTTTTGGATGACATGTTGGGTGGGGTCTGCTAAGGATTTGGTGGAGGTAGGTAGGCGAGTAGGACACGAGAGGGGGAATGTATGGATGCGGATAATGTAAAGATTGATTTTTGTGATGGAGAGGCCACGAGTTGTCGAAGCTATGCCATTCAGTGGCATGTTATAATTGTTGGACTTTGCCTGGGCATCAATATGTGACACGATACTCAGGTGGAATAAACTCCAAGCCCAACCCTTGAAAAACCATCTTTTCTGCATCCGCAGGTGTACCCTCAATCCCATTCTCACCCTCCAACCACACAGCTTCCCCAGTGCTCCTACTACGCACACCACTGCTATCAAACTTCCAGCTTTTGATAGCCTTGGCGTACCTTCTCAGGTCTCGCTGGAACGTGGTACCACCACTCCACCCCATAACCGCACACCCCACCGTCCGCCACGGAGCAATAATAATATCGACTCTGCGATGAATAGCAGGGTTCTTCGCGTTTGGATCCCGAGCTAGATCCTCCTCACGCGTCGGCCAGGACGGATCCTGCCATACCACAAGCGCCTTGTCGAGCGTGTCGAAGCCGACACCAGCACGCTTGGACGAGCGAAAGGGCAGGGCTTGTTGTCCTCGATTCGTGTTGGTCAGGCTCATGGTAAGTGTATGTGTGATCCAGCCTGTGTCCTCGAGAGAATCCACAATCTCGCGGATCAAGCCGGCGGTTTGGTCGAGCTCCGGGTGTGAGACAATCATGTCTACATCGCCGGATTCCGATTTGCCACGGCGATAGCCACCGACGATTGTGACGGTGGCTCGGTCGTCGCGCAGTCGTACTACGTGCTCTTTGACGACAGAGGCTATCTGTTCGACTTCTGGCCGCGGGATCGGGACGAGAAACTCATCGCAGTATTTCACGCCGATTTGTTGTACTCTGTCTAGATCGTCCCAGCCATATTCGATGATGTCGTCTAGTTCAGTCCAGTGGTTATTGTAGTAAAAGTGTCGGGCCGTTTTTGCTCCAACGCCCCAGATGTTGTAGAACAAGCGCAGTACCTTCATCGCTTCATCATCCTCGTAATCTTGCACCGCTTGGATCTTGCCCGTGTTCTTCCATTCAACAAACAAAACTGCGGTTTTCTCATCACAACCGGGTAGTTGGGCAACTTCGCGCGGGTGGCGAAGTTTATACGGATAGGCTGCGATAGATGCTATGATTGTGGAATATGCGCGAACTCCAATCTCATCATCGATGAGAATACGAGCTGTGCGAATCTTCTTTAGTTCCTCGAGGAAGTCTTCGTTGGGGCCATTCGCAGGTGTGAAGCGTTGACATGCATACTTCACACCCTTCCTTACCCACTCTGGTGGTTGTGGAAAGTCACTGTCCACACCTTCATATTCACTAGTAGTCTTCTGCAGCAGTGTAGCGGTCTGGGCCGCATAAGAATGGTTCGCAGAGGATGTGAAACTTTTGCCTTCAGAACGGCGAGACCCGTGATATCCAGCGCGCTGGGGCTGATGTGCTGATTTCGTTGCTATCTCTTGTGCATCCGCTTGGGCGCGGCTTAAAATCTCTTGCACAGCATCTGGTCGGCTGGCCAGAGTGGTCTGTGAAGCGGAGGTCACCGAAGCTGCCGCAGTAAAGATGCTCTTTAAGGATTTAGGATTGAGTGATTTTGGACGTTCCAAAACCTTGCCCTTGTAGACTAGGTGCTCACCCAAGGGTACCAGATGACCTGCTGTGACACAGGCTTGTAACCAGTCTAACTTTACAACCCAGACAAAATCATCAATGGACGAATTGTCGAATATTGAGGTCGCATGTGGCCCACTGTCAGACCTGGAAGGCGAAGACGGCGAAGTGACGTGTCTCGTTACTGGTTCTTCATCTCCGGTTTCTGATTCACCAGCATTTTCATCTTCTGTAGTAGAGCCTCCTTCATCGGCAGGAGCGGATATATTGCATGATACTCGTTGACGCTTCCGAGAATGGACAGACGCCTTCACTGGACTGGCAGGACGCTTGGGAACAGCAGCCTCTTCCACTACAAGTTTTCGCCATCTCAATTCAAATTCAGCCCTTCTCTTGGTACCAACTTTACCAATGAAGACTTTGGCGCGTGAAGCATCAGTGGTGAGTGGCGCGTCGTGTTGGCGTAAAGCATCTTTGAGTGTCCTGGCCTCGTCGTCTTTCAGATGTGCTGTCAGTATTGCAATGGGTGGGAGTCTACTGAGGTCGAGACCAAGCAAGGATACGGTCGATGCTGAGGAGAGCGAGGGCGCATGCATTGTTTGACTCGGGTGATCCATGATATCCATATTCGTCCAAGTATTGATTGTGGCCGTCCAATAGTTTCAAGCAAGGGCGCGTGTCAAGACGTATCGAGAAAACGAGTCCTTCGTACTCGACCGTTGGGGCTGGGTGACTGACAGTGCATTGTACACAGGGAAGAGGTTATCAGCGCGACGTTGTACGATTATCATGCGACAAATGTTAAGAGAAACAAATGTGTACTGCCAAAAATGGATGACGTCCGGGTGAGGTCGAAAGACTCCAAAGGGTGTTCCTGTGCCTTGCCGTCAGCCCTGTCTTGGCACATTTGTTCTGTTTGATTCACTTCCTCTGCCGGCTCACCAGAGCCCGTGCTGTTTGATATGGCCCTCCAGAACAGGACTAGCACTGACACCCAGCCGCCGCCTCGTACTGTTCCTCTACCCAAAACATGTTTCATCCTTCAGTGCCCTTTTTCGGAATGCCACAGTACAATGTACGATACTTTCACCGGGTAGTGCAGACTAATCCAGTCGTCGGGCACCGAACGTGGGCCGCTCGTCTTCAAGGTTTTTCCGGCTGCGCGTGAAGATGACGTTGCCATTTGCCATGGATGTGTACCGGTAAGTAGCTTTGAAACATCCTGCGGACCTGAGGCAGGAAAACATACTCCAGGCTTGTTTGGCTTACATGTCACTGAGCTTTGCGGCGTTACTGTACTACCTAACTGCGAAGTAACATCCAACGGCTTCCATGCAACTCTAGCAGTCATGTTCACCCCTTCTGGACCTGCCATTGTCATGCGCAAGGCGAGGGATCCTGCAAGACGCAACAAGCATAATTCAAGTTTTCGCGTCTGGCGCAGGGCCGGCCTGAGATGGCGCGAACGTGGAAAGTGTTTCCTCCTTGCCGCCGATCCTTCCCTTCTGTGCCCCGATCCGTGTTTCGGGTATATGAACAAGGGAGTGTTTGATCCCTACTATGGAACACACTACCGAGGATCGATTATATAGTGAAGCTATGGGTAAGATCGTAAAACGCCTGACAAGCGAACCGGATTACGTGCTCTACCCCGGACCTTCCTGCAGCGGTTATCATCCATATTACTGTGCAGTGCCGCTCACTTTTTTCCCGCCAGTCTTGACCACATACCATTCACTCATATTGTCTTTTGTTTTCTCAATTCACTCTTTCGAGAAGAGTGCTGGTTTTGCCATACACATTTGGCTTACGCGGCTTCGACAGCTTACACTTACATTTGACATCGCAACTACCAGCGCAATACTTCCACTTCGATTCTATCCCACTCTCACCATGCGTTCCTTTATTCTCATCGCCCTTGTGGCCATCATCACATTCGTGTCCGCCATGCCTATCACACCGGCAGCACCACAATGGCAAGCAAAAGCAGAACAATTCAGGTTACAGGGTCTCAAAGAGGTATGTGGGCAACAGTATGGCTTATCCAAAAGAAAATTGCTCACCCATATAGATTGAGATTGCGGAAAAGCTCATGGCACCGACGGCTGCTTCATCATCAGGACCTCAGCCTTTCTTTTCCCGCCTCAATCAAATCGTTCACGTTTATATCCACGCTGCTTCCACCGACGACAAGCCCGATCTATCTGGAGACATTGCACCAGGCTCAGCAGAAATACCTCAAATCCTTCCCACAGCACCAGCATCTAATGAATTGTCTCTCTTCGAGCGCCTCTGTGCCGTCTTCCATCGTAGCGAGAGCAGCTTTGGCTACGAGGGCAAGGAGTCGGAGATGCGCCGACCAATAGGCTCAGTTTATTGGAACCAATTCGGCGGGTTCCGTCGATAGTCCAAACGATCAGCTATTTTCTTCTTTTTGACCCTGCCCTTGCCCTTGACGTTGTTACGAGAACATGTATTATTCATTGGACAACTAGCTTGAGTGTGTCACCTGCTTCCCTATTTGTCCGGTGCTGTCAGGAGTTGTTGGGTTTTGCGATTGGCATTATCAAGTCTGTCAGCATCGATCATCAGAGACCTTCGTCTGATTGCTGCACATTATAAGACGTGGAGCTTTCTGCGTAGTTTGCATGTGGAGCCGTCACAACCGTCCACAGGAGAACCGGAAGTCCTTCACTGCTTAGGCTTTTAATCATCAAAACAAGGCTATGCCGCCTACAAATAATGCTTCTTTGGTCCAGACACATTATATCTACACACCCAATCATAGTTTCCAAGCATCTTATACAAACTGTACGATCTTTTGAACTTCTCAGGCGTCTTGTATAGAACCACCGCATGCCAGGTTGCAATTTGCTAGCGCCCGTATTCAAGCCGACGTTTCAGTACTATTGGAATCTTAGAAATTGACTTTGTATCAGATAATGGTCCGGACCAAGTCAGCATAGAACAGAACCTGTCATAGCAAGGATGCAGATTGAGGTGCTTTGATCGCTTACAAACCTGCTTCCGCCGCTCTCGAGTCGTGATAAAGCCCGGAAAATTGCTTCACCCACCACCCACGTACAATTACGTCCACGCAGAGTATACATAGAGTGCTTTAAAAGCAGTGTTATTAGTCCTACTATACTAAATATAATACTACAAATTCTCGCTGCAAAATCGCGTCAACTTTTACAGCGTTTACATTAGTGTTTGGCGACCGCCCCAAGAGCAAAATTCCGGGCTTTACCACGACTCAAGAGCGCTGGTAGATCTTCTGCCCCTAATAAACACATATGTCATTCTTAGAAGGAGTCTGCGTAGATCAGATAAGGATCTCTACTATTTTAGGCTATATAAACTTCAGAGGATAGATATAGTTCTAATACCACCTCCCATTAACAGGCTCACCGATTTACCAATAGAAAGAGTCAGAAAGTTTAGGGGCATATTGAATACCTTACACATTACTGAAGGTTAAGATGCAACATATCGGGATAGAGTGATATCAATCTTTGCGGGTAGAGACAGCTCAGTCCCCTCCTTAAAGCCCTGCTCTATCCTTTTCAAAGTGGTAATTTCCCTTATTCAATGCATGGCTGAGTTCTAGAGCATAACTATAACTAGTAAACTGTCGGCTAATCGGGTGCTAATCGGTGAGAGATGCGCTGAACCAGATTGCTTGGACCTAGTACGCCCCTTAAAGACTTGATGAATATTGGGTATGATCTTACTTATAACAGGAACCGTCCTCCGCCAGGAAAGCTTGCCTTGCCAGCTAAAGAGAAAAAGGTCCAAGCACATAACCCACAGTAAGCGCCCACTTGCCCCCACCAAAGGTTTAGGAGTAAATACACTTAGGCACCCTATATAATTGACCATAGACACGTCCTAAGGAACTCTCTGGCCCTAGGCTAAAATTAGTAGATCTGACGTAGATCTGTTAATTTGAACAATAGAAGCACTAGTCAGTGCCAATCCCTACTATGACTCTTGTTCGTCGGTTTATACGGTAGTTGACGAATTAGGAGATCCTTGTTAAGGCTCAGCGCCAGCTCGTGATCAGGACAATAGCAAATCACGCGAAACTCGAATCACCGAGAGAACCTAGAGCGCCAGCTCATCGTCGGACAACAAAATATTACATAAAGCTCGAATCGCAGAGAGAGCATGGCTATACTTATCGTGACCATCTGAGCGCCAAACTTTGAGCCCTATGTATTTGAGCCCTATCTTGACAGTTAGCATCCAATAATCTATGTCCCAAATCGTTCCTGAGCTCAGTGATGACGCTTTCAACAATATCAATCAAGGACAAGGTAGCTATTGAGGTGCTTGATTAGCTCCTTTGCACCAAGGTATGGCTCACCGTTTAGAGGAAATTGGTACCAAGCCCACTGCAATAGGAGGTACGAACACACCCAGCGGCCCCACTGTGATTCCTAAAATTTATGCCGGTCACTAGCATGGGTAGGATCATGACTCAATGGTAGAATGCGATTCTATATACTATGGGCATAGCTGCACACCGATTGTGCTTCTCTATGTAGCCAGGCAAGAGCTTGTTCAAAACTCAAAAGAGCTCTATATATTTGCAATGCAATCGTCCTTCTCCTACATCATCCCTCAGCTCTCTGATCAAACAAAAAATTTGTGAGGCTTGGTAATAATATATATCACGGTCTACATGTACTACCGCATTGGACAATGGATACAATCTTAAGTGTTAAAGTTTCAAAGAAGAGTGCCCCGTCAGGTACCGGTAAGACAGACCCGCTGAACGTTAGGGCACACCTAATCGTACACTGTGCACCGCCCCAAAGGACCTGAAAGCACATGCCTTCGAGCCTCCTATCATGTTATATAATAGACCTTAGGCATCTCCTCAATAGCCATCTCTATCCAGTTCATCTTTTGTCACTTTCAGCATCTACCGGTATCCTTGCGGCCTGGCTTTTATACCTGTAATCAGCCATGATCATGAAGATTACCCTTGTTACTTCTATTTTAATAGGTCACAGTATACACTACGGTAAAAAATTGTTTACTGTAGAATGGTACGCTAGGGGTTTACTATATAGGTGTAAACTGACCTTGTGTATACCCGTAAATAGGTTTAAAGTGGTGGTTTACTTTTATAGTAGGGGTTTAAATTAAGTATAAAAAGTAGTTTTATTTCTATTATACGCTATAATACCTAACTAAGACTAAAAGGGGTAGAAAAGATTAGCTTTACGCTATACGCACATATGACATAACAATAAGTCATGATATTTTTACTAATAGGAGGTAGTAATAATAGAGGTGGTGGTGATAGAGGTAGTGATAGAGGTGGTGGTGATAGAGGTAGTGATAGAGGTAGTGAAGAAGATTAAAGAAAGGAGGGGTAAAATACTTAAATAGTAGGAAACTAGGTATTACTACGTAATACTAGTAGATTAATATAAGTAGAAATAAAAGTAGTTTACTTTTGTAGAATACATAGTATAATAAACCCTATTTAGGTTTACTTCTTCTACCTAAACCACTTCTTAGTCTACTTTAGATAAATATGGCTACTGTAAACCGGTTTTGTACCGTAGTGATAGCAACATCTGCAGATGCACGGTGCCAAGCCCTTCCAACAAATACCGGTATTGGCCATCCATCAGGGATGCTGGATCTTTGTCCCGCCGGAATGACGAGATTTTGCGTTTGTCGATATAATAGGCCAGATGACCGCATAAGAACAAAACTAAACTCTAGCATAGTGCAACCCCTTTCGCCTCTCGAACTATCCATGGAAATGTGTGGTGCCTATGTGGAGGGGTCATGAGCGGGACCTAGATTGCATAGGCCCCGTTACCGGTACTTCTGCAAGTTCTGAGCTGCTACCTAATCATACCAAAGACTTCCACGCGCTACAACTGTGTGCTAATATATTCATTTGCAGGCAAGGGCTGCGAAGCTCCGTTGTGTAAGACCTTCTTTCTTTATGCCGATTTATCTTATTAAATGGTTTATAGTGCAAATAAATACATTGATTTTAGGAGGACGGGCTATCTATTTGGTTTAGGAAGGGATTCAGATTTTGGGAGAAATTACAGAGTTCTCTGAATTCAACCTATGGTAGTTTATTGTATCATGCAGTGCTCAGAATAGAAAAAGCAAGAAAATCGCCTTGCACATGCATATTTACCTTAATAGATATCTTAATCGTGCAACACCACGTGCGCATTTGTGTTTATAGACGTCGTCGGCTATCCTGCTGTTTGTGGCTATGCGAGATGCTAGAGCGCCTATTGTAACAACACAGGTAGGTAGGCATGTCTAAAAGGGGTCTAATATAACTCAAAGGTATATAGGAGTGTATATTTATATAGAGATTAAATGAATTAATTCCTATACCTATAGATCTTATATAAAAGGATAAGACGAACTTATCTATCTATTTATAGGTACAAGGCTCCTTTTCTATATAGAGGCAGAGGGGACTTAGACTGGACTTAGGGCGGTATTAGCACTTGGCCTGGGTTAACGGTCTAAGATAGAACGAGGGTTGCACTCGTTACAACAGGAGTAAATGGGACATGATACATGATGTGTGGAGCCTTATACGGATATCCCTGTTAGATGGGTACTATCCTAATTTCCCCACCTGATCTTTGCTCCCAACTCCATTCCACCACTTCACGCGCCTCTCATTGCGCGCACACACGCACTCACACCCACAAGCAGCAGCCATGAAACTCCCCCCGATCGCTGTAGCCTGCCTCTCGGCCCTCGCCATCGACTCCTGCTCCAACATCATCGCGCAACGCCTAAAAGCATGGAACGAATCGAAGCCTTTCGTCTTCGACCGCGTGCTGTTCACGCAATTCGCCATCATGGTCGTGCTGACCGCGCCAATAAACTACCACTGGCAGAACTGGCTCGAGCGCGCGTTTCCGGGGTGGAAGACTGTGAAACAGAGGCGGGAGATGGGGGTGGGTGAGGAGGAGAAGGGGATCATGCTGAAGGAGGATGGAGAGGATAAGAAGATGATTGAGGAGGAGGTCTGGGTGAGGAGCTGGCTTAACATTTTTAAGAAATGGTTTACAGATGTGGGTACAATTGATGAAGAAGGAAGTGTGGTTGTGTGGAGCTGACCAGTAATAGTGCATCACGATGGGGGCGTTGTTGAACCAGTCCATGTTCTTGATCATAATCGGACTGCTAAAGGGCAAGACGGCGGGGTTGATCATTCAAGATTTTCGAAACGTGAGTTTGCTTGCTTTCGCAATGATACAATAACGGTATGGTCTAATGTATTATGCAGGAGTTGTTCGGTCTGATTTTCGATTCCTACAAAGTGTGGCCCATTGCCAATTTTTTCAGCACTACATTCATTCCCGTGGAACGACGCATCGTCTTTCTCAGCTTCTGCGGCTTGCTGTGGAATATATACTTGTCCCTCGTCGCAGCACGACTGTAGACATCACCTTCTGATAGCTGCCAAACGTACATGTGTATTCTACATCTGAAGATTGAGACGGATCGTAATGGTCCCTTACATCAGCACGAATCATCCTTAGGCCCCTTTTTCCATGCCTCCATAATCGCCCCCCAATACTTCCCTTCATCCTCCCTAACATGCCCACAATGCGCACTCTTCTCAAACTGCACCTTGGTCACATCCCACCCCTTTGCCCTCGCCGCATTCGCATGCTCATCCACCTCATCAAAACCCACCATCAAATCCGCCCGACTATACAAATACACCCTCGGAACCCCCCTATCAAACACGCGCTCGTCATTCAACTCCCGACAAAGCACAACCATCCGATTCTCCTTCCTTCTAACAAAATTCACCACATACGTAGCCAACAGCAGCAAATGCGCCGCCAACCCCCCGAACCACCGCCAAAACATCGTGCGAGGAAACGACGCCGTCATCGCCGCATGACTCTGCATCCACGGCCCTTTTGTCGGCGCGGAATCTAGTATTTGCGCCCGCATGGGCAGTCTTTCGCCGTGCTGTGCTAACCACGCCTTGGCCATCTCGTTGACTTGGTAACCGCCGCCATTCGACCAACTATGCACCAGCACCTCTCCCCCCAGCTTCGCATGCTCGGCTACAAGATCCATGGCGGGTTTTAGCAATGGAGCGTATGCTGTGGCGCGGCGGAACAAGTCGGGAGTGAAACATCGGATTAGGATGATGCGGGATGATGGAAAGAGTTTTTGATAGGCGACGGTGTACTTGGCAATGTGTTTTGCGGCTGCCGAGTTCCAGGAGAAAAGTAGGATCAATGGGGTATCGGGTTGGGCGGGTTGGGAGAGGTATGCTGGTGAGGTCCAGAGGTAGGTGTTGTGGCCTATTTTTTGGAAGTCGGAGAGTGGGTTTGGGGGTGGTGGTGATGTTGACATTGTGGAAATCGATAAAGGGGGTCGGTAATGAAAAGGGAGTTTTTTTGGGGGAGTTCTTGAGATAGGTACAAAGAGAGATCAAAACCGTCGTGTTTGGAACAGCCGGAGATGGAGGGATTTGGTGGATTTAGTGAACGGGGTTTGACATGGAGATCTCCAGTCTCTCACCGTGCCTAGGCAAGAACTACATTCACATGTATCGTGCATGAACTGCCGTCTGACATCTTGGCGTGAAAGCACCGGGACAGCCGAGGCATCTCTCTCATTCGCTCCGAAACCCTCGCCCAAACAACTAGGTAGGCCAACTCAACGACACCTTGTACCAAAACACCGACAGCAGACCTGGACATGACTTATCATCATCATTATATGGACGCAAATCCCGCCCTTTTCGTCCATGATTCAACCGTCTCATCTCTTCATGACTAGATCAGCCTAGCCACGTCCAAGCATCCACGCCGCGACCGACGAAGCCAGAGCGCCAGCCTGCGCCGCACCAGCCGCAATGCTCGCGCCATATCCTCCCATGGCTGCACTCTGTGCCATGGCATATACGCCGCCCGCAGGTACATAGCTGAAGTAGCTCATGATGGAAGCCGCCGCAGAGCCTGTTTCATATGGTCAATTCACCTCTTGCGCTGTGTCTGAAAGCGGGGTCCCGTTCATCAAGTAAGACGTACCAGCAACAGGGCCTCCAGCGCTTAGACCCAGTGCGCTGAAGATGGGGACAGTAGCTGCAGCGGGTGTGAGGAGCACGACGCCGTTGACGACGTGAAAGAAGGTTTGGTAGGGGTGTTCGGCGATCCAGTCAAGCAGGGCTTTGGGAGCTGCTTCCATCTTGGAAGTGCTGGTGTTGTTGTGGGTTGGTATTGATAGCAAAGGTTGAGTAGAGAAGGTATGGTGTGAGAAGGTAAGAAGTTGCAATCAGGTACTCTCGTAGCTTGCGTGTGATGTGAAGTCAAGTGGAAGGAAGATTCCAGTCTTTGTTGCCCTTACCGGTTGCCGGCGCTGTGGCACACTGCAGCAGAACGTGTGGCATGAACATTGGCTAGCTGGCTGCTAATTCCATCCCACCCACATTCGCAGACGAAGATGCCCGCGCCACTTTGGATTATGCATTTATAAAAGTCCAGAAGCTATACGGTGTTTGCTCACGGCGATACAAGACCCTGTACAGTCCTCCATATCGCCTCAGTCGTTGGCCTGCAAGATTTTACAAGCAACGAAGAAGACACCACGCCTGCACGTATGTACCGGTACTTCTCCATTGTACCTTTTCCATCGCCATCCATGCCTGCGCTCTGTAGTTTGGACTATCGACTTCCAGCACGCACGTTACCGAGATAGGTCATGGTTGATGATGCTGGAGAGTCTGCAGGTGTTTTGTAAGGTTTTGTGATGCATGTACTTGGTAGAAATCGCTGTACCGGTACCTTTTCTCACACCTTCCTTCCCAGACCAATCATACAAAGGCCAGCGACGGGCCATATGAGAGCAATGCCGTTGATTAGATGTAGAAGTGTTGAGATGGGATGTGCAAAGGCGGCTTTGACAATTTTGGTGTGAATGGACATGTTGAGGGTGTAGGGGGAGAGATTGTATATCGGATGCACTGGGATGTTCATGTAAAGGCTGAAGTGCGAGAACAATCGGTCAGTCAATTCATGAGGAGACTCTCGGGATAGAAGTTCGTGCGTACTTTTCAGAGAGAAGGTAAAATGGACGTCTTGCTTGGGGCTAGTGCGACACCGTTGCTGATAAGTTGCATGGGCTGCTGCGAATCACTAAAGATTGTTGCGCCGCTCTGCAGTCTAAGGTTCATCCTTGGGAGGGATCATGGGTATCTTGTAGGGACAGGACTAGTATCAATAGAATGAGAACAGTCTCTATGGAATTGCCTTTTCATTTGAAGAATTCAGGACAAGGAATACTTCCCAACATCCTCAACTACTCATGGCTGAGCTACTCCTTGGGTCATGGTCCATATCTACATCCAACCAAGTAGATGATAATCTTCAAGCATCACGAAGCGTACCTTGAACGTATGCAATGTACCTTCAAACTCCCGCTATTCCTCAACTTCCAGCCATCCCCATCTAAACCGTCTTCCTCCCCTCCAAACCGCGTTTCCTCAACTCACCCATTCCCGGATCCATATGCAATCCCGTATACGTATCGCTCACCGATCGTGTCAAAGGCGCAACATCCCACCCCCTGTTCAGTGGCTTCACAGGCCCTTTATCCCAATACGACGGATCGTTTTTCCGAAAGCGAACACCATGGAATAGCCAGCGAAAGCCCCTCGCAGCAGCCTTTGCATAGTCCCAAGGATAAATTGCTTGTAACAAGGCGCGATTCGGACCACATGCGTAGAATTGTCGGGGGTGCTTGTGTTGATGCTCCAGAGCATATGGCTTCCATGGAAATGCCAAATGGTGCAAAGCCGCGAAAATGGCCATCTCGACGCATGTCAAGATACACGGTATCCCGATTCGAAGATCGGGGCCGGCAATATATCTTGTAGGAGCCAGGGGGCCTTTACTTGCCGTCAGGAGCTCTATGAGGTAGTTCTGCCAGAGACACAGGAAAATGACGAGTTTGAGACTGAGGACTTTGAGGAACGGTCGGTGGCGGGCGAGGTCATCTTTGAGCTGAATATGGAACTGGACGATGCAGTACATTGCAATGGCTGCGGATAGTACGTTGACGCCGAAGACCCAGACAGAGGCATATCTAGGGTGCTTGGAGCTCTTGCAGTATTTTCCGCGGGACTCGGCGATGACGGCGATGATGGTTGAGAGGGGCCGTATGAGGCAGTATTGGAAGACGCCGACGTAGACAATCTGGAAGTTTCACATATAGATTAGCCAGTATATCTATGCAGTAACCACAACGCATGGACGAACATTGAACCAGGTCAGTCCACTTCGAGGCCGCCTAAGACGACCCTGATCCTCACCACCACTAAATTTCTGCAACCAATTCAACGGGGGCGCCCAGTTCTTCGGCCGCGCACTTCGAAAGTAAGCTTTCTGCTCGTGCAGGTTGGGCGCAACATAGTGGCACATGAGCGTGAAGAAACTGGCAATGGCATACGCCTCGTAGCAATCGCGCACGAACCCGAAATAAGTGGCGTGCATATAGAATACATAGCTCAGAAAGGTGGTGATGGTGTAGATTGGAATCAGGGCGAGGATGCGGATGATGTGCCTTTGTTCGTACGGACGTAGATAGTGGAGAGCATGCTGTAAGATGAGCCATGTGGACAGGACGGTCGCGATGTAGGCGAAGCCGCAACAGATGCTGAGAGCGAGGATGTGAAATGTGGCTCCTTTTGCGAGGGCATCTTCCAGGATGAGATCTTTTGCGTATTGCTCGCTTTCACACTCAATGGCCATTGCTGAGTGTTTACCTATCCCAAAGGTTGTATGGTTATTGTCGGCCCATATCTTCTCGGGGAGTTGCACTCCAGTTCTTCCAAGCATGGGGCGCTATGTTAGCTTGCACTTTATAGGCAACCACGATGATGAGTACGGAAGCTCTTGGTCAAGACCAATCGAGAATTACCACAAGGCAGGAGCTATGTACATTCAAAGCAAACCCACTGACAGTTCATAAACGATCACCATCGAAGTACAGTGTCAATTTAGCATCCACATCTAGAACAAAAACCAACGCCTCCGTCTTCCATCCTTTGTTGTCTCCGTTCTTCTTGCCTTGATCCCAGGTGAAGGACTAAACAAACTGAATGATGGCAATAAACTCGACGGCCGCATCTGGGTACACTTGAGGCAGCGGATGGTAGTGTCACAGTCAGACTCGCTAGTATAGGTAGCTTGTTTACTAGAGCGTCGAGAACAGATCGGATGGACTGAAGAGGCTATAATATTGTGTCAGCAGACTATTCACCGTACATACTGCGAATGATGCTTATCTGGAGGAGGGGATGGAGGTGGCGGTGGTGGAGATACAGAAGCTGGTGGAGGCGGAGGCGGACCAGCAGAGGTGCCGGTAGGCACTGGAGTTGGAAGTGCTGATGATGAGCCACGTGGGACAGGTGATGAAGGATGTGGAAGCGGACCAGCAGAGGGTCGAGGACTAACACTCGAAGGCAGAGTCACAGCCGGATACCCACGATAAGTGGACGCAGAAAAACATTTACCGTCCGATCCCGCAGGATTAGCATCCACTGGAACAGGTATTCCATTCCAATCAACATCAGCCACCGTGACACACCACGTTGCATCATTAGGGACCTCTGTGGGCTCGACCTCTGCTCCCAATGTAATACTGTACGGGTGGCCGTGATATGGCGGTGGCGAGTTGCATTCGCCATCAGCACCATCCGGGCTCCTGGCTACGGTCACGTAGTTTCCGTTCCTGAAGACGTCGGCTTGTGTGATGCACCATGTTTTGTGGGGTACGGCGGTCGGGTTTGGAGAGGGGACTCCTTCGGTAACAGTCACTGTAGAGTAGTGAGTTATGGTGCTACGAATGATACCGGTACTCTCTCCAGAAGATGTCTGGGTATTGTTCGGAGAGTGTGGAGAAGAAAGAGGTGCCCCAGAAGGCGGGACAGACGGTAATCGTGTTAGTGTGGAAGGAGGAGACGGGATGCTCGAAGGCGGAGCTTGAGATGACCGATTGGAAGGAGAAGATAGGCTCGGGAATGCAGATGGACACGACAGATCGGTGATGCGAGGCCGTCGGGATTCAACATCTACAAGACCCTAATCAGATTGGTCTGCCGTTGAATCCTTTAAGAGCTGGAGCCAAAAGGTCGTATAGAGACCGAGCACGGAACATCCCACATCTCTCCAGTACCTCTGCATGCTCTGTGCATTTGCTTCTGGAAACGCTGGCAAGTTCGAGTGAAAAGGCCAACCATACAAGTACATAGTAAAGTCAGGATATATCTCATACGCAGTGGGTGTATTAAATGTTACTTACCATTTCGGCTATCCACACTGGTGTTTTCCCGGCGCTTTGTTTTACCATTTCCAAGGAGCTCAGGAAGCTGTCCTTGGCTGTGTCAATGTCTTCGTGGTTCCACCAGGGTTATGCAGTCATGCGAATGAAGTTTCCACCCGTGACTTTCGTAGCATAGTGAGCGGTATCCACATGACCGATTGATATATTTCGCAAAAGACGATGCCGCGATGAGCTTCCTTACATTAGCAGGCCGCTGAGACCACCTCCACAGATTGACCGGATGGGGGTGGAGTTGGTGGAGCTGTTCCAGCGGTAGATGTCCTCATTTCCAATAGAGAGGCCTATGACCAGATCACCAAGGGCCTGTGGGCCTGTCCATGCTTCTTGAAGCCCTTTTCAAGCGCTAGCATTTCTCTCTTCACCAAGTTGTCAGGTGAATCTCCCCTCTTAGCAGGGGTGATCCAGAAGCTCAGAAAGAGCTTCGTTTTGGTCTCTACTGCTGCATCAAAAGCTTCGATGGGTTCATCGGCTGTGTTGGATTGTATGCAAGTGAATAATCGCGCACTGTCGAAGACTACCGGCGTGCTGAGGTTCTTGGCGAGCATAAAGCCATCGAGGAAGTCGGCCTTTGTTTTGCCGTTCTCAAAAGCACCCCAGAAAACGCCATAGTTGAAGCCAGTGTATATGTTGTTAGCTGCCTGGGCGAGCAAGGGGAAATGAAGAAGAGCCGAGATGAACTTCATATCGGGAAGCACGATCAGTTGTCTGTCCGGCTGGGAGAGGAAAATGTAGTAAAAGCTGTAGAGAAAAGCAAGCAAGACCGCATTTTTGAGTACTCGTCATATTGAAACTGAATGTGACTGACATTTGTGAAGCCAGTTATGTGATGGACTTGGCGTGATGATGTGGCGAGCTCTCACATATTGACATCCTCATCGCCTACATCGAAGACCGTCCGCTTAGATGATTCGCAGTATGTATGCATCACATATTTGCAGATCAGTCTAACAAGGGAGGGGCGTGGCATTCAAGCACTGAGCACTATGAATACCTTTCTGACTGCCCATAGTGACATGTGTTGATGACCCAAATTACCGTCATCTGCAAACAAACGTCAGCTTGTGAATACTCCTGCATGTCGAATACACTGAGCCTGTGACTCAGTGTTAATTATACACATAGTTTTGTCGAGGGAGATGAGAGGTTGATGTTGGCAAGGGAGGTCTACGGCATCATCAAATGCCTCCTGATTGGCTCATTCCACGGTTGACGGAAAGAAGGCCGACCCCGCGATGACCGCAGACGCTCCGAGCTCGCATCATAAATTGTTTCCAGGCGCGCTCTGGGGAAGCCTGCAGTCCGCCACAATGTCTCTCGCGCGCTTCAGAGGTGCGCTTTCGCGCGCAAATGGCTTGTCACGGCCGCAATGGCAGACCGCGTATGTTGGAATCCCCCCACTTGCACCATGTATCGCTTGACATGTGCATGGATATATGATGTGGGATACCTGTGCTGATTGAAAACAGACGAGCGCTCTCGAGCTCCGCACTCCGCACTGCCAAAGCTGATGATGAGCTCAACTCTGTCAGTAAGAATATCACGCAGCCCAAGTCGCAGGGTGCCTCGCAGGCGATGCTCTACGCCACCGGTATGAGTGAGGCGGATATGAACAAGGCCCAGGTCGGCATTTCATCAGTGTGGTACTCTGGTAACCCTTGCAACATGCACTTGATGGACCTGAATCACAAAGTCAAGGAGGGCGTGGAACGGGCAGGACTGTTGGGTATGCAGTTCAACACCGTTGGTGTCAGTGACGGAATCTCCATGGGTACAAAGGGCATGCGCTACTCGCTGCAATCGCGTGAGATCATTGCGGACTCGATTGAGACCGTCATGGGCGGCCAATGGTACGATGCGAACATCTCCATTCCGGGCTGTGACAAGAACATGCCTGGTGTCATCATGGCCATGGGTCGTGTCAACAGGCCTTCGCTCATGGTGTACGGCGGTACGATTCAGCCTGGGTGTGCGAAGACGCTCGAAAACCAGCAGATTGACATTGTTTCCGCCTTCCAAGCATACGGCCAGTTCATCACTGGAGAGATTACCGAGGACCAGCGATTCGACATCATCAGGCACGCTTGCAACGGACAGGGTGCTTGCGGTGGCATGTACACTGCCAACACAATGGCCACTGCGATTGAGACAATGGGCATGTCACTCCCTGGATCTTCCTCGAACCCGGCCAACTCAAAGGCCAAGATGATGGAGTGTCTGGCTGCTGGAGGAGCTATCAAAAACCTGCTCAAGGAGGACATTCGCCCAAGTGACATTCTCACACGCCAGGCATTTGAAAACGCCATGGTTGTCATCAGCATCACGGGTGGCTCCACAAACGCTGTTCTCCACCTAATCGCCATTGCGGACTCGGTAGGCCTCAAGCTCACCATTGACGACTTCCAAAGCGTCAGCGACCGCATCCCTCTCCTCGCAGACCTCAAGCCATCGGGCAAATACGTCATGGCCGACGTCCACGACATCGGCGGCACGCCCTCTCTCCTCAAATTCCTGCTCCGCGAAGGCCTCCTCGACGGCACCCAAATGACCGTCACGGGCAAGACGCTCAAAGAAAACCTCGAAAACGTCCGCGACTTCCCGCCCGAACAAAAGATCATCCGTCCGCTCAGCGAACCGCTCAAGACTACTGGCCACCTGCAAATCCTACGCGGCTCCCTCGCCCCCGGCGGCTGCGTCGGCAAAATCACAGGCAAAGAAGGCACCATCTTCACGGGCAAAGCAAAATGCTACAACGCCGAAGACGACTTCATCTCTGCGCTCGAGCGCGGGGACATTAAAAAGGGCGAGAAGACGGTGGTTGTGATTCGGTACGAGGGCCCCAAGGGCGGACCCGGGATGCCCGAGATGCTCAAGCCGAGCTCTGCCATCATGGGCGCCGGCCTCGGCAAGGACGTGGCGCTCATCACGGACGGGCGGTTCAGCGGGGGAAGCCATGGCTTCTTGATTGGCCATATTGTGCCCGAGGCGCAGGAGGGCGGGCCCATTGGACTGGTGCGGGATGGGGACGAGATCACGATTGATTCCGAGGCGAATGAGTTGAATGTGCATGTGAGCGAGGCGGAGCTGGCAGAGCGCAGGAAGAGCTGGGTTGCGCCGCCGCTCAAGTATCAAAAGGGCACGCTGTTCAAGTATGCGCGGTTTGTCAAGGATGCTAGTCAGGGCTGTGTTACTGATTCCGAGTAATGGGCATTTGGAACGGGAGGTGTGGGTTGGGTGGGTGGATGAGCAGGGTATGCGCGATGTTTCTTTTTTTTTTCTCAACGACGCTTTCTGTGTTGCATAACTCAGGCCATTTCACGATTTCCGGGGTAACAAAATGGTTGGACCTAAGCGGGAGCTGGAGGAGCGGGAAGGTTGTTGGCGTTGGGATGAGTCTTGTTGGTAGGCATAGTTTGAATGCATTTCCCAAGTCAAGTCGAGTCCGCTCTCGAACCATTGTATACACTCTACAAGCCCACAGTGATCCATCCAAGAAAACTAGATGCAGGTGGTGGAGGAGAGATGAGGAATACCTGTTCTGTTCGGGCCATGGGACTGCAGCTGTTTAGTGGGGTGAGGTAATTACACTTGAAGTGTTTAGTGGGGTGAGGTAATTACATCTTGAAGTGTTTAGTAGTATTCTGAAGAGAAGAAGAAGAAGAAGAAGAAGAAGAAGAAGAAGAAGAAGAAGAAGAAGAAGAACAAGGAAAGATGGGTAGTCTATGTGTATAGTAGGTACCACTCTCTTCGAAGCCTGGATGAGGCGGTGGGCTTACGATGAGCAACGTGTTGGTGTATGATGTAGGTAGGTATGCGTCGGGTACCTGCGCGGTGTATCGTGCAGTCTTGCTTGAGTGACACATGGGTGGGCACATGTGTATGTTGTACCTCCGACCAGCCAACGAAGATGTCAGAGAAGGGGTTCAGTGGAGTAAAAGACGTCTAGGGCGCAAGGTTGGCGGTCCCCTTCCCGTTCCGAGAACCGGGGTGGTAGGCTGCCCGGTTCGACAAAGAGGGCCTGGGGCTTTCCAGGTACGTGATCTTTTGAAGCTGGATGAAAGGAAGCCTGCAAAGTGGCGGATGCAGGCTGAGGAAAAGATGTTGGCTAGCTTTGGGGAACGGTACTCGGGCAGGGCTTTTCGGATCATGGAGGGAGTGAGCGGAATAGGCGCTATAGCCGCTGGTTGCATACTACCACCGACTGCTCGGTGGGACGGGAGCGGGACACTACGGTATCCCAGCCCACGCTACTCTACAAGTGAGCGAATAGCTCTTTCGTGCCACGATGGGTTTTGAGACGGCCATTACGACGACTGTCACCTGATCGTACATGGTGCAAACGTTTCTTCTTCTTCTTCTTCTTCTTCTTCCTCTTCTTCTTCTTCTTCTTCCTCTTCTTCTTCCTCCTCTTCTTCTTCTTTTCGTTTGGTATTCTGGTGTGCGCTACGCCGGTTCGTTTGTTGAGATCCATCTCTTCTTCACTCTACCTGATTGGATGATTCCGACTGGACTGCGAATCGGAGTCTGGCAGCACATGGAAAGGGCAGCGGGACAATCCAGGACGAGTGAGGGTCGAGGGGTCGAGGGGTCGAGGGGTCGGATGGTCATTTGGTCAATTGGTCATGCAAGTCAAGGGAAAAGCTTGCTCCTCTCCTTCCAAAGACAGACAGGTTGCTAGTTCTACTGGTGTGGTGTGGTGTGGAGGTGGAGGGTCATCATCGGTCAGGTTTGTGGTGGAGTGGGGCCATGCTGTCCATGGCACCATACTACACAAAGGTACTGTACCTACTCCTACTCTAGATGGGGGCAGCACGTATAGGTTAGGTTAGGCAAGGTAGCTGCTACATAGTAGTGTAGGGCTGCGAACGCCCGAGTTCGCAGACGCAGCGCGGGTTTGCAGCGTTTGTAGAGAGCGGAGAAGGGCCGCGAGTAAGAAAGAGTGGCATGAAGCAGACAGGGTGCGTATGCCCATGTCCGTACAATAGCATGGAGAAGCCGCGGAAGGGAGGTCAAAACTCGATCTGAGGGGTTGGAGGCAAAAAAAAAAAAAAGGGTCTTTGTGGGCGGGAACGGGAAGACGAGGCGCCGCGGGGCCGCGGGGTTGACTGAAGTTTTTTTTTTCCCCTTGAAGTCTGTCTTGCATCGATGATGAGGGAAGACGGTCGGACTCGACGACGAACGGCTGCCGAGCAAGCAGAGACTAGAGTACTGCACATCGCATATGCATGCACGAGACGGGGCCTGCAGCTGTGCCCATGCAAACGTCATCTGTCCCATGCACAATGCTGCTGCTGCTGCTGTTGTTGTTGTTGCTGCTGCTGCTGCTGCTGCTGCCAATACTACTGCGTGGCTAGAGACTGCCGTTGAGGGGGCCTGGGGTGAAAATGGGCAGAACAAGTGCCGGTACAATACAGACAAGAAGGAAGAGGAAATGGGCAGAACAAGTGCCGGTACAATACAGACAAGAAGGAAAGGGAGCGGGTTGCTAAGAGTAAGAGACGGGATGAAAGAGGGTGCGCTTGATGCAACTAATTGCGTGCAGCAGCCGGGGGCGCGTGTGGTCACTGGTCTGGCACCTTGGGGAGCGGAGATGAGAAGGCAGTGCTAGGCTGGAATAGGTCCTAGCACCTTGCCATAGTACATGACAGTACTGTAAGGACGCCCTACCCTACTACTCATGTGTGTTGTTGTTGTGTTGTGTCTGTGTGTCTGTGTGTCTGTGTGTCTGACTGTCTGACTGTCTTGTCTGTCTGTCTGACTGTCTGTCTGTCTGTCTGTCTGTCTTGTCTGTCTGTCTTGTCTGTCTGTCTTGTCTGTCTGTCTTGTCTGTCTGTCTTGTCTGTCTGTCTTGTCTGTCTGTCTTGTCTGTCTGTCTTGTCTGTCTGTCTTGTCTGTACCAGGCCCAGCACAATAGGCCAGGGCCAGACAGGATGGCTTGATTCGTGTGCAGAGCCATCCGCATGGCCATGCCGCCATGGCTAATCCATCCCCCTTTCGCCAACAACAAAGCCCATCCATACTCTAATAGTCAGCTGAATCCACAGCTGCCGCCCGCGATATCTCCCGAGAGTGAGAAAGTCGCTCCTTTGCCCAGCCAACTGTATCTAGTCGGACTCGCTGGAAGAAGGGCAACTGAGCAAGACACGCGCACGCGCACGCCGTCCTGTGTCCCCGTCCCAAGCCCACGTTTTCTTGCCCCTCTCTCTCTCTCTCTCTCTCTCTCGGTGTCTGTCTACTATTGTCTGCATGCTGCGACAAGACTGACACTGCTATTGATACTGCTACTGTTACTGCTACTGTTACTGTTCCTGTCACTGCCATTGTCACTCCTTTTCTTGACACCTGTCCCCCTCCCCCTTCTCTCCATCTGCCGTAAGCTGTGGCGGGTTGTCGGTCTGTACAGTAGTGTACCTCCACCTACACACATGCCCTACCCACAGCAACTGTAGATACCATACCAGTACCTCCTAGTAGCTCGACTCTAGATTTCTCATTCTCGGTAAGCGGCACGACCCCTTCCTTTAGGTGGCCAAGGCACAGTACCTGGCTATCTACTGTACATAGTTGCTGGCCCTGGTGCCCTTGCTGGCCCACCTTGGTCGTCGTCGTCGTCGTCGTCGTCGTCGCCGTCGTCTGTCTGGCCATCTCCTCCGCTCTCAGGCCAGGCCCGCCAAAAACTTTTCCGCTGCCGACTCGACCTCATTTCCCACCCCCATTCCGTGCAGCCTTCGCTCCGCCCGGCCGTTTTTCGCTCTCCCTTAGCCCTGCTGCCATTGGCCGTTCCTTCCTAATTCGTCGTGTTTTAGTTGGGCAATCACTCGGTGCTGCGGCCAAAGTCGACTTCCTCCTCCATCTTTCTACCGCACCGCATCCCGTTCCCCGTTCCCCCTCCCCTCCCCCCTCCCCCCTCTCCCCCGTTGCGAGTCCCCTACCCACCACAAAAACAGCAGCCTCGCCGTTTGCTGTCCCTCGGTCGCCGCTCCTTCGCTCTCGGTATCACCATGTCCTACTACAACGAGCCTTCGTGGTCTGCCCCCGCCCCCGGGCGCCAGGCTTCGTGGGAACAGTCGCAGCCGCCTTCACGTTCAGGTACCGGACACAGTGGTTACAACGGCGGGGGTGCACCCATTCACATGGACACAGGCGCCAGCTCGACCGTCAACAGAGACGAGCCGACTGCATTTGCCTCCCAGTTCGACGGTACGTTGCACAGTGACACCTAGCCACCACCAAAGCCAATGCCACTGTCAGTGCCACTGTCATCTCTACCGACACCAGCACAATGAATGGCACGAAACCAGCCCGTGTAGATGTAATGTGCCATGTTCAGACTAATAACGCCTCTGTAGAAGTCGACCGCGCCGCCGAAAACCTCGCCAAAAGCGGAAAGCCCTTTGGTCCTGGATTCCCCCCGACCCCGCTGGGCAACAGCCGTCGCGAGTCGATGCCCATGATGGGCGGTGTGGCTCCTCGACCCTTCCCTGACTATGGTACGCCAGCTCCCTCCCCCCCTTTTGTTCCCTCTCTCTCTTCTCTGGCCTCAAAACACCACCACAGTACACTAAGCTAACAACATGCCAAACAGACCAGCGCATGGGCGGTCCCCAGCGCCATCACTCGGTGAGCGAGTACGACGGCGCCAGATCGCATTCGGCCTCTAACGCCCAGGGCTTCTACCAGAACCAGCGCTATGCGCCACGACCCAACGATGCGGATCAGATGGCCCAGGCAAAGCGACGGATGGCGGCACAGCGCGAGCGCGAACTGCGCAACTATCATCAGGAGCAGCAATACCACAGAAGTAAGGACTCGGAATCCGGGCAGCAATAGAGCAGGACAGTTGGTTGACTAGGGTAATACAGACGTTTCTGGCTCCAAGTCGGACCGCTCCATGAGCCCCAATGCCATGAATGAAGAAGAGCGCCGCGAGCTCATCGCCCGCCAACACCGTGCCCTGTACGGCGAGACGTCGACCTTGTATAATAACAACCCCACCTCCAGCCAGGACGTCCGCGTGCAAACATCACAAGCTGGCCGCGGCCCTTCTCCTCTCGCTTTTGACCCCTTCGGCATGCAGCCCCAGAGCAACTCGTCGGGTGAAGCCGCTGTCCAAATGCCCCCACGGGGCGACAAGGATGTTGCAGGTGGAGCTCAGGAGGCCCGTGCCAATAGCAATTCCTCTCCTTCCTCCAACCAGAACCCGGCCTTTGCCCTGTTCGATGCTCAGCAATCTAGCCGTGCCTCGAACTCGTCACCGGGTGGCTCTCCCCCTGTGCCAGGGCCCAAGGCCAACAATGGTTCCGGCGTGGCCCCGATCGGCACTCGTCCCCAGAACCAGAGTCTGCACCAGCCGGCAAATGCTTCCATGAGCAAACGTACGACCTCACCTCTGCCCTCACCCCTGGGCTACAACTCGTACAATGCCAGTGAGCAGACCACCTCTGCTCCTATGAATCCCTCGTCGACGGCTACCGACAAGGGCGTCGGTATTTGGAACAATGGTCCCTGGAGCAACACCCCCAACCAGGGTGTACAAGCTTCCGTCTGGGGCTAAAAGAAACGGGGTGTTTTTTTTTCTTTCTTTATGAATCAGGCATGGCAGTCTTGACACACAAACACACACACACACATATATATCAACACTTGTATCTGGAGTTTTCGCATTATAGGTGTCTCGGGCATGTCGTGGTTCGGTCTCAGTCTTTGATTCAAAGGAGCCAACTGGGCAAAGGAGCAAGAGTGTCAAAGGTTTATACCCCTGGTGTCGGAATGGGAAACTCGTTCATTCTATGCTGTTGTTATGCCTTGGGGTCAGGGGCGATGGCTGGGAGGGTTCGCTGGTTTGCTGGTTTGCTTGCTTTGAGACTGCAGTCCCCAATAAAAAAAAAGAGAGGGGTTGGTTTTGCTATAGGTTAGGTCGGGTCAGGTCAGGTCATGTACAAGGAAGGTGCACAGTGTGTTTGTTTGCTTTGGTTTTTTTTGGAATCGGGGTTTTAGTATTGAGATTTTTGGTTTTAACCGCCCGACCCCCTCCCCGCCTTCTCTCTGCTGTAGGCTTGGTTTTTTTGAAATGGGGGTTTTTTGAAATGGGGAAAATGGGAATGGGGTCTTGTTGTGGGGGGGGGGTTGGGGCAATGCTGGCGTTTTTGTTGGTTGGTAGTTTGTTTATTCCTCTTGGGTTTTTTGGGACAGGATAGGTTTGGTTTGGTTAGGAGGGGTTGGGTTACCGATTGAAGAATTTATTTTATTTTTTGATGAAGGGGGAGTGGAGAGGGTGGTTTTGTATATCAATCTTGGGTTGTTAATTTTATTTTTTATTTTTTTGGGTTGTTGTGGTGTGGTGTGGAGTAGTGTGGTTTGGTTGTGTGTAGTGTGGTGTGCTGTGGTGTGCTGTTGTGTTTTGGAAGGGGAAAATTTAAACGGCCTTTACTATTTTGAGGCGATTTTTTTTTCGGGGGGGCTTTAAAGTTTGGTGTTTTGAAGTTTTGAAGTTTGTTTGTTTTGATGTGGGTTGTGAGATGTAGGATGTAGGATGGATAGTTTACACGCTTTTTAGGCTGTTTTTTGTTTGTTTGTGGGCAGGGGATTACAGGAGGGCTTAGGGGATTATGTTTATGGGGTAAGGGGTTAGGGTTAGGTATAGGATATACTAGATAGGATAGGTATAGTATACATAGTAAAGTGTAGTGCACTATACCCTCTTCCATCACAGTAAAACCCAAAATTCCACCTCGGCAGAGTACAGGAGCTACCAAACACCAACATCAATACCACAAAACTCAAAACTATTCTACAGCAAAACTTGACAACAATCACACTTGATTCCTTGGACATACTAGTATCACATCACTCCCCTAACACTAGACATCCTCCACATCGCCGCAATCGCAGTTTCACGCAGTTCATCATATACAACCACACAGTAAAGCCAAAAAATCAGGGTTTTACTACAGACGCAAGGGGTGCTGTGGTGCGGTGTAGTATTGCAAATTTGGGTTTTTTCTTGGTATTTTTACTGTGGGAGGATAGAGGTGTTTACCATACTTTTTCCCCCTCCCCCCTTTCTTTTGCGTGCGTGCGATGCATTACGGACGGTGTGTTTTCGGTAGAACATTACTTGACATCAAGATATCATAGCGCCTGTCTTATGGTGATGTGGTATAATCTGTATTTTGTCTCTGTTCGCTAATCTATCAGTAGATTTTTTTTAAAGAAAAAGTGATGTCTCTCTTCGCCGTGGGATGTGGAAATCTTGAGCTAGCATTTAAGTATAGACCCTTTGTGCTCTTGAGTCAAAGGGAATGCCTTTTCCCTTCTCTACGCCTGTAGAATGATGGAAATTGTAACTGTGAAAGGCTCGGGCCATGACCAAGCCGGGAGCTACCTAAGTGTGCGCACAAGGCTCGAGGCACACACCCTTGATGAGTATGCTACACTCTACCAATACAAGGTTCAACTTCCTCTCGCCGTAAGATAGGGAGTATCATGATCAGCGCTCACAGAATTCGTTCCTTGACAAGTTGAAGCCAGCCCATGACAGTAGAGGGTGGGATGTTAGAGCCGGAAGTATGCTATAGATTTGATGGTATATCATACTTTTCTTTGCTCGATGCCAATTGCATGATTTGGAGCGTAACGCAGGCTTTAGCAAATGAGTTGTTTAATTAGCGCTGACTGTATCGCTGTGGAGTTAGTGGCACTTGAAGGATTCCTCTGCTTTAATTGTTTACATTTTGTTCGTAGCGCAGCTATCCTATAGGCCGGTCGATCAGGTATTGATTCTCGATTATGCTGCTATGATAGCTTGAACAAATTGCTGCTATAGTAATTCTTGGCCAAAAGTCCATGCCAAGTGTGTTGGGAAAACATCATGTAGTACTAACTCCTGATAATTATGCCAGAATCTGTACTGTGCCGTGACACTTTGACGTCAAGCTCAACAAGATGAGGAAGACGGAAGACGTTCTTATGCTTACCAGTACAAACAGCATGCAATAAATGAGCTGTGTTAGTCATGTGGTCCTTGAATCATAGAGTTTGACTAGCCTTGGCGCCGGGAATAGCCTCAAGGGAAGAGGTGCGGAGATCGGACGAATTGGTTTGTAAGGCATCATGGAGGAGGTACTATAGCCAGCATGGCTCAGATGCTCACAATCGGATTTCTCGTCACAATCTCAACGCTCTCTCAACACAGGTGAGACAGCGTTGTGCCCTCCCTACTGGCACATTCGCACTTCAATACGCCTGACTGAAAGTCCGAACCTTGGAAACAAATATCGATGAATGATTGACAGGAAAGCTCAAAAATACTGTCATTGATACGAAACAGATACCATGTTGATAGGTTCCATTCAAGGCCCACTCCAAGAACACCAAGGCATGCCATACAATAGGATGAACAAACTGGCATCGCGCAGCATGCATTTCAGAAGTTGTAGTACTATGCGCGTAGGATGGACCCGAGAGTGGGCTGCTCCAAGACTCAGACCATGGAGATGGAACGTTGGAGTTGAAGTAGGATCACGTGCAGGCTAGCCGTAGGTGACAAGCGAACGCTAACGTTAGTAGGCGTTACCAGCTCCTCCTGACTTCTGGCCTCTAGACGGCTGGAACCCCGACGAACAAATAACGCCGACGACACACTTCCCTCTTCGCCTACCACTACTACGATTGTCGCCGTCACTGCACTCGTCTATATCCTACGGTCAACTCGTCACTTGTCACAATGGTAAGTGCACACTCGTGCTGCATCAACACCAAAGCCAATGGGAAAGTGGGAGCACGCGATACATTCGAGTCCAGCATGGGAAGGAGTCGGAGTCACGACGCCATGGGCACAGCGAGATTAGAATGATGGCCTTCTTGCAGAGATGTGCAATGCCTATGCCTTCTCACTGGCCTCACAATAACCAATGTTGCGCCATTGCATCGCTCCCACACCCGGCTTCGCTACAAGAGACCTTTAGTCTCTTCCTGGTACCTTATCTGTGCTAACACTTCACCTTCAGTCTGCACCACGCGCCAACTCCCCGGCCAACCAGGCCTCTTCAGGCTCGACGACTGCGCGCCCCGCCTCCCCTAAGCCTCCGGGTGGCCCAGCTACTGTCATGAGGAGGAAGGCAGCCGCTGATCGCGCGGAGAAGACTGCGAACCTGAGACCAAGCAGCACAAGAGCAGCTGGTGCTGGCGGAAGCTCAAGCACAATGCTGAGTAAGTTCTTTCGGATCAGCATTACTGGGAGAAACAGCAATCGACATTCAAAGCCGGAATATGAATAAACAAGGAAAGCTCAGCTACTGACCCAAATCAGGGCTGTACACTGATGAATCTCCCGGGCTTAAAGTCGACCCAGTCGTGGTCATGACCCTCTCAGTCGTCTTCATCTTCAGTGTCGTCGCTTTGCACGGTAAGGAGCACCAGACATCAGATCGATTCGCATGCTCATCATTTTCCAGTCATTGCCAAGGTTATGCGACGATTCTCCGCATAAGCACCATCATATTTTTCTACCGATTCCCCAACTTTAGGTGCCTCGGAGCTTCCTACGGCTGTGGGACGAAGATACTTATTACACGCGATGGCCTCTGCGTAGAACAAAGTTCCCCGAACGTCTCAATCCCTACCTTGGGTTCTCATCTGGACCAACGCTGGCGACAGGATCACTGGAAGGGGAAAAGTCGCGTACTTGCTGAGCCTTGATTATCATTTCTATTGGTGTGGCCTAGGAGAAGGAAAGTTCCTGCGCCAATCCTTTGGCCTGTGTGGTTGGCGCACGTTTTCTTGCGCATGCTGTATTATATTGGTCTATATGGCATCGAGGAGTTTTCATGAGTTGCAGTAATGTGGTCAGATACTTGAAATCCCCCTTTTAGTATGCTGTCGTGTCATGTTGTGATCAATTCGGACAGTCCCTCGGTGATAAAGATCCAGGGTAGCCCCGAGCGGACTTGCATGACTTGGCCGCGTGTCATGCGAAGCTATAACGAGTCTCGATATCATTGAATCTTGACTTCTCGGAACTGTCTACGTCGTAGAACGTCGCTTAAGCAACAGTAGGTAAAAAATAGGCCATGTCTTATAATCAACGAAAATCACATGCCATATCAGAATAGGTCCGATATATGACATAGTCCTAGCCTGAGACTTGAGTTGGCTGGGGGTTCTTCTTTTTTACTCCACGCTGATCGAGGAATGTTTTATGGGGACAATTACTGGGGTTTGTTTTTTGAGGGCGAGTGTGTAGGGAAGCGTTGGCGATGCTGGTATGAGTTTCGATCGGCGTGGATCAACTGTGCTCACTGGTGTGGGAGCGGAGTTGGCTGGGTGGAGTGAAGAATTTTTTCTCTCTATCGCTTTTGGATGCTGGATTAGCATAGAGGAAGAGAGAATGTGAAGTGTAGACTACTTGTTTACCATGATGCGTTTTTTTCTTGTACTTGACTCTCGTACCTTGAGTTTAGCGCCTCGATGAAGTTGTATTTTGACAACGAAGCAGGTCTTGAGTTGGTTGTTTGCACATAGTGTGACTGATGATGACTGGATTTATACCGTGCATACTCTGCGAGGGATACGCTGTAGCAGGCAGATGGTGTGTCAATTCAATCTGACCTCTGTATCAGGCTTATTGGATCGGTGCGTTGAGGGAACAAAAGCATGGGTTGAGTTCTGTAGCATTGTTTTCACCACTCATTATACACATGTACCTAGGTTCAATAGCCATTTAGCCTGACATTACTTCCTTCGACCTGTCTTGATCCGGATCTACACTGTGGAGAGCTGGTAGATGCCGTAAGCGCTGTTCCTAACGTATATACGCACATCATGTACAAAACTTACAGGTAGCCTTGCCCATCTACCATCGTGTACATGGTAGTCTTTCCACAGTGCGAACTCCTCCTTACCCAAGGATTTGTACATACTAGCGAATCATCTTGATCGAATAGCTGGTACCAATATATTACTCTCATCATAGCTTCTCACTATAACTGAAACCCCATGTCAATGATACCATCCCAGAACCTTCTATACTGGTAGAACGCACATGCTCACCCGTCACTCTGCAAATCCTGTGTACAACTCGTACCGTTCCAGAAGACTCTTTTTCCTAAAGCAGAAGAAAAGATGCGAGAAAGTTGGAATACACCGTCTTGGTATGGCGCGGATAATTGTCTGCTGAGGTTACAATTCCTTGTACGGTGGCATGTCTGACAAAAGGAAACGCGGGATGTTTGCTTAATTACAGTTGTTTTGACTTGTGTATGACAAAGAAAAGAAGATTTTGTGGTTTGAGTTGTCGTGGGGTATCGTGTGGTGTCACTGTGTGACGTTATGTAGTGGGATTATGATGCATCATGCGGTTTCAGGGCGTTTTTTGCTTTTTCCTTAGGACGCGGGAGTGTGGTGTTTGCTTTTGAAAAATAACGAGATGGAATCGGTCTAGGGTAGGTCTGCTATGAGAGCGTGATTGGGTTCTTTTGATGCAGCGGAATTGGAATTGGGAATCAGAAGCGTAGTCGTGTTATTAGGCCACGGTGTCCGCTCCAAATGCGCCAACAACCAAAAAGGGTAACCTTTATCTTCGATGGTGGCTGCGCGAGTTGAACAGCTCATATTATTACAAATGCTACTTGATAAGAGCGGATCAAGCGTGAAATAAACGACTATGTTGAAGTGAGAACTTTAGTCCCAGAGTAGTGTCACGCGGAAAGACTTGCAGACTGCATAGCTTAATCTGAAAAAAATTGGATGTGAAAGAAATCATACCTAGTGGATATAGTTAAAGTAATTTACATTTCATAGCGTCGTCTCTAAGTGCTATGCAAGCTTTACTCCCAGTCCAGCAGGAGCTATAGAACGCCAGGTAGACTAATAGAATGGCAAAAAGGGTATATATAATGAATAAAAAATCAGCACGAACAATAATCGCTACATGCGACCCAGCGCAATCCTTCAGGATCCTTCCTACACTTACTACGAGACCCGACTCGCCTGATCAACCTCAACCTTGAACTCCGTCCGCTTATTGACCACCATTCTCTCCGACCTACTGCGCTGCAGATCATGCCCAGGGCCAAAGCTCAGACTCCGATTCCCGACCCAGACCTCTGCCTCGTGTCGGCGAAAGTGGTCTGCAGGACGAAACTCCTCGTCTGCGGTGAGCATAATGGGCACTTGAGAAGTTGGCGAAGCCTGCGCTGGTTCGGAGATTGTAGATCTTGAATCGTCGGAGGCGTGGGAGGAGGAATCGGTTGGACGCACAGTGGGACCGAGTGATTCTGGGGAGTATTCTGGAGTTTTATTCCCGTTTCGTGAAGGCAGATTGTCCATTAGATAGCTTTGCGAGCGCCATGAAGCGCGGGGGCGAAGGGCGGTAGAATCCTCTTTGGTCGAAATGGCGGGTTGAGTGGAGCGCTGAGAGTTGTGGCCGTAGGCGGAATGCTTGTAGTCACTGGTCGTGTATTCCTTATTGAAAGGGCGAAGAAAGGGTCCTATACCGGTGATGGTCGAGGACATGATTGCATAGCCCATTTGCCACTGCGTGGCGACTACATATTCAAAGGTATAACTGGGGCCTGTGAGTCGTTGCCAGAGGTAGTAGAGCCGTGTAGCTGCGATGCCTATGACGGGGAGTCGAGCGGAAAAGGCGAAGATGACGAGAAGTTTGGCTTTCGTGCGCATTTGGAGACTCCAGACTAGTTGGAAGGCAATTGCGAAGATGAAGATTTCAGTGACAATGTCGAGGGCGCCGATGGCTTGCCATTTGGGCCACTGTTTTGGGTGAGCTTTGTTGCCTGGTAAACGGGCGCTGAAAGCACTCACCCTATTTGTACATATTGTGTCTTGTTGAAAAGCCTGTAAAGGGTTGCATGGTGTTGCAATGAGAATTGTGGATAGCAATGCCCATGTACTCGAGGCTACAATTAGACTCCATGATGCGATGCGATTTGCACCTCCAGGCGAGAGACGCAGATATAGAAGCAACACGGAGAGTTTTGATACGTAAAGAACGTAGATGTACAGTAGTTGTGACACAAAACCTTCCTAGAAGAATGTCAGAAGGCCGGTTTAAAGGAAAGTACGGCTGCATGGATCCGCAGGGCGTCACAAGTCTCAGATCTCAACATCTCAGGTGGGGTTGCCCCATGGGTAGATCTCTTTTGCAAGAACTGTGTGGTACGTACCTTTCCAACCTGATCCAGTTGTGATTGTGGCAAGTCTTGTAGTGAGACCCCCAATCCAAGATTAACGAGGTGGAATATGACAGCAGACTGGGCCGTATCGAGGCACTGTTGTGCCGGCGTCAGCTAGTGTGTAAAGCTATAAACTCAATTGGCACTCACCGTGGCGATTGCAAGTGCCCAGTCGTCCGCTCGCCATTCTCTCGTTTGTTGTCGTAGCCATAGCCGAATGAGAAAGCATGTCCAGACATATGCGAGTACCACTGCACCCGTCACGACAAGAAGCCCTCGTTTATCATCTGCAGTGATGGAGTACGGCGGGGGGTTGGCCGTCGCCATGGGAAGAGTTAATCGGGAAGACAGAGTGAACAGTTCGACAGCGACACAGCCATGGAAAGTACAAGAGACATGAGCAAGCTACAAGTCACGACAGGGTAATATGGCAGGCTCCAACCTTTGCAGGTACTGTAGGTCTTCTCCAATGATTGACGGTGATTGTAGAGTTGGACTTCCAGGGGGCCAATGATGCACCTATTTTCCGGTAGTACATGGCCTTGCTCGGACGGAGCATCTGCGGCTGGCAGTACTATGTTGTAGGCGAGGGGGCGGCTAAGAACGCCTCGGTACAGTATTTCGCTCATTCAAGCTGAGATCGCAGGGAGGGGCGCCGCTTTCGGGTCGTAGTTGCAGGATCATTTATGCGGGGCCAGTCATGGGCAATGGTACCGGTAGGGCGACGAAGCCTCGGAACCGTAGTGTCCATTACAATCCTACTTCCTATGTCCGGTTCAGAATGTCATTTGCTAAGGCTACCGGTAGGTACTGTGCGCACGGGAGAGGAGCGGCCCATACTTGTATAGCGCAGGATAGCTACCGACGCCACGCGGCACATGAGAGTGAAGGAATATACTCCGCCATGGCACCAATGGTGGAAAAAAACCATGGACTTTCTCACTCACACACAGGATTCCATTCATCGCAGGGCAACCTGGCACACAGCGGGCGCTCATCGATGGGTGAGAGATATGGATCTTCTAATAGGAGGCACTCTGATCGGAAGTACTTCACCAACCCAACCCCCTCGTTTGGCCAACCTACAATTTTCCAGAATCTGGAACAACTTCGGTGTTTCTCCCAGCAGACCCACCTCTCTATTCGACCCATGCCATGACTCCATGAGATGCAATATCTGAAAGCGAGCAGCCCGCGTCTAGCCAAGGGACCATCCGCTTGAGGCCCCAGGAATAGGCAGCGGCCCGTCGTGGCGCCCAGTTACACATCAAAGCCGGTGGGCCCCTAGTCACCAACACTCAAACACTTCGCCTGTAAAGCTTCCTCCTGTGCCCTCCTCTTGGGTGCACAAGCGAAGCACGATGTTTGTCGCAGCAAAATTCTTGGCCGTTCGAGACGCGATAGGTGGCTGATGGTGCCGGGGCGAAGTCGAGTTAGCAGCCGCTAGGGGCGCTGGTCAACAGCAGGTGAATTTTCCATTTGATGTAAATACTGCACAGCCATTTTGTATGCAGAGAAGTTTCTTTCTTTCGAACCGATCGTCCATCCTTTTCCTTGGGTACCGGTAACACACGTGGCGCGCCCTTGCATTTTGTATGTGCTTACTATTGGTTTCTTTTGTCGTCTCAACGTGAGCCAGAGCTGCAGTGCACTACCACTTTCAGCACTCTCCAACAAGAGCCATGGACAAGATGACGCAGATTCACTCGTTGTCGCCCGTCGGCAACTCGAGCCTTCCCGACGACGACGGCGAAGAGTATCATGACTCCCTCCAAGGTTATACAAGAGCGGATCGTGCCGACATGTCGCGTATGGGTAAACAGCAAGAGCTGAGGAGGAACTATCGGCCTTTGTCTGCACTGGCCTTTACTGTCATTCTCCAGGGCTGCTGGGAAGTCCTCTTGACGTGTGTACCCTTTCTTTCATACTCTCATGTGATTGACTGACTCCCATCAGTGCGACTTACCAAGGTCTTGTTGATGGAGGTCCTGCTGGTCTCATCTGGAGCTTCGTCTGGACATGGTTTGGCTTCAGCACAGTCATGCTCTCGCTAGCTGAGATGTCCAGCATGGCGCCTACTGCTGGAGGCCAATACCACTGGGTCTCCGAGTTCTCTCCTGCTAGTGTTCAAAAGCCCTTCAGTTACTTCATCGGATGGATGTCGACGCTCTCATGGCAGGCCGGCACTGCCTCAGGACCTTTCCTCGTCGGTACCTTGATACAGTCCTCGGCCGTCGTCATGTATCCTGACTATGCTCCCACCAACTGGCAAGGAACCCTCATGGTCATTGCCGTCACCTTCCTCGTCTGGGTCCTCAACATCTGGGGTGCCAGGATTATGCCCATGTTCCAAAACATCATGTTGGTGGTCCATGTATTCGGCTTCTTGGCCATTATCATCGTCTTCTGGGTGCTGTCGCCAAGAGCATCCGCCGAAGTGACTTTTACCCAGTTCACCAACACTGGTGGTTGGAGTTCAATGGGCCTCACCCTAATGGTCGGACAATTATCCGCGATCTACGCTTGCATTTGTAAGTACCCTCATCTATGCATAATCGTGTTTGGTGACATCATTGCTAATATTTCCGTTTCAGGTTCCGATTCGGCTGCCCATATGGCGGAGGAGATTAAGGATGCCGGCAAGACTGTCCCCCGTGCTATGATTGGAGCCTACCTCATGAACGGTCTTCTTGGCATCATATTCCTCATCAGTTACATGTTCATGATTACCGATGTCGATGCTGCACTCAACGACGTAACCGGCTACCCTCACATGTGGGTTTTCAGCCAGGCCCTTTCCCCTGGCGGTGTTGTAGCGCTCAACGCTATCCCCACTGTCCTTATTTTCGCTGGAACCCTCTCGTTCAATCTTTCTACTTCACGTCAAACATGGGCATTTGCTCGCGACCGAGGCCTCCCTTTCAGTGACTGGATCGGCCATGTCAACCCAAAGCTTCAGGTCCCAGCTAACGCAGTGACTGTGACTGCCATCATCACCGTTGCACTCTCCTTTATCAACATCGGCTCTGATGTTGCTTTCAATGCTAGTACGTATCCAATATCTTCCCCGTCTTTCGACAAAGAAGCAATTGTACTAACATGTTCAGTCATCTCACTCAATGTCGTAGCCTTGATGATCACTTACGTCTTCAGCATCGGTTCCGTTCTCTGGCGACGCATCAAGCACCCGGAAACTCTCCCAAACTGCCGCTGGTCGCTCGGCCGCTGGGGTGTCTCCGTTAACATTGGTGGTGTCTTGTACGCCCTACACGCTTTCTTTTGGTGCTTCTGGCCCGAGGGCACGCCCGTTGCTCTCGAGTCTTTCAACTGGGCTAGCGTCATGTTTGTTGTTGTGTTTGTGTTGAGCCTGGTTGATTATCTTATCCGGGGGAGGAAGGCGTACAAGGGTCCTGTCGTGCTGACGGAGGGTTACAAGGATCAGTAGATGTGCGGTATATTTTGGCTTTGGGACCTGCGATGATTAAAGGAGTTCCTAGAACGAGTATTAGTAGCCACAGAAGAAAAAGAGATTTTGTTTTGTTTGCGTAGTTTTGATGTTGCAGAACGGATACCAACTAGATCACGGAGCATCTTGATCTAATTAGCCAATCTAACCCCTAATCAATATCCTTGATTAATACATATTCTCTAATCCACTACTAGCGCACTGCCAAGTGCCTAATAGAAAATAGAGCTCTAGTAAGGCGGGTTTACTAATCCTAAACTGTGTTATAGGCTAGCCTTAAGGGAGAATACAATAAGCATTAATAATAGTATTTAGTATCTTAAAGGAGAGGTAAGCCCTCTACGCCTTTTTATAGGTGTGTAGCGTGTTTGCTTTGTAGTAGTATTAGACTCTATCTATCTTATATTAGGACTAGGCTTAGGCATAAGCCTAAGCCCTTTATATACCCCTAACCTTCCCTAGGAGCTATTATAAAATTGCCTTTTTAGGGATTTAGGGCTATATCTTTATCCCTTCCTAATCTATAATAGGCTTTATTCCTATATCTTTAGGCTTTATTATTTTATCTTTTATATTCCTTCCTAACTTATAATAGGCCTATATATTAAGTAGTACACGCGCGTAGTGTAATAATGTAGGTAGGTAGGGCATCTAAAAGGTATCCTACATAACTTAAGGGTATATAGGAGTGCGCGTCTATATAGAAAAGGATAAGATTCCTATACCTATAGGTCTTGTATATTATAGACTAGCTGTATAGGAGAATGTAATAAGCGTTAATAATAGTATTTAGTATCTTAAAGGAGAGGTAAGCCCTCTACGCCTTTTTATAGGTGTAAGGCGTGTTCGCTTAGTAGTAGTGTTAGACTCTATCTATCCTATGTTAGGCCTAGACTTAGGCGTAAGCCTAAGCCCTTTATATACCCCTAACCTTCCCTATAAGCTATTATAAAATTATCTTTTTAGGGGTTTAAGGTTATATCTTTATCCTCTATAATCTATATTACGCTTTATTACTATATATTTAGATTTTATTATTATATCTTTATATTCCTTCCTAATTTATAATAGGCCTCTATATTAACTAGTATACGCGTGTAGTATCTATACGCTTATTTTAGCACCCTACTATAAAAGTTCTAACCTAGCTATCCTACCCTACTATAAATTTCCTAAACTTACCTTATTATATAATAGATTTTCCCTACTAATTAGTCTTTTCTCTACTCTTTTTTAATTTATCTAGCCTATATAGCCTCTATTATATCCTTATCTACTACTACTACTACTAGTAGTAGGGATCTACTATAAGGCAGTTAGACCCTACGCTAGGCCTACTAAGATAAGGTGCGTACTCCTAATATTCTCCTAATATTTCCTATACTAACCTTTTACTTAGTATATATCTCCCTAAACCTAGTTACTTAGTAGCTTTATTAATTCTAGTAACTTAAATAATAAGGAGTATAATAGTAGTTTTATAAAGCTACTTCCCTATAATTAGTATATTAACTAACTATATCTCTTTAGTAAGTAAAACTATTAGAAAGGTAGTAGTAAGTTCCTCTTAATTTTTGTATTCTTTATAGCAAGTTCTAACTATATCTAGGGTGTTTATACAAGTCTTATTATTATAGTTATAAGACCTATACTAGGTTAGAGGCTATCCTTACTAACAATCCTAACGTCTGCTAAGCCCTCTATATGTAACAATAAGGCAGAATTGCTCGCCAATTGTTCTATGCCAAGTTAGGCCTAATAAAGGCCCGACTCACTAATATATATAGAGAGCGGCTCACCTATAATTAAGATAGGTATATTCCTCTTATCCTTTTGTACAAGACCTATAGGTGTAGGAATCTTATTCTTTTCTATATAGACGCATACTCCTATATGCCTTTAAGTTATATAGGATACCTTTTAGATGCCCTACCTACCTAAGTTATTATATTATAAGAAGAATATTGTATTTGTTGTTATTTAAAGCTACTAATTTAGTTCTAGTAGTAGTCTAACCCTGCAACTATATAGTTAGAATAGCTATTAGAACTTCTAATAACTAAAGCCTATAGGCTTGGACTTCTAGACTACTAGCTAGTGCTACATTACTTTTAGAAAAATCGCGTTAGATTGCGTTAAGGTAGAGACTTAGAGACTACTAAAAGCCTAGAGGAATTAGAGGCAAAGCTAATATCCTTTTATAACTAACACCCCCTAAAGAAAAGATTTATTATTCTTATTAACTACTAAAATATTAAATAAAGGTAAAGGAAGGGTATCTAGTTTAGATACCTTTAAAAGCCTATTTACTAATAGAAAGAAATTAGATAAGGAGGACTTAATTAATAACGCCCTCCTAGAAGGACCTACTTCCTACCTGTCTCTAGAGGTACCTTATACTCCTAGGAAATCTTAAAGTAATACCTCCCTTAAAGATAAATATATATTAACCCTATTTAAAAAGAAGAGGTTATAAGAATAAGTAAAGTAACTTACTAATTAGTTATATAATACCTCCCTTTGTAAAGAGATATAGGGTACTACCTAACCTAGCTAGTCTTTAGCTTCTATATTAAATCCTATAGTATACGCTATAAAAGGTAAGAGATAATCTAAAAAGATGCTAAATATCTCTATACTTAGTAATAGTGCTAATCCTACTTTTAGATATTAGTAAGCGTCTATTTAGGATTAGCTAGAGATTAATACTAATTACTACCCCTCTTCTAGAGCGCGAATAGCGTTAGTCTAGGGACACTACTTAGGATTAGCAAGAGAGTACTTAGAGCTATATTACCTATCTAACTCCCTAAGTCTTTACTTCTAAAAGGCTATAGAAATAATTACCCTCCTTTAAACCTACTTTATTACTAGAAATAAGATAGCTAAGAGTTAGACTATATTTAACTACCTATATATAAATAATATAGAGATATTCCCTACTTTTAAATTATAATTCTAGAGTCTTGCTATTAGATAAGAAGTACCCTAATTAGAGTAGTATTACTACCTCTATATAAAGATTACACCTTCCCTAAGGATACTAAACTATACTTTTTAATAAAACTAGTATAATAACTTTTAAGACTATAGTAGATTATCTTAGTACTTTTAATATAGAATACTACTTATACCCTACCTTATCTACTCTTATATAGATAACTCTATTATCTAGAAAAGGAGTAACCCCCTTCTAATACTCTAGAAACTAGTCCTATTTAGACGCTAATTAGAAACCCTAAAATAGACCTTTAATAGCTAAACCTTATATACCCCTTATAATAATAAGGCACTACCCCTTAAAATAATTAACCCCTATCTGCTATGCTAGCTACTCCTAGCGCTACTATAATAGGAACTTGCTATAATTATAGAAAGCCTAGGCACTTCTCTAGTAACTACCCTAAACCCCCTAGGATTCAGGCTATAGATATAGAGTAGGTTATTAAGAATCCTAAGCAAGAAGAAACTACTAAATTAACTATCGCAATATAATATCTTATTAATATCCCACCATATATATCAACTTATTAGGGTAGGGTAATAGTGTTTACTTTTGCCCTATTCTTGGTTTGCAACAGTTATAAGCCCAGTTAGCGTAGTAGTATTATCACCACATTTTAATACGTATTAGTAGAGCGTGGTTAAAAATTATAGAGGACGTGGGTTTAAATCGCGGTGTTAGAATACTATAATTTAAGAGGTCCTAATTAGTAAGCCTCTGCGGAGGCGCCTAGCTATACTGCTTAATAGGGTTAATATTTCTCCTAGATTAACGCCACAATAATACACTACGGTACAAAACCGGTTTACAGTAGCCATATTTATCTAAAGTAGACCACGAAGTAGTTTAAGTACAAGAAGTAAACCTAAATAGGGTTTACTATACTATATATTCTACAAAGGTAAACCACTTTTTAGTTTATATATTATTAGTATTATATATATTAACTTTAGTGTCTATTTAAATATAGTTTATATAATATACCTAATTACAGGTTATATAGTAGATAGATATATAGCACCTAGGGGGAAAATTTAGTATAGATAGAGGGTATATAGTAGGCATAATTTAGTAAGGTTACTATATAGGAACTAGTACTAGTAGATACTTAGGCGGTATAGGCGTGCAGCATACTACCGCCTAGGTATGCTGTAACAATAACTAAGAGACTAGGCAGTATACCTAGTATATAAAATTATAATCTAAAATATCCTATAATAATAGGTTAGTAAGTTCTATAAAGGCGCCTATTGCGACAACACTCCTATATTATAGTATAGTAGTATTACTAAAGATTATACTCTATATTATAAATATTCTAGGGCAAGTTAGTTGCTTACTATGGAAATTTGGATCACTAAGGTTAGGAATGATTTGGGAGATAGATTATTAGATTGTATCTACTACGATTGTACTTATATATATAGAGCTTTAGCTACCCTTACTAGAAGGTAAATAATTAGTAAACCTTCCTTACTAGAGCTCCTGCTTTTTATTAGGCACTTAGTAGTAAGCTAGTAGTTAATTAGATAGTGGGTTATATAGGGGTATTAATTAGGATTAATTAGATTAAGATACTCTATAATCTAGTTAATATCCCTCTTATAATATACCCCTTAGGTATAGGTAGATCTTTTATTATTATAGTTACGCTTATAGTTAGTAGGTGGTATAGCTAATTAGAGCGTTATATATCTAAAGGGTTAAATTAGCTTACCCTTTAGATACTAACTAGCGCGCCTTCCTTATTTAGCCTGCGCTTACACGCGTAGATATTATCTAGACTAAGCTCTATAACTCTATCTACCTAACTATAATCTTTACTATAGCTTAAATAATAAGATTATATAACCCTAAAGATCTAAACTATACTTATATCCTTACTAACCTATATCTTAGTTAAAGTTAAAAACTACTACTTATACTTACTCTACCTACGCTACCTTTATTACCTCCTACGTAGCTAAAGCTATAG